CTACACAATGAACCACCGTCCCCGAGACCACGGTAGGCGATCGAGGATCGACACGGTGGCCTCGACCGTGCTACCCCCGGGGACAGATCCTCCTCTTAATAAAAGAACAGTGAAAATCTCGGCGAACGTGCGAAGGAAGAGGTTCCTTCCGGATGGAGGAACATTAGAAATCTCCGGGCAACCTGCTTTCTCTAGGGACCATTTCTGGCTACTATGTGAGAGACAAAGTCCGAAAATGTATTGTAGCAAGCTCTATGCGCGACACCCAAATACGGTTCCAAAAGGCAATTCCACGTTTTAAGCTAAATTAACTCCCAAACGTGACTTACTTTTTCGACTCTCAAAGCAGGGGACTCCCTTGATCTCATATCATGACAATTTTACTTAACATCGTAATTTCTACCATTTTTATTTGTTTAAAAAAAAAGTACAAGAAATACTCGTCACGAACATTTTATAATTTTCTCGTGAAAAATGTTTAAGGACACAGAAAAGTAAATGAAAAAGGTCGTATTTCGATTTTCAGTGGGAGGTACCGTAGTTGGCCCCCCTGGATTAAATCACCGATGGACGAGATCGCTAACTGAACGTGGCAACGTCAGATGGCGTGGGTAGCAACGGGATTAAAAAAAAAAATATAAAAAAAAATGAAAAAAATGGCGATAAGAGCGAAAAAGAGGTTCAAGCTCCGACGTGGCGTGGATTTCTTTCCGCTTGGAGATAGCATGGTATCACGTCGAACGGAAAAAGGGAGAAAGAAATGAAAAGGAGGGGGAGCTCGTCTGGTGGCGCCAGCGGACGACTGTTTTTGTTCCCTTATAATTTGGCAGTAGTCGACGGTTCCTTCACAGAAGGACAGGATGCGCGCATGCCTTGCAAGGATCGCGGGGAATTCGTTGCGGCATTCCCTGAGAAATTGTATCGTCTGCCTTTTAAGTACCACGATGAACGTAGAATTCCTGTTCGGGTATTTCGAGTCACGGAAATGTTTATCGGAACGATACGAAACGGCCAGTACACGATCTCGCGAATGAAACAGAAATATGTCGAAAAGTTCGCGGTTTGAATGATGTTCGAAAGCAACGCGTTGAATTAAATAATCGTGTTACGTATTGCTGATAAAACAGTTACTAGACTTAATTACATTTACTTCTGTTTATACGCTTGATCCTTTTAAGTCAATTATATAATAAACGAAGGATATTAACTAAAACATTGAATTGAAAGATTCGATCTCGAAAAAATATTGCTCGTGCAAAGGTAAATCCTGACATTTTTTTATACAAATGCGATGAAATTTTCAATCGAAACTGAGTACTTCGTGAACTATTCTCAAGAGATTACAAAAATTTGCGGTTTGCAGACGAACGCTACGATAGTCATTTATCGCTTCTTTTAAGCCGTACAGAAATTAAAAAAAAGAGGCAAGAAAACAACCTGAAATTTGACGATGAAAAGTTTCAGGCGGGTCGAAAGAAAGCTGTGCTCAGTGTGTCGTGGCGCGCATAACAATGTGCGGCATACCACGATTTGCGGTTGCGAGGGGATAAAAGTACGGTGCGAAACATTTCTGAGAAAAATTCTGGCGGAGCTTCGAGATTCGAGGGCACGTAGCCGTTCCTCTTTCTTATCGTGGATGATTTAGTAAAATATAGAGCACCGGGGCCCCTAAACGGTGACGATTTAACGATAGAAACAAAACGGGGCGTCACGAATACGAGTTTTATTTACCGATTAAATATAACAGTAGTTTGAAATAAAATGAATTATTAATATAATTATTCTTTTCATTGTAAAATAAAAAAAATACGGATGACGTACGATTCTGATAATGATGCAAGGTTCAGACGGTGTAGAATTGAAATGATACAGGATTCGAATAATGCAAGATTCGTATGACGAGTCACGAGTTAAATAATACGAAAAAACGGTTAGTTGGAGTAAAAAATATTTAGTTAGGAGTAAACGTAACAAAGAGGCAAGTCAACGAAGCGTAAAAGTAGCGGGCACTCCATTCCGATCCCATTAAAGGCCGGTTTTTTACCGGGGGAAGTACCGAAATGCGTGCGTAAAATGAGCACCGCTGACCGCTAAAAGCATCTACTCTCCATGAATGGAACGGCTTCCACGAATAGTACAGCCCACTCAAAAATTGCAAGATGACAGCCGGCAATGATGACCAGCAACACATCGCACGAAAACGTCTAATTAAGATTCTCTCTCGTTAAGGTGAAATTACGCGCGTGCCTAAATGTTTTATTTATTTCGTCTATCGCGTCCATCATCGGGACGTGTACGGTGAGGTTAAAGCCTCTTTGACCTTACGCGGCAAAGGTGCAATGCAATTTGCGATGATTGTGTTTCATGGTAGTCGCGTGACATAAAAATCGCGACCCCCCTTCGTGACCCCTTCACGCATCCAACTGCTAATTTGTACACATTTATCCTAAATGAATTTCTTCCTACGAGATTATGAGCACTATAAATCGAGCTTGAATAAAGTAACAGTTGAAAAATTTAGAAAAAATATAATATCTATATTTATAAAAATACAGAATTTTAGTATAGTCCATATTCCACTGAAACTATTTTTTTTTTAAATTAGGCAGACTATGATACTATAATGTTTCAAGAATGATTTGAGTGGAAATGATAAGTCTAGAGATTGAAAATCTTTTCTCGTGTCCATGGAATGCTTTTTTTATCGTCGATTTTATATTTTAACCAAGACTGAAAAACCACAAAATGAATATACGATAAAATAAAGGACGGTGACGCCTACAACGAAACTTCCTCGTTCTAATTTTGTCGCCAAGAACACGTGCAGAATTTACTGCGTTATTGAGATACGGCGGAATACTAACAAAGAAAAATTCTAGCAACAATTTCGCATTTTTCTGATACAACTTTTTTATCGCTTATTTTTATAATTTTAGGAATATTTATAATATACATTTTATAAAAAAATACAGATTTTATTGATGTATAGCAAAATTCTAATTTTAAAATTGCTAAACTTAAAGATTCAGAATCATACGATCGTCTAGACTAGCTGATACCATCAAATTTTTGGTGTAGAATGTGCAACCATCTGGGACCACCCAATGGAACTCTCAACCTTAGTTATCGTGATCCGTTCACATGCTAAATTATGAGCTCGGATCACCACAGGTGCCACGATCTAAGAAAGCAATTGATCAGAGATATCCCTGTATAAAATTAAATCGCCTTAAATTTAAAAAAAAAAATCGTATTTCAGAATACATTGTAATCGAACTCTTTATATATTCTATTTAGATCAAGACAAACTATAGATTCCAGTTAAAAAATAATATAAATGATTCTGAAGATTCCTTAACTCATCCATTTTCCAATTATTACAGAATAATTATACAAATAATTCTGAAAACGTTCAAGGATTTTTTTTAATTATTATTATTGCAAATTAAGTAGCCTATATTTATACAAAATTTCATCTGGAACGGATCAAGGTAGTAAGATTTATAGGAACATCACAAACACACAGACTTTGAATTTCACATCAATAATAAAGTTCTCGACTGTAATTTAACATGAGTAAAAAGATTTCTATAAAAATGATAAAATAAACAAACATTGAAAGCAATAAAGAACCTAAGGGGGGAGGAAGGGTTCCAAGAAGTATGGAGACCATTGCTGTAGCGCATGGCGCAACAGATTTTAAAGGATCACGGTACGAGCAATGTGTTCACAAACGCACCTCACTCGTCTCACAAAAGGGGACGTGGGATAGTGGTGTCTTTAATGGCTGTTTTTGCACAAAGATTCTCGTTTGCCTGTTTTACGCGCTCGACTGACCCGAGTCATGTACTCATGACCTTGAGCTTAGCTGAATAACCTTTGTATGCATGTATACGCACTCGAAGCCGAATTGAATCGCAGTTCCTCGAAGCAAGACTGTACGGTCTTCTTCTTGTGTACGGTCGCTTTCATCGTTCGGTGAAATGCTCGTATTATATTTACGGATATTAAATACACGTTAGAGAGAAGAGCCCCGTAGAAATATCCGGGGAGGTCTTAGCACCGATTTTCATTCATCCCACGTGAAATGAATTCTATGAGAGGTCCCACAATGGCACGTTAATTGCAGCGGTGCCAATTATAATTCTGTAATTTAAAATTTCAGTTATTACTTTACTAAAACGTAAAGTCCTTCAAAGTATTCTATTTAACATTTGAAATAATTTAACGTTGGTCCTCAGCATATAATGAAAATAAAAATCAATACTTTTGCAATTAAAATGTGAAATTTTTCTGCGATTCTTAATTTAATTTACCATTATGACAATGGTGTCTTCTCATAAATAATAATAATTATATAAACAATAGCAACAGCATAAAATAATAGTTGTAATTTGAACTTACCGTAATTAAAGTTTACAATTAATATATAAAGTTTATTATTAAAAATAACATATATATAATAATACTGTCAATAGACACACATTATAATTATAAACTATTCGATTGCAAATTAATAATAACACGTTGACTGCCATGGTGGTCACAATGTGTTGCTAAATTAGATAAAAGAACAGGTACATCACTGAATTATTGAATATTTCTATTTTTTACACTATTATTTAAACAATTGTCGAGGATATCTCTAGACATAAAAATTCTGGCGTGGCAATTAACATGTTTATAAAAATTAATTTTGTTCTATTATAATATATTCATACAACAGTAAACAGTTTCAGTAAATGTCTTTATCAATCTTTCACCTTCTTATTTTAATAAGTACCTACATATTACGCATTTCTGTGCCCTAATATCTAACGATATCGTGTGCATCTTCAAAAAGCACAATGGCCGAATTAACGGTTATCGAGGTATTTCCCGAATTTCGTATTTAAAACGAGTAAAATATCAGGCCATGCAACTGCCTGCATGCAAGTGCACCTGCAACATGTTTGCACTACATGATTGGCAGCCCTGCATAGACTTTCTTATAGAGCTGACATTTTGTTGGCAAACATAACCAAAATTGGTTTTAACCTTTAATTTTACAGCATTGAATATTTACACGATAAACTGTCGATAATTTTACGGATAATTGTATCGAATTAACCCAACAACATGTCGGAACGTAAAGTTTTAAACGTAAGTAAATTTCTAGGAAATAGACCCATTATAATCGTATATCGATCACGTATCTGTCATTATTTGATAAACTATGATTTTAGAAATACTACCCGCCAGATTTCGATCCGTCGAAAATCCCTCGTATGAAATTGGCCCGAAATAGACAATACACAGTACGTTTGATGGCTCCTTTCAACATGAGATGCAAAACTTGCGGGGAATACATTTACAAAGGAAAGAAATTCAATGCCCGCAAAGAGGATGTTGAAGGTGATGATTATTTAGGTATACGAATTTACAGGTTTTACATAAAGTGCACCAGATGCCTCCAAGAAATAAGTTTCAAGACAGACCCTAAGAACACGGATTATGAGATCGAAGCAGGGGCTACTAGGAATTTCATGGCCCTGAAATTGGCCGAAGAGCAAGCACAAAGGGAAGAAGACGAAGAGAAAGAAGAGGAAGCCACCAATCCTATGAAACTGTTAGAAAAACGAACGTTGCAATCAAAACAGGAGTTAGAATTATTAGAATCATTAGAAGAGTTGAAAGACTTGAATCGCAGACAGCAAACTATCGATTATGATCAGATGTTAGAACAGTTTGATACTGTAGCTGCTAAACAGAGAACACAGAAAGAGCAGGAGGAATATGACGAAGAATATATCAAGTCAATATTTGGCAAAAAACAGGCACCTACAACTATCGTTGAAGAAGAAATTGTGGAACTGGACGAAGATGAAAGAATCGAACCGCTCAAGAAAATAATTAAAACAAGTGATAATAGTCAGGAAAGCGATAGTGTTTCAAAAACAGATAAAAAAGAAGTAAATACCTCTTTTCTTTCAATTGTTTCCTTTTAATGAAACTGTAAAAGTAATAAAATGTCACTTTTTTTAGGTTAAAAATAATCGATCTGCAAAAACACCTGATACATCATTATGGTCGGAAAATATAGGATCGTCGTCGAATAAAAAGAATTTATTGGGTATAGTCAAAAGAAAAACAAATTTAGGTGTAAAAGTGAACGCGACTTCTACTAATATTAGCATAGAGGAGCAACAACCTCGAACTGTAATAGAGAAAGAAAAAGATGCTTCTACAGAAGAGAGAAGTATTAAAAGTGCAAATGAAATCACATCTGAAAGTACAAATAATTCAGCAGGCAATAATCGCAATGCTCTGTCTTTGCTAGGAGCATATTCTGGCAGCAGTGATAACGACAGTGATTAACGCAATGTTCAATATTGTATATACAATTAAATTTTATAAAATTTATTATAAAATAAAATGTACCTATAAACACAATACACAGATATAAATAAGCGTAGTTCAATATACATGTAAATCAAAATACATAAATGACTTTTAATTTTTTCGAAGTCGTAGATACGGGATTACCATTTAATTTTTATGCTTTTTTTAAACACGACAAACAATTTCTGCTTTAATCGACGATGTTTGTCGATTGAATCGTACAGGTCTCATCATGCCGCCCACCAAACATTTAACAATTAGTAATGCGAAATAACCTCTTTGATCTAGGCTTCTGCAATATAATTTCACGGAGACATTTGCGTTGACGACGATTAGAAAGTTCCTTACAGGATGCTGAAGCCTTTACCCCTAAAACACAGAAAACATAATCGATCAGAGATGATGAAATTAGAAATCGGTCTGTTTCAAAGGCTAGGCACTCTGTAAGGAACTTCCATATCAACGATATAGCATTGAAAACCGTAGCAGGGAGTACCTAGCCTATTAAATCAGACCATTTTCACTACACCTTCAAATTTATTGGTAAATATACATCACCACTTCACGTTAACACATTATAAACTATACGTATGCAAATTATTTCTACGATAGTTTCGAAAAACGTTCGGCAAATTTACTTAAATGTTACTTATTGTTAATTCAAGATATTTGAGATTTTCTAACCAAGCAAGTCGAAGATGTTTATTACTGCAACAACAATGTCTAGAAGCATCTGAGTGAAATAAACGATAAAACGTGTCTTTACAAATCATCGTTGGAAGACGTGGGCCTCCTAGTTCTCGACGATGGCCGTACGATATAATGAAAAGGATGACGACGATGACGATAGCCCTCTCTCTGATAAGGACCTAACAACTCCCTGCTACTGTCGTCCAGGTTATCAGACTGTTCGTGCAGATTGCACGACGTTCCAGTGTACTTTCTACTTTGAACGGTTGCTGGTGGGTCATAAACGTAGTTATCGTCGTGGAAGTTGTGCCTATCGGCTGTACGTCTTGTCATTTCCAGAGTGGGCCTGTCCTTGAACCTGTCACGAAATGATTCACGCGAGCTATCGTCGGGATCGTTTCTGTCCGACCATTGTCCGTCTTGTTCTATGGGCACAGCTTCTCGGCGGCAAAACTCACAAATGTAAGGTTGCTCCTCGTCGGAAGAAGTCTGTCTCTCGTAATCGTGCAACGACCGATTGTTAGTTTGCGAGGCGATGGAGCTAAGCGAAACGTCTGACCTTCGAACGACAAAATCGTATTGGTTCTTGCGCGGGAAATAAGGCGAATTGGAAGACTGCTGCAACGGAGGTTGATCGAGATCGCTAGAGTGATTCGCCGATGATCTATCCCGATCGCTGTACGCGTGAACTTTTGAAGGAAACGAGGACCTGGCCCTAACATACCGCTGTTCTCTGTTGCTTTGCAGGGCGAGCTCTAGTTGGGCGATTCGATCCTCCATGCGTGTCCGCTGAGCTTGGGCACGGTCCTGCTGGTTCTCCATCAGCTTCACCATCTTCTCCAAATGCATTATCTGCACCTGCTTGCTCTCCAGAGTCGAATACAGCTCCTGAATTGCCTCCGTCTTCGCGGTTATCTGCTTATCAACGCGATGTTTATAAACGTTTCTCGATTCTTCCGCAAACACACCGAGTCTTCCAAGAACCAGGTAACTTTATATAATTAATTTCCTCATAAGACATCTTTTATAGCGTTGAATCAATTTAACAAATCGGCAGATCCTACGAGACCCGGTGTGTTTATGTAGCGAAAGATTAAGATTCGAATTAGTAGAAGTCGTAAGACCCAACAGTGAACCAATGTTTTAGGTACCTGCTCGATGTACTCGTTGTTTTCGTCGCTGTTAGAGAAGTCTGCGTTTTCTTGTTGAACGTTGCCCTTCAAAGTGTTAAGCAACTCGTCCCTGGCTTTCAAAAACTCCGTCTGATTCCGTATCACGCGATCCCGTTGCTCCACTTCCAAATGCTTCTGGGTCAGTTCAGTTTTCAGTTCCTCGTTCTGACGAGTCACTTCCGCCAAATTGTTACGAAGATCAGAGATGCATTGCTGAAGCTCGATCACGTGGGCGCTTAGCCCAGCTATGCCACCTTCCTTGGACTGCGAATGAAGCCGCCTTCGAATTTCTATCAACTGAGCTTCCAAGATCCCATTGTTTTCTTGGCTGTAAATCGTCCAGTAAAACCATGAGAACCTATTTATCATTTTTGTTAAACGTTCTCGACCAACCGTTCGTGGCCATTTTCAAAATTATCCGCCATCGAAACTGTAACAAACTTACGCGTTTTTTGCGGCCCTCTGCAACTCCGAATACTTCATCATCAGTTTCTGATAGTCGTTGGTCATGGATGCCAGATCAGCGATCAGTTTCTCTTTCGAGTCGTCTTCCTCGGAGAGGCTCTAGGCCATGCGAAGAGAAAGGAAATGATCAGAAATTATCGCGTATCCTACGCTGGAATAGAATAACATCTAACGAACGAAATGATCGAAATGAGCAGTTGTTAGGACTTAGACGAAGGCATGTTCCGAAGATAGTGCAAACTAACGACCGCTCGATGCATCACTGCCACGATCTGCTCTTTCTCTTGCTCCATCTGCTGCAGCATATCCTTTTGCATCTCCAACTTTTCCTTGGCCTCCTGGAGCTCGTTGAACAAGCAAACTTCGTTCTCCGAATGATGTCCCTCTGAATAAACAACGATCATATCAAACTGACAGTCGTTACAAAGGTTTACCATGTTTCGTACCCGTGATGATAATGTCTTTGTTCTTCTCCGAGAGTTCGTACAATTGGTTACTCTTTTCTTCCAGCTCTTTATATCGTTCCTGCAGTTCCCTGTACGCTTCCTCAACTTCCTGCCTGTTTAAAATAGAACACATACAGGCACAACTGTTATAACATTTACAGAAAATTCGTATCGCCAATATTATCCTCCTAATTATCGTGTCCTGCGGAAAGGACGATAATTTCCTCACCTTCTTTCCGTTTCCCTGCCTACTTCAGCCGTGACAGCGTCCAGCTTCTCCGACAGTTCTTTGACATTGTTCATCGTCTCGTTCTCTTTGTGGCTTATCTTCTCCTTCAGTTCCACCAGACTAAAGCAGACCAGGTCAAAAGGAAGGACAAAAATAGGCCTTACGATTACAGATTTTCGAATAACAGAAGCTAAAATAGTCTCAGTTATCCGAATAACAGTGTACTCGCTGAAAATAGAAAAATCAACCGTGTTTCGTAGCTGTCCCGTTGTTTCTCGACCTTAGCGATCAGGACCTCGCTGCTCTTCAAGGTCTTCTGCAACTCCTTCATTCTGAGCTCCGTCGTCTGCTCTTTCTGCCTCATCTGGTTCTCCATGTTTTTCAGATTCGACTGCAACATCTGTATCTTTCCCTCGTTGTTGGCCACGTGCGCGTCCAAATCGCGTATCTTCGCACGCGCCCCTTTCAACTGGGCTTCCGCCTGTCTCAAACGTTCCTTGCTCTGGTTGCTCCTCTCCCGTTCCATTTGCAGCTCCTCCAGGGTGGTGTTCAATTGCGATTGCAGCTCCCTTTGACCCTCCGGGCCTTTCGACTCCTTCGCCTTCGTTCCGTGGCTCTCGAACTTCTCCATCATGCTTCGAGCATTTTTCAGTATGTCCTCCACCGTCTTCGTTTCTAACGCTTTCACGTCATCCAGACACGCCTACGGGAATCTCATTGCTTGGTGGTGCACGAAATAAATAAACATCCCCATCGTTACCTGCAGACTCTCGTAATCCTTTCGATGAACGTCCAACTGCGCGGACACCTTCACCGTCGAGTCGTCTTCCTCGTTCTCATCGTCGCTGGTCTTCAGCTGCGAACCTACGAAAGTCACGAACTCCGATTGCTTGTTCAGCAGCTCCCTGCAGAGATTCTGCGATTTCCTCGGGATCTCCTGCAGCTGACGTTCCAGAGTGTCCATGAACTCGCTGGCGATGGCCAACTTTTCGGCAGAGCTCTCCGCCTGCTCGTCCTCGGCGACTTGTTCGATCGGTGGGGGCGGTTTCGGCGATCCAACTTCGACTTTAACATCTTCCATTTTCCCGGGATCCTTCGCGCCGCTGGCGATCACTTTCTCGCGAAGCTGGACCATGTCGTTGTACAAATCTTGCGCAATTTTCTGCACAGATCGAAAGTTACTTAAAGTTAGCCGAACGAAAGTCGATATTTTTCGCGATGGATCTCCAGATAATTACCTGTTTATCCATCAAGTCCTTTTTTAGAGTTTGGTATCGTTTCTTTTTTAACGAGTATTGATTTTCGAGCCTCATCACGGATCCAGCGAGCGTCGATGATAATGGCCTTTTGTACGAACTGGGGCTAACCGATGATTTTGTGGACGAACGTCGAGCGGAAGCGCTCCGCGATTTGTTGCCACCGGAAGCATCTTCCGTGGCGTTGCTCGCAGAATCCCCCTAAAATTGCATTTTCAATTTTAACGATAAACTTCAACTTTTGAGAGACTCGTTTGATATTGCAAGTTTCAAAACAAACATGAGTCGCATTGCGTGCTGATTCAGTCGTCGGTGTCCTGTTCCTCTGAGTTGTTAAAGCAGGCCTGTTCCCACGATTTGACATTGCACCTTTTTCCGCAATGCTCTCAGGCTTCGCGTTCTCTATATATTTAAACGAATACATAAAAATATAACATTGCGTTCGAAATAATGCAATCGAGCATACTAAACTTGACTCTTATATCTCATAGTAAACTCTTGACTCTGTTTACCCCTCCATCCCAAATATAGATTTTTTTCTCGAGATAAAAATTTCTGGAAAACTACAGATTAAGAGTAAAAATTGCGTTGAGCTTCGCATATAATTAATTAGAAATTATTCGACTATTAACTATTTCAATTCCCAATTGTGAAAGAAACGAAACTTACAGAGCTAACCAAAATTTGGTGACACGAACACAACCGAGAAATTTTGTCGACAAACCTATTCGCGTCGTCGAAAGTATTATGCACTTTTTCGATAATGGTTTGGGGAGGGAGGAGTAAATACGCGAAAAAATCAACGACGTGGTCGAAAACGAAAGAAATATAGTACGGAATAACGATCCGTGTCCAACAACCTGATGGATGCGCTGCTGTCGTCTGGCTCATTATGGTCAAAAATAAATTCGGCGACACGATGAACGGATGACCGGGTTACGATGTCTGCGGCACGTGGACGAATTTGCGGTGCTGTTATTGGAAAAACGGCCGAAATTCGGTTTCATGTTCCCACTGGTCGGGACAGCAAAGATCGCATGATCGTCGATTTGGACGGACAGTAGACGACTTCGCGACGTTGATTGTACAGGTTCGCGATCGCGCGAATGGGGTAAAAAAAGTTTGATATTTTCACTTACGAACGAGAGGATACGCGTGTCTGATCGTCGTACGGCATACTCGACGCGCGACGAATTACATCGGTATGGTTCGGTTTTATTTGCGAGATTTTTCGTCGAAAACACGATGATTTAACCGGTACGCGTCGAAAGGGAGAGAAAAAAAATGACAAACCCTGTTGTGTAGCGAGCAACTGTTATTGCGTTGCAACCAGGGATGGACAAAAAAGTATTCGAACGACGAATGCTATATTACAGTGGTTCTTAATAGTATTCGTTTTATAAAAAAATGTATGGAAGTCTCTTGATACGCGAGTGAAGTCGATGGACTCTTTTAATAAATCGATATTTTAAATTATTAGTTAAATCTTCGGACTACTAATTTTATCTTTCAATTTATTTCATAAGATGCCATTGTCAGGAACACGTATAACGTAACGCTGAAGTATGCTAATAGAGAGGAATGTAGGGGAAATCCTGCGGTCGTTCGTGCAGTATAGTTCTTCTACCTCATAGCCTGAGCTTCATTACGCGCACGCCACAGCGGAAGGGTTAAATCCGTGGCTCTAGCTCTATGTAAATTCGGTCGGAAGGAGGTGAGGAAGGAGTCAAAGTCTGATCTATTGCAGTATGAATCTCGTAATTTACATATCCCGGTTTCATGGCCCGTGATGTCAAATCCAGAAGTTCATAATCCGAATAAACAATAGGGAGAGCGATGTGCAGCGTGTCAGAAAGCTAATAAGATTAAATTATTCCACGAGAACCGAAAACAATGCACAAACGAAACTGTTTTCAACCATGAAATTTAATAAAATATCGAATTAAAAATTTAAAAACTTTCCAAATTGTTATCGACGATTCGTCTACAAGTACACGTCATTGTTAATTTTCCTCTCAGGACGTAGCTAAGTATCTGTACGAAATAAAATAAATTCCAAGGAAACGCAGGCGCCATGATAATTGCCAAAAATTGCCCGTACAGACGAATCGCAATTAAAACAGATGGAACAATTTAGTCGGGAATAAGGTCGATTTAATTAATGACCATAACGTTTTTTAAAAGACCTTCTAGAAATATCGTGAATCATCTCGTACTTTCTATTCTGGAACACTTGTCAATGGCCGTCTGTGACAATGGAGAGAATCCTGCCGTTTGAACCAAACGATTATTAAATTACTCGAAAAATTGCAATTTCTATAATCGGTACTATTAACATAATCATTTTTATTGATTGTAACATTGATTAAATTTTGTTAAATATATTATTTAAATTTATTACTTTATCGTTTATTTTAATAGATAATGATTCTATAAGCATGCCATATAATACCATTTGGCAAATTTATTAGTCCATTAAACGAATGAAAATGAATGTTTAATTATGAAATATGCTCCACTGAAATTTTTATTACTTCGTCAAATTTTATTCGATTCGAATTATACAGTAGAACATTTTAGATATTTCAGTCTTTTAGAAAACATCGATCTTTCGAAGGTATTTTAGCGGTATTCCCCCTTAAAATATTTTGAAATTGAATTTTATACAAGATGAAACGAACCGTGTCTGACCCTTACGGAAGAATCTCCTTCGAAGATCAACGCGCACGCGGTCCACGCAAGTAACGGGTTGTTATTAGCAGACCTCGGGAGGCGCAGTCAGTTGCCCGGAGACTCGCGTACGCGACGGATCTCTTCGGATGAACGTTTCAATCGCGGTTCAAACACGTGACATGAAGCACGAAAACCAATCGTTTTAACTGTAGTACACGTGTCCTGAACATCGGTGTGCATTTCAATCTAATCGTCGCAATGGTGAGCATTTCCTTTTTCGTACCGTTTTAAAAATAAAATCGTATACTATTTCGTTCTATATTTGAATACTAAGAAAGGGGAATCGTGGAGTTTACTTTTAGGAAAAATTGATGTTTAGATGTTGTTTTTTTTTTTAAGATATTATGATCAAGCTTCTCAAATATTATAATTCTATAAAATAGATCCGTGTATATAAATTTGTTATTTATTGACCTAATGCGGCAAGATCATTACGTTGTAATGGCACTTTAATTAATTATTGTGTACACTGAAATTACTTATTGTTTTCGCTAATGATGGCGAATGGAAGATATGAGATATAACACTTATACAAACAATTATACAATTAAATAACTGCCTGGTAGGAATAAAAATTTTGATAAAAATGGAGATTTAAATCCTATAACACTGCATAAATATACCGTTTTCAATTAGCAGAATGCTCGAATGTCTCTGCCAATCCAAATCTCTTATTTGGAGCTTTTCCCTTTTCGAAACCAATTCTCCAATCAAAAATTAATCCGCCTATTTAAATAAATAATAATCCAAAACCGATAAATCTCATGAATATGTGGAGCAAGGTAAATATTCGCGGATAAATGCGTGCATATTTTGCAGAATATTGTTTTTAATTTGGCGTAATGCGTTTTCAGAGTAATTGATGACAATACGTCAGTCGAACGGCTAAATTTAATAATTTTAATTTCCTGTGATACGTGATTGACAAATTTCACTTTTAACATTAAAGAGGATTTGTGCATCAACTTTATTTCATTTAGTAAAGGGTTTTATTTTTGATCGGTATTAATATTGACCAATGTTGATGATGAAAATATGTTATCTAGAAATGATTAGTTTTTCCATGAAAGGTCACGAGCGCAGCAAGGATGCAGACTGACAATGACCCCTGAAATGACACCTCGCGTTCTAGCATTTGTTGATACGCCGTACCAGCGATAAATATCGATCTCTCGAACTTTCTGCGACACGCGTTTAAATTGAGAAATAAGAAATAACAAGTGGTAGTAGAAAAGAACAAAAGCGCACACAATTTCAATAAAAAATGAGAAATTCTTAATTGAGTTCGTACTTTAAAAAAGATCGATATCTAATTAAAATTCTGTAAAAACGTAGAAAGTTTAATAAACCGGTTAGATGCATAAAAATTTGACATTTAATGCGTTTCCCCAGTGTTTTAAAAGGAAACCCTCGTAGCAGATATTTTTTTCCTTCCATCCTTTGATTACGTTCATCAATCACTTTAACGGGAAACCATCTTCTTATACTTTTTCTTGATTCTCTTCTCAGAAAGTCATGTATAATAAGATAAGATATCTCCTTCAATTTACATAAGTTTGCATCTTATGTTTTAAAAATGTCCAATGTCCGTCGATAAGGAATATAACTCCACGCTATTGGAAACGCTACTGAATTTATTTTACTGGCGTATTCCGCGAATCTATTTCGCTGCGCGCGCTAACTTGAAAATACACAGAGTTAACGCTAACGTTGACCGGTTTTCAATCTGCCCGGCGTAAATGAGAATCGAAGCTTTTAAAATGAAACAAAAGCGAACGCACCTGGCTGCCTAAATAGATTTCCATTCAAACGCTCGCGAAGATATTTCTAGAAAAATTGCTACTATTCCGGGGACGGGGGCTTAAAACCTTTCGCACCCCCGACTTATTGACATTCGAATGATGTATTGACATCCCTTGCAATCTGTCGCTGGTAGTTTCCCTCGACTCGACGCAATTTTCGAAGCCTCTTTCCTTCCTATTCTCTTCTCTATTTTTTTATTCCACTTCATCCGTTCGCCGACACCCTTTCCTCGTCCACAGTCACATAATGGGAGTTATTAATTTCTTACGACCTCACTTACACGAACAAACAGAATGTACAATCCTCCTGAATACAATTCTCATACCACAGCATTCGAAATTTTAAAGTTGTTGTCTTTTGTAAAAAAAATATTATATCGTATACTTTATAGGAAAACCTAACTTTACAGTTTAAAATTATTAATTTGATATTAATATATTAATAATTATAACAAATATTTTCAAGTGTAAAAATCCTATATGAATGCAGGTCTGGTTTTAAATTATAGTCCATGGACTGTACGAAGATATTTTGTGAATTTTAGTCCACGCAATATCACCTAATCCGTGTCCAATGAACATTCCAAGCCACCCAAATATTCCACTATCAAGCAATTTCGCTCGACTTGCCTGATCGAACATTAGTGTGACCGAATAATAAGCTGCCCAACCATAAATCCTTCGTACTTGAATATATAGGGGTCTAAGAAGGTGCTCAGAGGGCAAAGGTAGTCGACTCGAACTGGCATTGTGCCATTTTCGTTGCATCCGACCTCAAACCACCAACGGGAATTCAAACAATACCTCACTATAACTCACGACCATGATTTTCCTCTCCAACGTGTCATTATCACCGAGTTTGTTGTTCCCAAATTCTATCGGCGTTCCATTTAGATCTCATTAGATCTGACGCGAGGAGAGCTATATCATCCATTTGTTTATGGCGAGTGGAATAAATTTATTAAAACGAATCAGTAGACTCGTTTGTTGTGTCATTTTCAATACAATATTAATCGCTCAAATAATCGTCCCACTTTTGACCAGTCGTAACTTTTTAAAGACCCAACATACGACAGATTTAAAACTCGAAGTCTCGTGTTTCTCGACAATTTTCTTACATCGAAGAGTAGACTGAGAAAGTCTTTATTTTTTAAAGCTCGACAATACATAGCGATTGGAAGTTGTTTAGAAATTTAATGCACAATTTTGTTCAAGGATTCAAGGCTTCTCTACGGTTTGTTGTTCTTTATAAATCGAGTGTAAGCCTAAAATTGTACCTGTCGCGATGTATCTGTTCGGTTCGATCGACCAGTCGGACGATCCTGTTGCAAATAGGCGCATACCAAGGTAGAAAGAGAAAGTGCGTACGACGAAACGTATCGTTATGCTGCACGACGCCGCGTTGCGACTTGCCAAGATGACTCACTAAGTAGTTCACGTGTACGTATAGGCGGACCAAGTAGTACGAACACACGTTTGGTCGCACGTGTTGGCAAACGCCGTGGTCCCTGGCATTCACGTGCTTCACACTCGAATATTCGCAATTCTAATTTAATAGTGGCGACATCCGACAAAGTGACATTTCGTGTTACGTGCCCGCCGGTTATCCGCCGAATATTTGTTATTGCACAATGCATCGGGGTTACGTAATGGCGACGCACAATGTATAAAACACAAACCTCTGTCGTCTGACACGGGACCAACGTATACACGAACGTCAAACAATCGATAGTTGTTATCAACGTATTAGACATTTCGTAAATTATTCTTGAAATAATTAGAACTGATAAATACAGAATTTTTATCATAAATTATTATTTAATGGAATAGGTAATTTTATACGTAAAAATTACATTCTATTAAAATGATCGATAATGTTTTTTTAATTTATTTATGTTAAATAAGCCTGTGATGAAGATTGAAAAAAACTGATGCATCGTTTATTTATCGGGCGCAGAAAATGAATAGAAAATTTTTGTCGCGTTGGAACACTTTCGCGGCTCGATGTATTTACGTGGCTCGTTCAATCGACCGATAACACGATTTTCTCTTGCATAATGCCAGGGGCTTATCGTATCACTGACGTTTGCCTTGATGAAGATCTTGGCCGTGGCGAACGTGCCGAATCCGTTTTAATATGGCCGAGGAGGAATCAATGTCGTAACAATGTTCCACAAATTGTAAAAGCCGATGAGTCACGCGAAATGTTTCGCGAAGCTGGAATAATTTTGAATATTCTTGACGCAGAATAGTTTCGCGACAATCGTCTGAAAATCCTTTGATAAAATTCAGGTTACATTAGGTCGGGGCACGGTTTATTGTTAGTAAATATGTACTTGGAAATTTCGAAAAGCTCGAGAACTTTTTCAGACACAAATTGCACATTCTGGCAAGAATGAGAGATTATAAAGTGAAATACAGCATCGTAGGGAAAGTTTGTATCTTCGTTTCCCCAGTGTAACCCATCGAAGCAAAGAAACGGAATTCCCTCCATTCTCATAAAATGAAAGCACACCGTCTGCTACCATCTGTCGTGAGTGTTCATGGATAAATTGGGTCAATCGGTTTCCGATCCTAATCCCGCCCGTGACGCATCATTCTTATTTATCGTTTCAGTTCTGAACAATTTCTAACAAAACGTGCATCCGAAAGTTAATTAAAACGAGAGAGATCCTCATATTTCACGATCTTCGTTCGAACGTAATCTTCAACTTTCGCGTTTGTTACGAACGTTCGCTAAAACGAGAGCGTTATACACGAAGATTACATTTCAGCTGTACTATTTGAACTCTCGAACTTTATAATGAAGGTGTATCATTTTTTAAAAACTTTGAATTACGTAGGATTTTAAATGATTCGATTAACATTGTGTTTTTAGATTTATTTTGGATATTAAACATTTTTTAATTTACGTATTGCTGTCTGTAATAAAATATTTTAGAGACACGAAAGAAACAGGGCCTAAATGTATTCTGAAAGTTTTAACTACGATAGCGCTTTATTAAAATTTTCCAAGATGCGTCTAATACCTGAATAGCATTCTGTAATACATACCATCTAAAAATCTGAATCTGTATGGGCATTTGCGTGTTCTAAATTGTATGAATATAACTGCTAATGCAACTAACAATTTTAAGCGAAATCCACTGTGATCTTTCTTAGTTTACGTTATTGCATCCGTACTCTGAATTGCGGTATAATATGAAAAAGATGCCTTTAAAATCTACAAATAAAAATTAGTCACGATACAGATGAGTCCGCAAACTATGGTAGATATTTGGGAAATCGAGACTTACCTGAACAAAGGTGTTCAAATTCATCCCAACCAGTCCAAACGTTAGATCCGGAAACGTCTGGCACCTGTGCAATACCAATAAGTACAAGAGTTGCGTCTTTATCGGCTTCTCATACCAAAACGCTTGGCATCTGTTCGAACATCGTACAATTCATTAGAAATATTCGAAAATAACACAACAAGACGGTTACATTTTGTATGCTAAAAGCCAAGTTGCAGTACGAATGATCAAAAGTGCACGTTAATCCTCGGACGATGCATCCGTACACACAAACGTTATGTAAATGTTTTCCTCACAGATTCTGGTAGCTTTCTTCGCTCGAGTTTTTTATATCCTGCCCCATCATGCTGAGGAAAAGCGCATGAATCAGCGTGGCCATCGTGAATACACAGAACGTCAGGTATTGGGCAGTCATTTCGACCGCGCTTATCTGACTTTGGAGAAATACGATCGTTAATTAAATTACCCCAGTCGCAACGAAACCTGACAAAATAGATTGCATTCGTTCCGGTAAGATTTGAACTTGCCTTCGTGAATATTACCGCTATCAACAATACAAGTATTCCTAGCATCATGAAGACAGCTCTGCTGTGACATTCTTGGAGATCCGTTAGGTATCTAGTACGATATTACAATAAACGACACACACCACACGACGAGTGACCAAATTACACGAATAAAATATATAATATTAGCAGCGTTTGTTTGAAAATTCTTAAGAAATCTCAAGATTATGCTTGAAAGAATACTCACTCGAATACCCTTTTATGCATACGGATAGACTGGCACATTTTCGCGTAACTATCATCGTTCGGCGGATAAATGTTTTTCTTACACTTATCATGCTTCTCGCTCATTGCATTTTTAAAACGATATCTAGAGTAATTTTCGTCAGGTCACAATAATTTTAATACTGCCTCTTACGATAAAATCTGCACCGCCATATTGCGTAATTGCAAGTATCCCTAACGCGTGCATCTCGATAAAAAAACCTTCAAGAATGAACCGATATCGAATAAATTACTCACCCAATTATGTTTAATAAGGCGCAGGTGTGATATATGAAACACCATAAGTTTACATCGCAGCCAGAAACTAGAAATATGGTAATTACCGACCCCGTCATCTGACACATCATTATCGAATAATAATATTTTTCTTCGTCCAGGAAACAATATACCGGATACATCAATGGATGAGGTCGTGACTCGTTTAGCGGCAGAATAATGTCCAAGATATGCGGCACAAGTGGCAGTACTGTAAACGTAACCGAGGAAGACGTTATAGTCACTGAAAAACAATAGCGACATTTAAAAATTATAAATCCAATAATAAGGGAACGGAAAAATAATTGTCTGAAATCAATCGCGTCTATCGAGTATTCGAGATCGATAAATATAGATTATAAAGATCACCTGTGTACATGAATGATAATCGTGCTGCCTTTCTTAAATAAGTTTTCAAAATTTCCAACTCCTCCTCCGACTTTTCCCGGCAATCGTTTACAATACCATCTAGAAGAACTTTGAACTATGATTTTAATGACGATCAGTAACATTGTCGAAGTCGTATAAAAAAATTTCCATTGCTGTCGCACCTTAGCTTCGTTCACGATGTAGTTGTAGTATTTTATAAAAACACCGACAACAAGACACAAGAAAGGAAATTGGTTTGTCAAAGTCTGGTAGCTGTAGTTTTTCACCACATATGCAATCTAAAATTCATTGAAAAATCAAATTTATCAGTAGAATTTACAAATCAGGCTACTAATAAATAGGAAAATTAAATTGGTTCGTTGAGCTATTCTAATATTAGAAAAATATCGCGACAACAGCAACACAAACTGATATTCAGAGATCGAAGAAATTATTTTGTTTAAAGTTTCTTCAATTTGTCATCGTTCCGACAAACGAAATACAATTTAAACGAATAAAATTACTCCGTAAATTAACAAATAATGCAACAGGGTACCTGCGTTGATCCGCATAATGCAAAGGAAATATATATGTACGTTCGTGATAATGTTCTTATGAATTTATTCTGCCCGGGCCATATTCCAATAATTTGTCCGAAAAGCTTGTTGATTTTCAAGTACTCTCTTTCTATTGTACGCGCATCCATAATTGCACAGTCGACTCTACGCACTATCGTGATGATTCACTGGACGTATCGTCCCCTCGCGTGAAAATAATGTCGTGCTAATCATGCTACCCAAGAAAGCTTTCTCACTTATTAAATTATTCCTTAGACATTTGGAAGACACCTATGGACGCAACTACTCGGAGGATGACAAACAGCTGTGCATCAGTTATGTATTATACGGCTACCTTATTCCACGTCACCTTCTAGCGTATTTCTCGGTTAAATGCTGCTTAGGAACTTTGTTCATATTGCGTCCATTAACTTAATTCCCCTTTTTGCTAAGTAGAATTTATCGAATTTCGAATCGAGGATGCGGGCGCAGCGCAGAAAGTGCAGTCTGCCCGAAGACAGCGGATAGGAAAGGGTTGCCACTATGTCATGAACGCAAACTGGAGCATTTATACTTGCAGCTCGCAAGTTTCTTCTTTTTTACTTCGCGTGAGATCTCTTGAAACACGTCAGTGAAATATTGTGGTTCAAAGAGGAAAGCAACACGAATGGATCATTAGATCCATCTCAGTTTAGTTTAATGTAGTATTGTATGAGAACGAAGGGCGTTGTTGTAGGAAGCTTGATGAGATACTCGTTTAATGACAACCTTGCACTTCCTTTTTACAGGGGCTAAAATGGTTAAGGGCCGTCCGCAGTTTTTTGTTACTGATGGCGGCGATAACGAGCGCAAGTGCATCAAAATGCACCAGACTTATAGACGGGACGACAATGCCACGTTCCAACGCTGAAGAGAAGTACCATCTCTTTGTCACGCTGTTCAACCGAACGGAAATGGTGTACTCGTACATGCCCAACACCAGATACACTGGTAAGTATCATTCGATTCCATCTCCAATGTTTTCCAGTTCAAAATCGACGTATGTTTTTTTATTCTTTCTTCTTTAGACTTAACCCTATTATTTATTAAATTTAATAGGGCATAATATACATCTGCACACTAAATTATGCTTTAATTTTAATTAAATTCAATTTTTCTAAAATAAGATTATAAATGAGAATATATCATATATTCTTATCAAAATTGCTTCAACTCGAAGTTTGTAAAAAAATGGTTAAATGCATGTATCGGTAACCTTCAAAAGAATGCTCCAAGGAATTGAATCACGCTTGATTTGACAGAACAGGACTAGACACCGACGTAATGAACTTTGTTCTGAAAAGTTGGGGAGGAACTTGAACAGAGCCAGTGAAACTTTTAATTCTCTTCGCGTCAACTTCGAATAGTTAGAGGAACTCGTACTCTAGCGTGCAAATTACTTGTTTATCCGAAGACTGCAATGAATAGTTTACGCAGCTCTACCTGTTTTCGATTATTAACTCTTCGAGGTACAAATTTTCTAAATAAGTAATTCTTATTCCAATTTCTACTTTGGTTCTCCATAGTGATGTTTTCGGAATGTCGTTTACGAATAGGTTAAATAATATTCATCCCATTGGCTACTTTTATATAGTGTATATGTAGGAATGAAAGACACGTGGAGCAACTTGCGAGAAAGACAAAGGTCGAGCGTGTCCCTCTGTTGGCGAGCGCGAGAGGTATCGCGACGCCGAGCGCAAGCTTCGGGAAATACATTTTCGACAGCTCGTTCTTCGAGCAAAATTGGAAAAAAAGTAAATGGATTTTGCCAAAGGTTCACGGTAGAATGCCCCTTCGAGCCAGTCGAAGCGTGGAACGGCGACTATACGCGGCCACTAACGCATGCAAATTCGACGAGTCGGTGAATCAATGTGTTGCGTAATGCTGGCCGCGCGCCAGGCGCCAAACTCTGCGTGGATGCAGTTCAACGAATGCTCCGAGTGCAACGTCGAAGAACGCGATGAAATCACGGGTGGACAATAGACAGTTCCACGGAGAACAATGAATGACTAATCGCTTTTGAGGAGATCGCTCGCGAATATTCGAGGAGATTCGTCTGGAAACAACCGAGCACAGTAGTTCAACAATACACCGTTTAATTGCTGAAAGACGTTACAGTATTGTCCGCTTATATGTCACTGGGGTATCCCCACAGCCAACCTCGAGATCGTCTATGACAGACCTGGGCGTTCTGAAAAGTTTGCAAAACAAATGATTTTAAAATTAATTTTCACAGTTACTTGAAACGCCAAAAATGAATCGATCTCCAAATCACTGTTATGGGTTCGTGTTTGTTGTTGTTCGACGTTACTATTCGCGAAGCATAGAAAGATGCGACATTTTGTTTTAAACCGCGTCTCATTTTGCATCAAGATGCCTCGATTTGAGGAAGAAACTTTTAATCTCCTTTTGTGGCGCGAAAGTAGTTGCAACGCGGTGAAAAGAGACAATAGAACGCGGACAGTGGAGAATGCGGTTTATGATCATCCCTCAAACCCAGCTCCAGCAAAAGGAGTAATGAATAGGTAAGGATGTGGCGCAAACAGAATTCAGCTTTCCCTCGCTGCAATTAAAAGCCTCCATTCTTCAGATTCCGTTCTTACTTCGGGCGTGCTATTGAATTCGACGAAAAATAGTGCAGCAAGAGAAATTCTTAGGCAAACATTATCATCCGAACGAAGAAGATTCCTTTCGTTAAGATATCATAAGATTACGAGTATCTTTAATTTTTTTTAAATTCGAATACTTTAATGTACCAACAAATGTTCCCATAAATCGCGTTCTTGCGATAAAATATTCGTTTTCCCTCGTGAGAATGAATGAAGTACCGCGTGCAACGTTAAAGCGATTGAAAGAAAAACAAACATCGGCTTGCTGGTTATATAATTGTTGCAGGGAAATCGAACGAAACCCCGTGGAGCAAACCGCGCTGTAAAAGCTTCGCGAGTCAATTAAACTTTAGAAGCAGTTAATTGACAAGAAATGATCGTCCCTTTACAATTTATGGTTACTGAGATATATCGCGGGCAATTACGCCTCCGTGATGCCATTTTTCTTTCTCTGGCTGATGGAAAGGTTCCTGCAACGTCGACTTAGACCGTATAACAGTCGCGTTTAATGAAACTTGTTGCGAAAGGAAGATAATAAATTAAAAAAAAAACTAATTTCTCACAGACTTTATTAAATTATCGCGGGATAATTAATCGTGTGGCTTTTATAACAATTATGGCCGTTTCAAAACCGTATGCACACGGTCGGTGGATCCATTTATTGGAAATAGATATCAATTTAATTATCGAAGCCATGCGAATTTTTTGTAATCGTTGATTGATTAATAATATTACATTCCAATTTATATACTAAACATCGTACAAAAATCGAAGAAATCATTAATTAATTGTCAGATGCTCGAGTCGAATTAAATAATAGAAGCGTTGAGCCGTTTCCAACTTGAAAAAGAAACGAGCAAAGAACGAAAATGGAGTCGTTGTAGTGCACGCGGAAGGGAGGGGAACCGTGGTTGTAAAAAAAAGTCGGTGAAGAACTGCAGAACAAAAAATCGAACGAAAATGGAGGGAATAAAGTCGGGTGAATAAAAAAAGAAAGAAAAAAAAACAGGGGAGGCAAGAACTCGCATTATCCGGAATTCGATTAAACCTGCTCGTGCAGACAACAAATCTCCGTGATTTACGTTCGAAGGGCTTCTAAAGACGTAAACGGAGAGGCGATCAAGCAGCGTGACAACTAAATTCACGAGACGCTGCACCGAGTGCAAGCTTTATTGGATCGATTTTCAGCTTGGTAGACTCTGTACATACTTTTTAACAAACGCCCGCCATTACTTTCTTTCTTTAATCCCGCGATAGTAATATTCGAGCAGAGCTTTAGTTTTCGCGACTCTATAGACAACGGAGTGTTTTTCACTTGACTTTGTTTGTGGACGACAAAATATTTTGGTAAAATTGGGACTCAGGTTTGGATTTAACCTTTTTAAAAAAAAATTTATTCGATACCAAAGATGTCGTCATATCGAGCTTTTTTGTTGGTAGATACGCACGAAGGTCGCTACTGTTTTTCTAGTGAAAAGTCTCGTGTTTTTTTGTTTATCGACCGATAGCAGTTCTTAAGACGAATACACACGCCTACAACGCAAGGTCAGTTAAGGTCATGGAAAAGCGATTACGTAACAAAGTTGCTTCGTTTAGACGTTACGTTTGAAGAGATTACATCAGCAGTCGGTTGAAACTTGTAATAAAAGAATATCGACTGTTAAAGAATCCTAAAATTACTATTATCTTTTTCAAATCTTTTCTAAGCGAAACTCAAGTTCGTGTATAATATCCCAGATCGATGGTTTACCTCGACTCGAGCTTAAATATAAGAGCATTATAGCAATATACATTAATCTTCCAAGTTTAGAGGGAACACCATAATGGCGCCACGAGTAATTAAGCAGCATCTTCTTAAATAAGATCTTTTTTTTTTTTTTGACGCGCAGTTACAAATTCGACGAGGCTGAGTTTCTTTCCTTTCGTTTCTATTTACTGGCGTGGGAAACACGATACCCGGACGAAGGTTTTAGTTAACTCTGTTTCCCCCCCCCCCTTTTTTTTTTGCGGTTAATTCTTCTAATTCAGGGTTATGGGAATGATCGTGGGAGGTCATGCGTCACTATTTACTGACGCAACTCTGACTTTCAATGGGTGTTACGCTTGAACACGCGCGCGTCCAGATTTATTTTATATCGTTTCGTTTGTAAATTATAAAAATTAGAATTTCGTAAGAAGAAAATGAACAATTCGTGACCTTTGTAATTTTTTTTTAAATTGATAGAATTGGAGACCAAAGGTGACCTTGAAATGACCTTCAAAACATCCAGGAATTAAGAAACTAATAGTGTGATATTAATCCCCTCTCGAAGTCATGGAACACGAGACATTTTGTTGAATATTTTTACCCGCATGTTTTTCAATTACTCTCTACGCAGAGAACAAAAATATTATGTATGCATTACGTGGATACAGTCTGAATAAACGAAACGTGCAAAAACGAAGTTACTCGTTAAACCAGATTTCGATTACCGCGTGAAAAATATTTATCATGGGCGTTAAGTAGAAGCTGAATATTCAAGGTAGACGCAGTTTGCGAAGACCCATAATACTGGAAGCCATAAATGCTCTAAACACCTGCGTGTTACGACCCTGGTTACAGACACACCAGTCGAAGTAAAACCGACTGGAAAGGCTTGGAACGTTTCTTGCATCCACAAAACGTTTGCAAGGTCTTTAAATTCCCACGTGTTATCAATTTTTCGATCTCTCGAAGCTAAATATTCTCCTCGATGTTTCATATTTTTCAAGACTTCGATTCAATTTTCGTTTCACGATCTGTTTTTCAATTTATCTTTATACTTAATTTTGTATTCTTTCGATCTCCCAATTTTTCATTGTTCCGCGTTTCGATATTTATATTTGCGTTATGAGGCCCACAGAGCCGCACTGCGGACAAATAACGCGGATCTGAATATAATGGCTTTTAAACGCCATCGAAAAAATCGTGCTCGCCTCCAATATTTCACCGGGTTCAGCGTACATCGCGTTTAATCCAAGTTATAAATAGCGAGCGACAGAGCGATCTTCCATATTTCTATTTTAGACACACGAATATTCCTTCGATACATGGGGACTATACAAACACGAGCTGCTGTCTAGGTTATATAAAACATCAAATCGTGAAAAAGTTTATTAAAACAATTGCATAGAATAGATCTTTCTTTGTGTATCTTTAGAAAATTTTTAATCTTCGTTTGGTAATTTCTCCTGCGACAAATAGACAAAATATTTATGCACATAATTACATAAATATTACAATTATCAAGGAATACTAAAAAGAAGAGCAACGTGGCTTATTGTTAATTTTGAATTTGTTTTACCTATACTAGAAAGTTTACTTTCCCACAGGAGACTCCAAATGTTTATTTTCCGTGGTTGTATGTAAATTTGCGTTAACAAAATATACTGCAACACGTATGAATAAAACAAGCGATCGATTATACGTTACAACGTTATTGAATGCATGATAAAATAATTGTCAATGGAATAAATAATCGCTGAAAATATAACCATTTTAATTAAAACGTTAGTAAAATGGAACAATTCTTTTGAATAATTTATGATACGGGTATAAAGAAACGTTGTATGCTGTTTAGCATTTGAAAAGGGTCGTATAAATCGTAACCCTTCGATCTTTTTATTATGTATATGCGGTGCGGGAAAAAATTTAAATCCAGCACTGATGGTCTTTATAAATCTTGTCAAATAAAATATATTAGGTACAAAATGGAGCAGAGTGGAAATTCTCGTTTCAGTAACCGTGCAAGCAGACAGTACCGGAGTAATACCGCGGAGGTTCACGAGGTTTCTAATATCCAGCGGGCCAGAAAATGAAGATGACACAGTAAATGGCGGCGTTTTCGATCTTCAAGACGAGTCGTTGACAAGGTTCTCCGAGGTTTGTCCAAACGCCGTGGTGGAGACCTCAAAGGTACCAAAAGAGGAAATATCCGTGGCTTGGACCAGCCCTTCCGAAGGTAGCGGTTGCATATTTATCAGGTAAAAGGATATTTTAATAACAAACGTGAAAAATAAGAAAAATCGACACGAGATAGATGCCTAAATTTTTCGGCGAAAAAAAAAATTCAAATCGTTCTAGAAAAATTATTTTTAGTTATAGGGTTCAAGTACAATCATTTTTGGTGAATAGACATACCCTCAAATTCCTACGCATTTTCGAGAAAAAAATTCTAGAAGGTGGACAAATTTTTCGGCGAAAATGAAAAGCTTCAAATCATTCTAAAAAAATTATTTTTAGTCGCAGGAGTTAAGTACAATCATTTGTTGTGAATAGACATACCCCCGAAATCCAACGCATTTTCGAGAAAAAAATTCAGGAAGGTGGACAAATTTTTCGGCAAAAATGAAAAGTTTCAAATCATTCTAAAAAAATTATTCTTAGCTGCGGGGATCAATTACAATCATTTTTGGTGAATAGACATACCCCCGAAATCCTACGCATTTTCGAGAAAAAAATTCTAGCAGGTGGACAAATTTTTCCACGAAAATAAAAAATGTTAAATCGTTCTAAAAAAATTATTTTCGGTTGGAGAGGACAATTACAGTCATTTTTGGTCAATAGACATACCCTCGAATTCCTACCCACTTTTGAGAAAAAAATTCTCTACCGAAAATACAATGTCTGACCATATATCTGACAGTTCTACTGAAATTTCATGCGAATGTTTAAAAAATCATAACTCCCGAACGGATTGGAGGATTTTAAATTTAAAAAATGCAAACAACGCGTATTTTAACGAAAAATATGTAGAAATTCTAAGAATGTTAGAAAAGTTGTTCCTTAACCCCGTAAAATGAGGAAAACCCCATAAGAGTAGTGCAATATTCAAACGACCATAACTCCTACAATAGTGAATATATTTAAATGAAATTTATTTCTGACGTAGAGCTTATTGGTACTTAAAAAAAAGTATTAAGCAACATATCCCTACAACATCAAATAAAATTACTAAAAATCAAAAACGATATTTCAAGAAAAATCGACAAGGGGTAGGTTCAGACATTTTTCGACGGAATGAAAAAATTTCAAATCGGCCTGTAAAAATTATTTTTGGATGGCAGGGGTCTAGTACGATCATTTTTCAATCATGTTGGCTCAAAGTTTTTGAACATTGATGGGCTAATAAACTCTCGCAGACGCGGGATCAATAACGTGTGTCCTTTTGCTTTTTCTTGGAGCACAGGGCAACGATATTGGAAACGCCGGATACATGGTACATGGATGATTCGAACTTAGTTCTGAAAATATGTCAAGACTCGAAAGCCGAGGCGGACGATCAGGGACCAGTGTTGGAAACTTGCTGTACCTGTGACGAGGCGAAGTACGAAGTTACTTTCGAGGGACTTTGGTCCAGGAACACCCACCCCAAGGCGCGTAAGAGTTTGTCAAATAAAATCGACAGACGGAAAGGCATCGAACTTAGCTATCGATCCCGCCTATCGAGCAACAGTGTACCTAATATATCGAATGTGTCAGTTTTTTTTTTTTTTTATTTTTGCTCGAATTAATAGTTTTAGTCGTTACAAGCAAGCTCGATCGTTTTCAACCCTTCACATTAAGTGCTTTAAGACATTTTTCAAATTGAAATTCTATTTAATAAAGAATTTTCAGATTTTTCTAGGCATTGGAAATTTTATTTCAAAAAATTGTTCAAACAGGACTTTCCCAGCAAAGGATGGCTGATTCGATTCTCAGACGTGATTGGAGCTTCCCACACGGTAGATTACAGATTTTGGAGATACAACGGCATGGCCAGTGCTGGTTTGCGACAAGTGGCTGAGCTTGGATCAACCAGAAGATTGGAATCGGAATTAAAAGACCAAGTAATTGTTCTTTCTAAATCTATAAATCTTTCTAATAATAATGAAAACAGTACGTCTTTATTGCACCAGGATACAAGTCGCGAAAATATGAATTCAATAATCTGTAACAAAGTGATCTTGAAATTGACTTGAAACTCTCACGAATGGGAACAACTAAATTAATATCGATGATTGATGTTTAGATGTTCTTTTCATTTTAGAGCGAGCATATCAGAACGATCATCAAAGCCAGAGGAATAAGTTACCCTAACGTTACTGGCAAAACTTTTGCAGTATTTCGCGTCGACCGGAAGCACCATCTCATGTCTTTGGTATCTATGCTTGGTAAGACTACTTTTGTCAATCATGCTCCTAACTAAACTTGCTATAATTTACAATAACAATTCAGAAGAAATTTCAATCATTGGTACCCAACGACTACTTCAATTTATTCGTAAATAATATTGTGCTCTATTCTTTCGTGTGATCACGTGCATGTAATAAGGAAATCTCTGTTTTTTAAAATACTAGTTAAAGGTAAATCGACTGATAAAATTTTGGGATGTGATAAATCATTTTATAGATCCTTCGCCGGACTGGATAGTCGGTGTGTCGGGTTTAGAATTGTGTCAGGATGATTGTACTTGGATAGAGCACAAGGAACTCAATCTCTATCCTTACGATGCGGGTACCGACGACGGAATCACGTATTTGGTGAGTAAAAATGTCCTCTGAAATATTCTAATTGGAGTCTGCGAATAGAATGCGCGGTTGAAAAATTATTTCTTTGGGAAAATGGTAGAAAAACTACGATACAGCGACGAGGGTTAGCGATAAATGTGTTTCACGTTCGAGAAATAAAAATGGCTCGAACTATTGGGATATCCTTGGACGCGCGGAGAACAAAATGAACGTCGACTGTCGGCTGCAGGGAATCGTATAATAAATTTGACGGGAGGCTTCCACCCTAACAATTGACAATAGGTCGCGTGAAAATCGCTGACGACGTCGAAGGCTTCTCCTTCCGGTTTTGAAAAGCGCACCATTTCACAGCCAGATTCTCCTCGACAGATACGGACGAAATGATGAAACGCTGGCAGCATTGTAACAGAACGTTAGTTTAGAACGTACAAAACACCATGCTTTTAATAATAAAAATTTCTAACTTAACATTTTTAAATTCCTCGATTGTCAACTTTTCTTTTTGATCAGATTTAGAAATATGTACGAAATAACTGAAGAGCATTTACAATGATAAACCAGGAATGATTGATTATAATAATTTGAAATAAATCGTACTTTTCGTTCTTGAGCTATTAATATTTACAGGAAAATTATAAACAGAAAAAGGGTTTTTAATATCCCCGAATGTAAAATTGAATGTGTTTAGCCACGAAATAACGAGGTAATCTAGTTAATAAATATTTGGTACATCAAAATAACAATCCCCGGGTGTTCGTAGTCGCCAGATTCGCCAAGGGACGAACAAGAGCCCATCAGACGCATAACTTCGACGTATCCGAACGATTCAAGGTCTCCCTTTTACGATCCTTTCGGTTTGGGCATGAAGCCCCTGGCCAGGCTGTACTTAAATCGACAGAGGCTCTACGAGAAGACTTGCGTCGGCACCCCAAAAGATGCTGTTGACACAGGTGTTACTTCTCCCCCGGAACATAATCGCAAACATAGCAAGTATTGCTTCTTTATTGTTTTATTTTACCTTCTAGACGTGATCATGGGGACCAAAATTAAGAAGAGTTCCTCGTAAAAAAAAAATATTTATTACTTTATTATGAAATCTATCTGGTCGAAATTCCCAATTTTATGAAAGGTTCCAAACTTTTTTTCTTTGGATTCGCAACGTGGAAAACGACGTTGACAAATTCTGCAATGTTATTTTAAAATCACCGTGTGCACACACGAACCGTATTCGTTTGGGAGTATCGCTTCCTCTTTGGGGGTCTCCATGTCACGGGTTGTTTGCTTAATCGCTGTAAGAGATGTTCAAGCTGACTTCGATCGAAGGAAATTGAGGTAAACAAAGCACGAAAATAGTATCGCTTTCTCACGCGATTTGTTTGTTTATCGAAATTGGATACTGACGAGTCGCGAGCGATTCTTGCCCGCGTTTAATGAAATCTGGCTTCACAGCAAAACGATAAGAATCAATGAATGGTATTTCTCATTTATATAATTGGAGACAATTAAAAATATCGTGGCAAAATTAAATGAAATTGCTCGCCACTCGAATTATTCATTTTTAAAATTATTTATTCTTTCGTACGCTTACTTTAAAATGTAATTAGATAAGAATTAGACTCTGTAGCATGGTAGATTATTTAATAGTAATTCAGAAATTATCATGTCACAAAACGTCACTCAGAATTTTCATTGTATTTGTTCACATTATTATTTCGATATTAATAACCACTCATAAATAGTGTAACGAAACTAACATACTATTATTATTATTATTTATATTTGTATTATTATTATTGAACGTTTTTATTACGCACATGTCAAGGTACATACACATATACATACATACGTAAATGTCACGAAGGTCAAGTATACAAATGCGCAAGAAACGAGGTACAGCCAAAAATGATGTCTCAACTACTTGTTCTTAAACTAAAATGAAAAGTAAGAAAAAACATCAAAGTCCCTCCAATGGTGAAAACCATGTACAAAATGGGTAACTAGAAATCATAGATCAGAGGGTAGAAATGGTAATAGCAAATTAGATTAAATTAAGTTAGAAGCATGCATGGTGAATAAACTTTCATTTTCTTTCACATCCAGTATGAAGTCTAAACGTCCCAGCCTCGCGTCATAAACAATTTATAAAGTCAATCAAATTCAATGCTATAAATCATTAATATCTTTTCCGATTATCTTAATAATTAAAAAATGGTACAATGGTGCGAATTTATAAATTGTTCCAAGTGGAGGTGATTACGCAGGGGGTGCGGAGCAACGCCAATTGTCTCGCCACGAGGGGCACGAAATTTATGCTTGACGAATAATTGAATTTCTGACATACGCAGAAGCCTGCCAGACGACGCCATGGGGTCCTTGGGGCGCTTGTTCCGTGACTTGCGGTCGTGGAAACCAGCTCAGACAAAGACAGTACAAAGACGAAGTCGCCGCGACGCTGTACAAATGCAACGCCAACCTGACCGACAGGGCAACGTGTTATGGCTCGAGTCCTCATTGGTGATTACTATGATTTTTTTAATACCTTCATGAGAGTGTGATCAATGGATTGGCGAGGTTTCCCCGATGAAAATGAGTATAAACACGACTTTATTCGGACATATTTTTAATCATATGTATTGCATAGAGAAAGAAAGATTGGACCTTCGTTAAAGGACATGTAATATAATCGGTAAGTAGAATGTATCGTCTGGAGATTGTTGTACACGCTTCGTTTCCTATTTCCAGTTGTTAATTCTAGCCAGGTATAATTTTTCTTTGTCCATGCAATAGTTAAAATTCTACGAACAATAAACATAGTCCGAATGTGGCCGTGTTTGGACTCATTTTCATCGGGAGAACCTCGTCGATCCGTTGCTGATATTCTCACAGAGGTATCGTCGTATTGTAGTAGCAAAGCAGGACCCTTGAAGGCTCTCCTGGACACCGACATGTGCGCCCTGGAGAAGTGGAGCGAGTGGAGTTCCTGCACGACGACCTGTGGCCCGGGTCAGAAGACGAGATCGACGAATTTCCGCGACAAGAAGCATCGCAAACAGTGCAGAGCCATCCCTGACGGGCCGAAACTTCAGCAGACAATCGACTGTGATAACCCTCCGTGTTTAGACGACGACGGGGATGAGGTAAGAGAACCGTCCGCTCAGGAGGAGGACAATGATAGCAATCAGGACAATGGCGACGGAGAGGATTACGAGGGAGAGGAACCGGCGATGGAGGTAACCGAGGAATGGATGCAGGTACAGAACATCTCGGAGTTTACGACAACTTCTTGCTAATTGTCACGTAACAACGGCTTACGCGTTGCAACACACGTGCACCTTTATGGCAATAACACCTTGGCTCACGTCATCAGACGAATTGTGCAACTAGGCTAGAACGATGTACAAATTTAATGAGAATTTCATATTTAACCCTTCGCTGGATTAATAATTTTTCAAAATTATATCAGGGTTGAGGGATTCGACGGCCCTTCTGCTTCACTTTATTTCTTTGTTATTGTTTTAAAACGTTAAGCTATAGTTATTACATGGAAATTGGTGTAACAAGTGAATCTCCACTGTTTCTCGTCGTTTATCATTTCATTTGTTCTAACAGTGCTTCCGTTCGATGTGTTAATGCAAAAGAATCGTATAATAATACCATTAAAAACATTTGAAATCAATTTTTTTAAAAAGGTTGAAGAATTATTATTAAGTTGCAAATTTTTTTTTTTTAATAACTCGTACGATAGTCGAACCATCACTAACGAATCTCGAATCGTTCGAAACGTAACTGTAAATCATACCTGCACCATTTCTCGCAGATCCATCCATGGCACTGGCATCCTCACGTAAGTCGAGCGATTTACTCATGAAAAACTGAAACGATGATCCACTAATTTGAGGTACGAGTGAGTCAGAAGCAACGAACAAGAATTCTTTTTTGCGTCACAAAAAATTTAGTACTTCAGTAGTGCCAGATATTGTTCATATCTCCTACTATTGGTCAAAGTATATTTCTATTTTTTCTTTAAAAAAAAAAAATACAAAAATCAAAACATCAACATATAAAATAATTTTGTTAATTTTTCTTCTGCTCGTTCGATATAATATTTCCACGTTATTTGCCATCTCACAATTTCATTTAATAACTTCATTTCTCGACTTTACATTATCTTGTTTTGCAATTAAATTTCCGACAAGTGCGATCTACTAATGTTCATTATACGGTAGCACCATTTAATTTCTTCATCAATAAATATTGTTCCAAAGCGTTTTGCACTAAAATTTGGTATTCGTCGTGTAAGCTTCATTTTAAATATTTTTTAGTACGCAATACCACTAATTAGAGTACGATTAATGAAACTTGTCTATTAACACAAAGCAAATAAAAGTACCGAACGTGCCAAATGCAAGTGCAAAAGGGTTAATTGATCGAAAGGATTCTCGACGTTCAGAAATATCACCTTTTCGTAAATCCGTTTCCATGTTAGAAGTGTCCCGAGGATCGCTATACACCATGGACCTGGTGGTCGCCCTGCAGCTCCAGTTGTGGCCCTGGTGTCCAAATGAGGTCCAGACTCGTCGATCGAAATTGGAGCAGTCTCGGTGACACCGACGATGACCTGACTCTGGAGGAATGCAAGGTCCAGCAGGCTGCCTGCGTAGCCACTATTCCGACCTGTGATTTCTCTAAAGACGAAGCAGAACGTAAGTCAAAAGACAGAAATGTTTCGAGCACATACGGTACAGTGGTAGGAGAAGATTAGATTTAAATGACTTTTAGTTATATGTACATTATCTTTAGTCTCTATCTTTTTAATTTTATCCAACTGAAGGGGGATTTAACTTGGTGGATCGTTACCTCCTTACGAGATAAAGAGGATCGAACGATAACAAAGATTTATCGTAATTTCCAGAAATATGCAGCGAACCGATGGAAAAGGGGCAATGCAATCGCAACATTTTACGCGCGTACTTCCACAAAGAGACTGGTCGTTGTCGTTTGTTCAGCTACTCCGGCTGCAATGGAAATCGAAATAACTTCCCCACCGAGCAGGACTGCAAAAATGTTTGCGGCAACTTTCAAAGTAAGTTTCGCGCGATCGAAGAATGTAATACTTTAACCGGCAAGAAGAGAATTGCAAATAGAAAATGAATTCGCAGGCGAGGAATTTTAATATAATAAGGTTGTAATATGTTTTTGTACGTTTCGTTAAACACTTTTTAAACGATATAAAAACTGCCGTAGCGCCGTTCAAGTCTTCCTTTTTAACAGAATCTTCCCCCCTTGCTCTGTGCACGCTTCCTCGTGAAACGAAGGGGAGTCAAGGTCAAACTTGTCGACAATGGTGAAAAACTATAAGGTGTCTCTCAGCAGCGTTCTCAGCTATCACATACCCGCGCAGGAGCAACGCAGCACGAAGACGAAACGAGCTCACCACGGTGACGCTAATTCTCAGTAGGGACGAAATCAATTGGCCGTTCAAGGTCGCGGAAGAGCTACCCCTTCCCGCCAGTCAACACGGTTCTTAACCGTTCGCAGCGATACACGTGACCTCGATCGACCAATCGAGCTCGATCTGACTGTAGCAAAGTTTTTATTTCACGACGATTGATCGAAATTAGAAAATTTCGATCTGAACTTTTAAACGCCATTTTAATACATAACTGCAACGTTCATATCTATCATTCCATCTTCGTGATAGTGTTAAACCTTGATTGGGGAAGTCCCCTCTGCTCTATTTTCAAAGGAACCACTGGTACCAATTTTTATCATAACCGATGTTCGTTAGAAGTCCCAATTATTGAAAGGCTTTCGACGCTTTCAAAACTTTCACATTCGTTGGGGCTATCACGATCTTTTAAGATTTCTACTCGAAGACTGTAAGAGGGCATGTTGAGCATTCATTAGTCTTAGAGAATTACTCTTCATGATACACCCGTTGACGTTATTAAAATGATAGGTTTTAAAATAGCATTTCAGGCTGCACTTTATCTCTTTCGCACTTACATAAATATATACACATGTATTTATTTCGTATGCGTAATAAAAGTGTTCAATAATAATAACAATGATGATGGATCCCTGAAAGAGTCTCATTAATATTATTTCTTACAGAAAAATTAGAATTCAAGGGAATGAAATCCGACAGCCAGGTGATAGAATCATCTGAGAACGTGGAAGATATCGACTGTCAGGTGACAGAATGGAGTGGTTGGTCCAAGTGTATAGGTTGCCGTGGATATACAGTCAGTACGAAGGAAATCATGGTAACTATCGTTTTATCGTCGAGCTAAGAATAAAAAACGAAAGGCGATAAAATTATTGTGCCATTTAGATACCACAGAGCGGTAATGGTAAAAGTTGTCCGAAGAAACTTCACCGTAAAAGGAAATGCCACAAGATACCGCCATGCTGTAAGTACTGTAATCGTTAAAGTAGTCGATAACATTGATGAAATGATTACAACTGAAATTTATAGCTTTGCAAAGCGATGGACCAAGACGGCGTATACACCGCGACCGAAATACGGAAATAAACGAGAACGAAAGTAAGTTTCAATATTTACGACTGTTAATAAAAACGTAATACTCGACAAATTTTTATCGCGAAAGAAAGAATAACTGTTACATCGGGATTAATCAAATAAAAATCTAACGACGGGTAATAGAGAAAGATATAATGGCGTTGCCTCCCATGCTCGCCACCAGAGGGCTCGCGCTCTCACAAGCGCTCGACTGACCCCTCGGTTGCTATATATACAATCCTCAATCGACTTTGTAATATCCGAGTCGTCTAAGACGGGGCCTGCTAGAAAGCCTTACTGGGATGAGTCCCGTTAACAAGGTCCTCCTATGAGTTTCTCGAGATTCCCGCAGCAAAGCAGCGCCACATATATTTATATGAAATTTTATAAATCAAACAAAACTTCATTTTAATATTATAACTTGATCTCATATAATGTTTATATTCAATAATTCATGTACATATTAACTATAAATTAATTTAATAATTATTAATCAGAGACTGAATACCGGTATATTTTGAAGTATCGGTATCTTACCAGTATTTGTTTCCATATTATCGTAATGTAACCGCTATATAATATCGTATAATCATTTTTGCAATTAGTCTCAGTTGACTGCAAAATGACACAGTGGTCCACTTGGTCGCGTTGTACAGCAACGTGTGGCGACGCATCGCAGTGCAGAAGAAGAACAGTCAAAGTTCAACCCCGTGGTCCTAGAAGCAAACTGTGCCCTGCTTTGGTAGAGTATAGGAAATGTCACACAATCGAATGTCCATAGTAACATTTATCCAAAGTTTTTACATATCCATTTTTTTTTTTTATTTCGCTCGTACCTTCAGAATATTTGAATCTTGAATTTTACTTGGAACGTGGTATGTATCATTGGATCAAGCGCGACGAATATTTAACATGAAATAGAACTTTATACAACGATATATAAAATTGTTATAAAACATTACAGTTTTTTTTACCTCTTATAGTAACATATTTTTAAAAATTCTTGCAGACACCATGAATATAACGCGACAATCGAATCATTAAATTTAATGTATTAGAATACAGTTTTCTAAAACGCTTGATGGATTGATACATATCATTTTCAAATCGAGAATTTTTATTTAATCTTTTTCCATGATTTATTAATAAAACGTTCGATACAAATACGTTTTATCAACTTATTGTGATGTAATGATATTATCGTTTAATCAAAAAACTGCTTTAAATGAACAATTTACTCTCCTTTATTCGTAGAATAAAGTTTACAGAGAATATTTATAATGAAATTTTAGACCAACTAGTCTAATATAACGCACAGAGAAATCGTGCCACGTTTCACGTAACTTTCCTTCGTTTTAAATATTTTAATTATGTAACGTTTAAAAAGAGATAATATTTGCAAAGAAACGTCCCTCGGTACAAGTCTAACTGATTAATGAAATTGTACAGAATTTAAAATATTGAAACTGGTGATCATGATTTTATAAGAATATGATTAATACTTCAAAAGATATTTAATGTTGAATTAATGTTTTTACATAACTGTTTCTTCACTTTTATAGATAAACAGGTCACCAAAATTTTTATGTTAAATATCTCGTAAAATATAAATTGCGTTCCCGTAAAAATCCCCTAATCATACCCTTCAGTGTTTCAAACACAATTTCTGAGCAAAATCTCATTAACCAGTCAGACTTGTAGGAAGAAACCTATCCTTATTATACATGTTATTTTATTTACGGCCTTATTAGAAAATTGATGTTTAATTTTGATATATTGATAGTTCTTTCGGTCAGAAGAAACTGTATTCCAATTAATTGCAAAATAAGGTCAATGAATATAAAAAATATAATTTATCACGGTATAATCATAATAGATATTTAATATTCAAATAATTAGATGTAACTAAAATTAACAAAATTCCATGGAAGAAACAAACATACCAGAAAAGAATATGTTATGTAAAAAGGTACATATTAAATATTTGGAAGTGCAGTTTCTCAAATGTTTTATCGACCAATATAGCCCACTTATAACAGTAATTCATATTTGTCTGTACAAGTATTATAAAATATATATTTATGGCATTTATAACATAAGATTTAAGGAAATATAGATCTCAATTTAAGACCAAATATTTCGATACGATCTATTAAAATTATACATTGTTAAGATTTAAATAAAATCAATTAGGCAAGTTGAACAAGTATTGGAAAAAATATTTGTTGACAATGATCATTAATTGTTCTTACGTATAGGTAACATATCGATAAATAATAAGATGCTTATTTATTATTAAGTAAAAAACATTATCACAGTATTCTATTTACTCTTACTTGACAATAATGATAATGATAAATAAAATGAAGTTCAAAACTCTGTTCCTTTTCCCCGTGCGGATACAGTGTTAATAATAAATTACAATAGAACGTTTTGTTTTACAAGCAAGAAGTAGTTTTGAATCTCATTTTAGTACTTTGTAAGATATAAAATCTTGTACAATAATACAGAAAAATACTGTTCATTTTGTCATTTCATATTCTCAATTAGATTGTTAAAAATTATATGTATATTCTTTTAGTTTATCAACAAAATATAATATACATATAATGAATCCCCCATAAATAAAATGTAAATTGTTCTAGGTTTCCATAATATTGATATTCACATTATACAACACATATCTACATAATATTTATTATAATATATTATTGTATAATTTTATAACAAGCTGTATTACTACTTGCAAAACTTAAGTTTCTTTCAATTTAATGTTATCGGAATCATCATTTTTTTCTGAATTATCAATTTCATTACTCAATAAAGGAGCATATAGAAGATTAACAGTTTTTCCCTTGAATTTCTCTTGCAATAAGTTTCCCTTTATATTTTTCTTTATTCTTTGAAACGATTTTTCCTAAAAGTTATTTTAATTATATGTATTAAAATAAAATAATTGTTTTATTTAACATCTACACAATTCATTCATACGGCATATTCCTAAAACAGTGGATCAAATTTTATTCACAAGCGAAGTATAATTGTACCAATAATTTATAGGATGCAAGAAAATATGTTAAGCTCTGTATTTGGTGAAATCTACATTTATGTCTTGACTGCCCCGTACAGTAGCAACATATTCGTAATCAAATTTACCATAATTAATGGGTTAAACAATAAATATCATGAAAATAATGAAATTCCTTGACCAAAGCTTTCATAATAATAGAATTCATATTTTTCATTAATTTATAGAATATACATACATAAAAGGTATCTTCGTACAAATGTGTTCGTTTCTAATAATTCAAATAAAAGGAAAATGCTACAGAATAACATTGTAAAATGTGCAATGATTTTCTTACCTCTTTATCTCCTCTGAGAGTAAGTATTAATTTAACTTCATGTTTTTTTTCTAATAATTTATTAATGTTATTTATTTTTATGTCTAAATCATGATAGTTAATTTTACATGTTATAAAAAATAACTTCTGTCCCTTAAGCATACTCTTTTCTTTAATAGGTTTCTCATCTTTTGGACTAGTATAATCTGTATTCTTACAAAGTTTGTAAACTTCTCGGTTGGATTTATAATCATAGTTCAATTTATCTAGTATTAGATTCCGTCGTTTGGCAAGCTTTTCAGCATCCGTTAATTCGGTAATGATTACACTTTCATCGGGTAATATAAGCGTAATTTTAGGAATTCTTACAGTCTTTGGTCTTTTGTTCTCATCTTCATCGATGGTTATTGAACTTATTGTATTATTTAACCTAACGTTTGCTTGGCTCCAAAAGAAATTGCAACAGACATTTTGACCGATTTCACTACTCTTCTCCAGTGAAAGTAAATTATTGGCACGATGTAAAAATTTAATCATTTTTAAACTTCGTAACATCGTAGAATTTCACTTAAGAAATAATAATAAATTATGTACAAGGTTATCGTTCACTGCAAATCACGGTCATTCATTTAAGTACGACTTAAAATTTGGCACGAAAACTGATGAAGTTTTGGATCAATTGCCTAAACAATGATTCTTCTCAATCAGTAAAGGCATTCATAATATTTCTGTATTTAGTAAATTGTATTTAAAAACTACCAATTTAACTTGATTTATTCGTAAATATCGTAAACAATTCGTTCACATAAAAACCGCCACATTAATTTAGATCTAGGGACATGGGCTGCAAGATACGTTTCAAGAAAGTACATTTTCAGGAAAAGCTAAAAACTTTTAATGAATTTATGAATAAACTATTTACCGAACTCATAATATCAGAAAAAAGAATAATGAATGTTCTAAATTTCAGTAATAATTCAATTCTTTTAGGTGGTGATGTGTCCTTTATATAATTTAATTTATTATAGTAAATTTTAGGCCACATTTAGGTCTAGGGACATGTTCTTTGTGTGGTAGTGGTGACTAGAGGTTATTACTAGTAATTGGCATCAAGTGCCATCTGGCGGAACCAATTTTGAACTTCAATTTATACAATTTTTACGTCGAGTACAGATGTCTATATCCTATTGTTTTTTTTAGTTATAACTTGAAAATTAGCCTTTGTGCAATATGTCTATGGTGTAACATACGTATGCAACTGGACCATAAACTGGAATTCCCCTGTCTTGTCGTATTTTTTCATAGGTGGAGTGTTTCCAATGTCGTTTCTCGAGTCTAGAAATTTCCTAGATTTCCCCTAACTGTAGCAAACATTGACGCCTCTTCTTTTACGTGAAATTGCCACGCTTTCTTCTCGTTGGTTCCTATATTTGCCCAGGAATTCCCAGAATTTTATACATCAAAAGTGTTCAAGTCAAATGCCATATTTTATTCAGTTTTATTTAGGATTTGGTGACTTTCGTCCCCTGCGGCACAAATCCGTGTTGTTAAGAGTATTTCAACATTTACGTATAAAATTAAATTCAAATTACCGAACTAAATATGAAATATACCATTTTGCTTTAAAAGCACAGATTTTTATAAATATATCGATAAATTATGTCACAGATTTTGATAAATTATGTCACACGCATATAACTTTTTACAGAGTTCCTTCGTGCTAACTACATATAAATTTTAAGTCATAATTAAAATATGTTAATTTCTGTTTTTTAAAAGATTTGTAATTATCGAAACAATACTTAATAGAATAGGACCGCGTTATGAATAAATCTAGAAATGCGAGGAATGAAATTGAAGATCACAATTAATCTCTAGATCTATTCGAATAAACATGGCGATTTCATAAAAATGGGTTGACTTGTTATTGCAAGTGATTGTGATTTTAGTTATCAACATACGAAATGATTCTTACAGCGTGTACGTTTGCACACGTTAGTTAGAGCATTGGTAATGCGCAAGTCGCTTAATAAATATGCGATTTGTATTATCACTGTGTCCTTGTCGCGTAGGTGGGCGATTATCTCCATAAGTAGGACAATTTTGACAGGGGAACTTGGTTAGTTGGGATCGCGGTGGCTACAAGAATACCCCGTCTTTATGATCGTCGATAACATGAAAGACTTCGAAAAGAGAAGATGCGTGAAATTAGGCCTCTGATGAACTGAAAGTGAATAAAATATAAGCCGAAGAAATGAGTTGGTTACGAAGTAGTCCGCTGAGAACTAGTTTCAGCAAGCAACGATCGAGAGACTCTCCGCCAAAAGACGCTGATCCGTCGGCATGCTATGACAGCTTTTGTAAACACTGGCAACAAGCTCACGAAATCATCTTGCACACGTCTGTGAGTCTAAATTTTAACGTTTCGGTCCAATTAGAAAATATTTGAATAATGTTTGATGCTGTATAGGATTATTGAAAATAATTCATTATATTTCTACAGCCGCTTAAAGGAGTACCGAATCAAGATGATGTTCTTGGAGTTGTTAATCACATAGATCACATGATAACACTTTTAGTGTTAGAATTGCGAGATTCTTATTCTCATACCAATTACAGACAATCAACAACAGCAACGCATTCTCCTTGTTTGGAATATTTACTAAGCGAAAACCTTCTTGTTAAACTATATGACTGGAGTATACATACTGGAAGGTAGACATTTTATAACAGAAGAAGATTTAGTAATCATTTATAGACAGACTTTGTTGCTATAATACAATTATGGGGGAATACAGTAGTGCCCACTTAAATGTCCATGGTTATCTCCACCTATTCTTAGAAGCCAAGCGTGTCGAGCGTAACTTGACGCCGGTCGTTATCGATAGATTATATATATATGATTTCGGCTGCCATCTATTGTATTTCACTCGCACTTATCTTCTTTCCTTATCTCCGTTAAATTCTGAGAAGTAACCATGCCCACATAAGTGACCGCGGCCGGTCCCGAGCGTGGTCACTTAAGTGGGCACTACTGTACCATCCGTTTTACTATGTTAGGACAATAATCTAGAAATGTTACATTTGGTGGTGTTCTCCCTTCGGTGTTACGCATTAGTTATAAGCACTATAACATCAATTAGATTTTGTTCCAAGATACGCGATATTGTTACAGATTTAATAATGCTGTACGTTTGGAACAATTAAAGCTTTATGAACTATTAGTATCGCATAATAGTATTCTTCTTGCTCATGAACCAGTTGCCAGGCCACTGTTACGATTACTCGAGGATTGCGCGAACGATATTATGCCATTAGAAGTAGAAAAGAAATTGGTAGTGCTATTAAATCAATTGTGTGTTACTTTAATGCAAAATATGGCATTGCTCGATCTGTTCTTTCATCCAACAGCAGTAGCGAAAAACAAGTTGGTAGAACATGTATATTATTTGTAAGATACGCGTGTCGAGATATTACACATTCGAATATGTTACAGATTTATTATTTTTACACTGTTAATACCACACGTGCATAGAGAGGGTGGTGTAGGACAGCAAGCACGCGACGCCATGTTACTTTGTATGTCTCTGTCTAAAAAAAACGATGAAGTTGGAGTGTATATCGCAGATCATTCTAATATATGCCCCGTACGTAATATTAACAAAAAAAAGCTAAATGTAATTAATACACGCGCGATTCAATTACTGATACATAACTTGACGCAAATTTTATTTAATTAGGTATTAGCTACAGGTCTAAGTGGACTGTATTCGCTATTGCCTAGAAAATTAGATATCGAAACGGATGATTGGCATAGATTGACGCCAGACGATGTTAACGATTTACCAGCACTAATGCACTTAATGAATTCTCTGGAGTTTTGCAATGCTGTTGCACAAGTTGCACATCCTATGGTTCAAAAACAATTACTAGAATTTTTATATCATGGCTTTTTGGTACCTGTAATGGGTCCAGCTCTGTTGCAGGTGAGTAAGTATATACATATATTTTTGTATTGTAGTATCTTCAAAATGATAGTTTCTTTTCTGGGTATTTTATAATTCAGTTAAAGATTTAGGACTGTGAATGTACAAGTATTTTTTAATGCTATAATTATAAGGAACACTTATTAAAATATAGATTTGCATTTTGTTTTTTATAATGTATTACGTTATCATCATTTTTACTTTAAATTTGTATGTGGTGAAAGAAGGTATTTAAATTCTATCAAATAATTTATTATTATTGTATTTATAGTTTTCAATTAAATTAAATATCGAATAGTTAATTCCTCGAAACGTTTTGAATATACTAAATACATAAACATTCGCTTTATACTTTTTAATAAGTGTATTTATTATTGAAATAATTCGCTTAATGATCTCACTTTAACTTTCTGCCTATTTATTTAAAAATATCAAGATAATTTTAATTTCACTAAGAAATCGTTGATTTTTCGAACAATTTTTACTTAGTGCAGTTTATAGGCACATATTTGTCTAATATCTTAATTTAAACTTGTCTTACCAAATGCATATAGCATTGTCAGTATGGTGATGGTAGATCTAAACATTCGTGCCTAACGCTAATGACATTCAAATTATTTATGTTGTGGTGTGGTTGTTGGTGGCTATCTGGTGGCATTTTTATGGTGCTCAGGATTCTCTTGGTTTGACCATAGAACAACTAGATGCACAAGAACATTGGGTTAGTACAAAACACTTTAAGTAGCGTGAATTTAAATCAATGATTACAGTTTCAGTAAAGCATAAATCTAAAACTAATGTAAATGTTTATAAACATATTCGTGTATTTATTAAAAATATAAATGTCTTGAGCTTAAACGAGTAACGTTTTTAGACATAGAGTTTCTTATGTATATCTAAAACAATAATAACAAGTTCTTGATACAGATTTAAGCTTTTACTAAAACACTGTGCTTAAACGCATCACACGTTTTAAACATATGTCTTCTATACAACAACTTATAAACCACGTACACGTAAATTGCATTTTTAAATATTATGTTTGATCGTTTTAAGGGGTAATTTTTAGAATACATTATAGACGAAGATTATACTTATACCATTCATGTTTTTATTTATTTAATAAATTAAGAGAATATGTGGTTTACAAGTTATAAATGTATTTTTATATGTACTTTTAATATATACGTTCGCAAATCGCTGTGGCCTACAATCTTCCCTGGTTTTTGTGTATACTTCATACTTTATATAATAAATAGTTGCTTCTCAAATTACAGATTATTACCTTTTCTATTTTGGTAATGCTTACTCTTAGACATTTGTAATACACTTGAAAATAATCTAAAGTACTATAACTATATTAATTGTTATGTTTCCTATATTTTAAATAAAATTTGTAAATGTTACTCTTTTTGACATTTATGTTGAATGGTGAAATTATAGTAATGGCTATGATTATAAGATATTAAACGATTGTGCCTACCGAGAAAATGCATCGCTTTTAACTTTCATTTATTATCTGTGAAACTGGTTATAAAATATTTATGTTTAATTATCGTATTGTCTGTTATTTTTAACTAAATTAATCAACGTATTACATTACTGTGTTTCTGTGGAGATTAATGTCCTTCTTTTACCACGAAGTAAAATTTTAATGTTATATTATTATATTAATATCTAAATATAAAAATCCCGAATCATGATTCTGGTATGCGCTGCATAGTAAGTTCTCAACTTATGCGGTTAATTCGCTCTAAAGTTTTCCGCATAAGTCGAAAATTCACTGTATTAATAACTGCTTATTTATTAATTAAACATTTCTAACGTATCATCGTGCGTTCCTAAAGTATTTGGATTACTTTAAAACCAAATATTTGGTCGAAAAAGTTAACGATTTAACGTATCTTTATACAAAGTTATAGATGACTAAGCTTTTAACGTTACAGACAACTGTGGAAGAGTTAGTTGCAGCAACAGCATATTTTGACCTCTTTCTTCGATCCGTAACCGATCCTGGTCTTTTGCGATCGCTTGTTAGATTTTTACTCGAAGATAATTACGATGAGTGCAGAATATTGGACAGTCTTATTCAAAGGATATCTTCCAGATCGCGGGTATATTTTTAGTATTTGCCATTTGTTGACAATTAATTAGAATTTAAGGAAAATTGGCCCATTAGTAATAGATTATTGTCTCTTGTAGTTTTTGATTGTTCTTGTTCTATATACAGGGTGAACAAATTTTAATGGGTGATTCTGGAGGCCAAAATAAGACGAAAATCAAGAATACCAATTTGTTGATGGAGGCTTCGTTAAAAAGTTATTAACGTATTAAGTTCCGCCCATACTGAATTTTTTTCTCGAAAATTCGCAGGATTTTTGTAGTATGTCTGTTCACCAAAAATGATTGTAATTGACCCCCGCAACCGAAAATAATTTTTCCAAAACGATTTGAATTTTTTTTTTTCGTCGAAAAATTTAGGCACATTCTCGAATTTTTTTCTTGAAAGTGCGTAGGATTTCGGGGGTATGTGTAATGACCAAAAATGATTGTAATTGACCCCTGCAACCAAAAATAATTTTTCCAGAACGATTTGAAATTTTTGAATTTAATTGTTAATAACTTTTTAACGAAGCCTACATCAACAAATTGGTATTCTTGATTTTCGTCGTATTTTGGCCTCTAGAATACCTCATTAAAATTTTTCCCAGGGGTGATTTGTAAAAGTTTAAATAAACTTAACACATTAAGCGCTATGTCGGCCCCTGGCGATCGACAGTATTAAATTTAAAAAATAATTATAATTCATACAGTATAAACAAATATGTTTAACGTATTTATGATAATATCATTCTGTTTAAACAATTCATTAATTCGATTGTAACATTTTTGTGTTTTAGTTGTGCATAGTAACTCTGGCGCTGTTTGAAACATTGGTAAATTTAAACTGTGAAGACGTTATGTTAGAATTATGCTTAGGCGCGTTGAGTCCCTGTTCCCACGTGATGCTTTCTCAGCGTAGAAGGTTAAGGGACGTGGATCCGTTCGGACGCGCCGCTGAAAAATTTTTATCACTGATGCCAAATTGTTGTTCGCCACTTGCGTCCATGAATTCGCAATTCAATTCTTTGCCTAATAACGTGGCGCAAGAGAAACATTCGAACGCCACGTCCGAACCATTGAAATCGTTGCCCGCGTCCATAAATTACGGTGCCAGATCGTCGGATAGTTTGTATGGAAATTATCATGCGTATTTATGCGACGCTCGACAGAAAATAAGAGCTTGCCGAACCGCGTGTTCCAGCTGGTCGTATCAGTACTATGGAGAATTGCCTAACAATAGTACAACCAGCAGCGCGGCAACATTGATAGATGATAGTGTATTGTTAGATAAGCCTAAAAAAAGATCCGATGCAACCAAGGCTTTGTCGTTAGAAACGTTAAAGCGATCGACGCTTGCCAATGAAATTAGCGAAAATTTATCGATGGATAATATGGTACTTAATATTCAAACCTTGTTGGATGGAAAAGAATTACATGCAGTAGAAAAAGATGTAAAAACAGAATCCCTCGCGGTAACAGGAATAGAATTGTCGTTGGAAGAACAGGTGAAATTGGATGCAGATATTGCTGAATTGTTAAGCGAGGACACTGGAATATTAGAGTCTATTAAGGAAGTTTCGTTGGTAGATAAAAAAGAACCTGATAGTGTTATCGACGATTCGAATACCGCCATGAACTCGCTGTTGTCGTTAGGGGAAAGTAGCGGGTACGAAAGTTTCGCGTTTAAGGGTTCGTCGGAGTCAACTCCGGATAACGAACCTAGCGAAGATCGGATAAGCGAACACGAAAAGCTAGGCATTGAATCAAACAAAGAGCATGATATATTTCTTCACAATATTATGGAATCGAGTTCGATCACACCAGAAGATTTAACGGCAAATAAACAAAGTAAAGACGGCTATCGTCAAGATGTATTCAACGGGCAGCCGAATGTCGGCATATTTTTGGACGTTCTTTTACGAAAGCTCGAATGCATGACAAGCAATAATTTATATGTTAATTTACATTTAACCGGACTTATCAGTAGACTGGCGATTTACCCTCAGCCTTTATTGCAATCGTTTCTTTTAAATCATTCCCTGGTATTTCAACCGAGTATTAGATCACTGTTCCAGGTTCGTAATCAGATAAATAGTTTTGAGTACAAGTTTACTGTACGTTGTTTACAATTTTAAAATATGGTTCTGTTTCCTGCAGGTACTCGCATCGTTGAAACATAAAATAGATCAGTATCTTTCTCAGCATAATAATGTGGATGCATTGGTAGAACAAGCGCGGCTATTTTTGATTAGTCGTGAAGATAAATTAGTGAACGCGAGAAAAAATGCATTAGAGGCTGCTGCCCACTCTGTGCCTGTTAAAAGAAATTCTTTAAGCGGGGAGTCATTCTCGAGAGGTATAGCTTATTATTATTTTTATCATTTTCATATAATTTGTTCCGTTTTATATTAATATTTCATTCATACTCATATACAATTATATTAGTTAATATCATGTTACTTTTAACGTTTGCCGCACGCTCTGGAAGTATTCAAACAATGTAGGTACACTCGTCAAAATTTAAACCTAAGTAATAAATACTAGATATCAAGACTATACTTAAAGAATTACATTTTCAGGCGAAAGCAAAAGATGGAGTTTAACGTCGTCTTTTACACAAATGCTTCGAAGGTCGAGCGGTAGCTCTGGTTCGAATAGTTTAATTGGTACTATTAATCAACCAACTGGTATGTCGGAAAATCAGTTAGAAGCTATTGGACATGGTTCCGGATACCGGTAAGTAATTTTCTATTATACCGTTGGTTTTAAAAGAAAATTACCATTTACACTGTCAGATTACTGTGTTCAAGCCTTCTGCGATACTTCAGACGTTTTCGTTAAAAGTTTGTCTAGATAAATCGTTATTCTTATTCGTTAAAGAGATGTTTATAAATATTGCAGAAAAGTGTGTTGAAAAATATTTCATTTACAATAACGCTACAAGCAATCAGCGTAAATGCTTTTACAACACTTTGAAAAATTATAATAACAGAATGAAATTCGTAATTCATTAGGTATTCTACGAAAACGTCCTGGGAATCCCCAAACGAAGTAAGTCCAGTACAAAATGTGGTCTTATGTGCAGTTATATTAGACGAATGGTTAAAAGAGTTGGCCGCTATTACACAGGAACATGCCATTATGTCTTTTACACATAGCCTGGAGTTTAAAATTTAATATGTAAGATGACACAAGATCACAAATTAAAATTCAGCTGACGATAGGATAATTCTATTGAGAAAAAAACACTTTCCCCTTTTTGCAGGGTTTTAATAAATAAATATGTGATATACTGCTAGATTTATAAATAATAGAAATAATCATACTATATCGTATAGAATGATTATCTTGATTTATTGCCCGATAAAATATAATAATATACACAGTATGTTGCTGCATATACAAAAATTATAACTCTATTTTATTTTGCAAATATAGAAACGACAAATTAAGTAGTTAACGCAAAATGTTGTAGATATATTTGTGTTTCTGTTAATGTTATTAATTGGAAACAGAAATTACGTTACGTTAACGTCGTGTTAACGGAAGAGTATAATATACAAACTTTTATTTCATAGGCGATATCAAAGTACTAATTAATATTTAAACATAATCGGCCGAATCTTATTGCGAAGACTGACATTTAGAGCAATTTCCCATATGATATTTACACACTACATTATTGCAGAATTTAATTATTTTTTATTACATATATAACAAATCGAATTTATTAATAAATTTTGTTTGTAATTATGTTTGAATCTGTGCAGCAATTCAATACCGGAAATAGTTAAAAAAAATATGTATTAATTAAAAAAGTGCCAATTTACTGTTTTAATATTCTATATTATATTTGACATTTTGGAAATTGTTCCAAATGTTTCTCACAACTTAACAATCAAATAATTTCTATAACAAATTAGTTTTATAAAAGGAACGAGTAATATATATAGGCATGTATAAAATTTCCAAATTTTACACTTGATAACGGTGCATAATATAAAATAATTAACGACCCTGTTTTTTATTATTTGTACTTAATTTATTACGTGAGCAAACTCATGCAATTACCAATTAATGTACATACAGAAGTATATTTTAAAAATTTAATAGCACGATATTTCATATAGACGGAAATTTATACCTCAGATCATGAACTTTTAAGTAATTGTTGCTAAAAATGAGCACGTCAATCTAAGTTGACAGATATTAATAATGTACAGTATATTTGATGATAATTTTGTTAAATATATTTATTGCGATTGTTACTACTGTCATATTGGATAAAGTGTAAAACAACGTTTCATTATATGCTTTTATATTAATGATATAATATCAATTGTCCAATTTGTTTTTCGTCGTTTACAGTTTATATTGTAAAGCACAGAAAATAAAGCATTGCAACTACCTGTACAATGGTATGACATACTGAAAAGTAGTTAATACTTGCCAATATTGCAATCTTATTGCACAAATATTAAATGCTTGCCTATATGTACATGAATTACATATCAAAGCTTAATTATTAATACGTGAAATAATTCAGCTCAATTTTTTGTTAATGATCATTAATATGAGTGCAATTTTTAATATATTATGAGAATTAAGATGCAATTTAATAACAGTGAGCATACAAAATGTATATCAGAAAACATTGTGACTATGAATTGCGTTTATCTTTGTAGAATCACATATTTTTTGATCACTTTAAAATTTGTATTTAGTATAAAATACTTGCCGTAATGTGATATTAAACTAGGCTCTTCGTAAATTGTCTTTATTGAAATATTTTAGCTTTATTTTTGTTTTAAAGATATCGAATTCATATGAAGCATTTTCTTCATAACGTTAAAGACAATAGTGTTAGATTAAATACTATCATCAAATTTATGTAACTTAATAATTGCTTGCAACGTTTGAATATAATGCATGTTGCGGTGATATTATTTTTTCTAGTTTTATTAACAAGCCCCAATATTATTTCGGTAACGATATTGTCTTAACATCAACAACAATTTGTTAAATTTATTTCTATAGATATTTCGAAACGTAATCTATACATCGCGGTACAGAATTTTGTTAATTCGTATATTTCATCAAAAGCATGCAGTATTTTCAAACAAATTTATATGCTTGGTGTTTTATTACAAATAATATAATTTAATATTTATTATTAATTTAACATTTACTTTGCTGTTATGTTTAAAGTTGTTGATAAATTTAAAGAATAAAATAGTCTATTGTAATTATTCAAGGATTCAGATCATTCAGAATTGCGTATACATTTTTATATATTTAAGTAATAATTTTCGTCCAATAGCCGAATTTATTACTTCAATTATTTCGAAAAATTTTCTAAAGAGAATGTAAATTGTATACTATAAACGATAAGAGTATGGAATAATTAAATTTTATCGTTATATCAAAAGTAATATAATTCCGTATTTGATCAAAGCTATAGAATTGCATTCCTGTTTTAATTTAAAAATCTACTATATTTTGTTGTAGAATAATATACTGCAATTTGTTACAGAGTAATTATGCAGTGATATAATAATTATTATAATAATTATGAAACGAGTTCTTGAATGAGTGCATCAAAAATTTACTTACTTCTACATAATTAGATAATTGTCACAATTATTAAATTGAGTTTCAAAATTTACTGTATATACATACAAAATTTTGGATATAATGTTATCTATCTGAATTGTACATTGTAAATTTAATATAAAATAGAGCGTATATTATCGTGTTATATTGAAAATGTTTTAATAAAAAGCAATATACAAAAATGTAATTATTATAACTTGTGTAAATTAAATTTTACTCTATCCTACCAAATTTTATCCTTCTAATTTAAAAATCCTAGTACTCTGATATGTTTTGTCTAGAGAATTTTCACGTATAGTTTACGATTAATATTTTCGATATATATTTATTTATATAATATTAATATATTTATGATATACATTAATATATTAATGTTAAGAATATTATTATCCTTATTAGCAGGAATTTTACATATAATAAACAGTTTACGGCCGCTCAGGTGTGACAAAAATAAACCTTTTGCACCCGCGTCATAAACAGCCCCCTGTTTACTAATATATTATAGTGCGCCTGTTTACGGGTTAATTTATCTAACATAAAACTATATTTTTAATACCTAACATGAAAACGCCGGTTAAGAAGAATTTAATAATCTAAAAGTTAATGTTCAATAGTTATTTCAAATATAAGCCTTCGGGGAAAAAATCCTTAGACAGTCTAAAATGCTTAAAGGAATCACCTGTTAAGTATTAAACAGAAGTTCTTCAAAAGAACTTCACAGAAGGGTAGAACCGACGGACAATATAATAATATAATAATAAGTCATTTAATAGATACGTATTGGAAGCAGAATTATAATAGAAGATAGGTTTTAACATTTTCTCGATTCCAATATGTATGAAATACTAACAAATTGCATTTCGCATGCGATTTATGGTCTCAGACGACCCTGAACCTGACCATTGTTATATCGTTGAAATTGTTTTAACAGCTGTTTTCGAGTTGCATAGAGAAAAAAAATTAGAGCTCCCTGTTAACAAAATTGCGATTGCCTTTGTATAAATATTATCAATTTATAGTTTTAGGGAGTAAAAATGTTAATCTTAACCGTAAACGGCTACGAATGTCCAATTACGGAATAATTATAACGAATCTAACTTTGCTCGATCGAAATGATCCAATCGCTGCCAACGCTTTGATCGTTTTTGCCAAAATATACAGTTCACAAGAATTATGGAACCAGAAAAAGAAACTAGCTTTAATCAAGAGTCACTAGATCTTCGGCACTCGGATCTTTAACTTTTTCTTTCGTTTAAATCTGCTGGTTTCGATGATCGTCATATGGTGTATACGTTCAGATTAACAGTCTGTATGTACATCCATATGTACGTGCATGCATAACAATTATAATGCGTCCTATTCTACGACAATGTGCAGTGCTGAGTGGAATTTAAGATAAGCGTTGCGAACGCGATTAATCATCGTGATCTCACAGTTCCATGCACTTAAACACCATCAATGAATACACAGTAGTTGTTAACTTTCTTGTACGTTGAATATTATTTTGTTAATTAACGCCACGCCTAAACTAACGCTAAAACATGTTGCATTGAGTGCAAAGTGTAGGAGCCCTTTTTTTAATAATATTCGTTTGCTCTCAAGTATGTTTAATACAAATTATAACAGTTGTCATTTATATATGTGATGTTCAGTTTTGAAGACATTTTTTAAGGTCTTACGTTAACAGCAATCTGATATCATACTTCGTTATTTCATCGTGTTTTTTTATATTTAACACTTCTATTATAATTATAAAATATATATTTTAACGCGTAAAAAATCTCATTCGATATTAACCAAAATATACATCTCCATATTAATTTGTTATCTTAAATTATTTTATTCGATGATTAAACAATTACATGTTTTTATTTTTCACAGGTTCATACGTAGCATACCCAAATTTAACTATTGATGCCTTTTTGTTTGAAAAATTATACAATCTGTAATATGGAGGAATATTCTGTAGTATCAGATGTATCGGTTGTAGATGTCTATGACATTGCTTCCGAAATAGGGAAAGAATGTGAGAAACTCATAGATGCATTTGGTGTAGAATCTGTGACCAATCTTATGCCAAAAGTGATACACGGATTAGAGCTGTTGGAAAGCCTCGCAACCAAAAATGAATGTGAAAACACGATAGTCCAAGAGTTACGTGCAAAGATTTCACAATTGGAAACGGATAAGATCGGAAAAGCAGAGGACAGGCAAAGATTTGAAAAGGTATTTTACTTTCTACGATTGTTTAGCAATGTTTCTGACATTTTTTTCACTTTAAGACATTTAATTACTGTGTAGGAATTGGAACAAATAGAAGAGCATTGGCGGCAAGAGTCTCGTGAACTAGTAGGAATGGTTACAAGATTACAGGAAGAAAATAGACGATTGGCAGAGGCTCTACAAGAGTCACGCAGTGACAGTCAGTACAGCAGTAAACAAAGTACTAACAAACTATCTTTATCTACTAACACAATGCTGAAATTATATGTTTGTACATATACATATATGTATATGTTATTGATTACATAAATATATTTCAGCTTTTACAGCTAGCCAAGAAGTTGATATAGCAGTGTTACAACATTTAAGATCCATGATAGACAAGCAAAGAGATCAAATTCGAGTAAGAGACAAAGAACTACAGCAGAAAAATGTGGATATAGAAAATGTAAATTGGTACTTATGTTCATATGTAATTTGATATAAATAGCGATTAAACGTTACTTGTAGAATACATTTGCTATAGCATGAATAGTTTTCCTTTAGTATGTAGTATTTGTTTTACTTCGTCGAAACGATGATAACATAGGTACGTGTCATCCTAATTCGTTTTTATGTTACGCAAAGCTAACAGCGCAAGTCGAAAAACTTGGGGTCGTTGGCCGAGAATTAAAGCGTAAACAACGTCAAGCGCAAATGCAAGCTCGTGGTTTGGTAGAAGAAAGAGCAGACTTTTTGGCACAGTTGCAAGATCAAAATCGTGAATTGATCAATCTTCGAGCCCGTCTTGGTTTGGCAAAAAAAGAAAACGAAGATCTAAGTAAATTGCAGGGATGTCCAGACCTAACGAATAAGGCTGTTTATGATCTAGATGACCCTGATAGACCAAGGTTTACCACCGCCGAATTAAAAGAAATTCTACATGAACGAAATGAACTAAAAGCCAGGGTCTCAGATTTGGAAGACGAATTGGAACTGTATCGACCGAAGCCTGAAATGTACGTCAGTTTTGTTAAATGCGATTTTATATCAGCTGTTTTTTTCATAATTGTTTCGATTTACATGTTTTATAAAAAAAAAAAAAATTGTCTTTCTATTCTGTGACAGAGTGGAGGATGATAAAGACGCTCCTGTCCAAGGACCACTTCCTTACGAACCAGATGACGCGCCATGGAAAAAGTCTGAATCTGGAATTCGTAAATTGTAAGTAGTGTGTATGTATATATCGAAAATTACTAATTTTAATTATGAAAAACATTTAATAACGATATTTAATTTTCAGTTTTCGAAAAATTTTCTCAGAGTCCAGCAGTAGTTTCTTAGTTGGTAGTAGTCCACGCAGAAGTCTTTCTAGTCTATCAAAGATGGCCCTGTCAGGAAATAGTACATGTGATGAATCTGTATAATGATTTTTTACCAAGCGACTAAACAAGTTCACATGCCCCGCAAAAAATAATTGAACGTAATGCTCTAGGATCCACTTAACAGTATTTTATTCCTTGATAATGATTATACATTCAGAAAAATTATTTTAAAACGTACGTAGTTTTTTTTAGAACCAACCAAGATTAGTCATTGTAATTAGATAATTGACTGATACGAGTGTAGGCATTTATACAGAAACGAAACATTCAAATATTTGCATGTGTATTAATATGTATTTATTATTCATACAGAAATCAGAAAGACATTTTACTATTTACGTACTCTTATCTTTAAAAATGAATTTGCATTCTGCTAGGTGAGCATGATAATAATGCATACAATATTATCTTTTTATTTAATAATTTCTATAAATTACAGTATACAGAATAAAACTAGGTAAAATTACTTTTAACATTGGAACTTTTGGTGATATTTTCTTTAATTAATATAAGTATATTTAACGAAGAAATAGACGCCCGTAGACAACGCGAATGAAAATTTCAATTTTATTTTATCAACATTTGAAATTATGCAATTTTTTCTCTACTGTTATCATGTACTAATTAGAGGTACATTAATATTTTAATAATTAGTACGTTGAATACGATATCTTTATTATTATAAAATTATTTAATGTTATAATGGAGTGCATAAATAACGATTATTTTATAATACATTTATATTTATATCTTTTAAAAGCTTATTCAGGAAAATGAAAAAATTACACCTGAACATAATTTGAAACACATTTTAACCCTCCGACGGGAGCGAGCGCCAAATCTTTCGCCAAAAACTTTTTCCCCTGTGATCGGATCAACTTTGGACCTTTTTTTATTCCTCATTCGAAGGTTTTGTTTTATCTATTCGACTCAAAAGTAGAAATTTTGTAATATCGACACCGTGTATAAGGAGTAAGAAAAAACGTGCTCGTTTTACGATAAAAAGCCGTGCCTGTCGGAAGGTGAAAATTTATATGCAGTTAAATAACGTATACTTCGTTTATTTTTTCACGTTAGTATTAAAATGAGTTAATTTTTTTTTTTTATAATTTGTGCCACTGGAGGTTAATGTGAAAACAAATGTAAACATTGTATTCATATATAGTTTGTAAATAATATTTGGAAATCGCGAATTTTAAATGTATTCAAGGTAATATATTACAAGGTATTATGCATTGACAAAAAGATATTAATATATAACGGTACAATAAATTGTAATGGTAGCATTAATGTGAGAAATATCTAATCATTTTGGATAATATTCACGCGTGACACGTAAAGCACACAGTAGCAGTGTGTCTTTAGTTAATGATTAAAATTATAAAAATAATCAAAATGAATCCACCACCAGCGTCGTTTGAAATACATTTGAGAAGAAACTGATTTACCAACATTACTTACAAACAATTTATGCATAACTAGTAAATCGATACATTAATGTAATTATACGAAGATGCAATTATTAATTTAATTATCGTAACAAACAGTTGAATTGTAACATTTCAACAACATAACATAGATATTTGTAAAATTTTCTAAAAGCTTTATACTTTTTGAATGCGTGACGATAAACACGCGGGAAAAGAAGTTAGTTTTAAAATAGTAAACACACGCATAGTTGATTAAACAGATTCAAATTTTATGAATTGTATAAAAAGAATTTAAATCATTAAAGTCTAAAAGAACATATCTGTAACTTAAGTTATATTTTAAAATGAACGATGTACGTTCATTTATTAATGAAGTTATTTTTTTCAACTATAATCTGTTAAAATCATCATAATTCTGATCCTATTAAAATGTGCCTATTAAATAAATATATTCGTCTTCGATATACTAAGTTAACAAATTCCTGAAGGAAATTGGTAAAAAGAATTTATTAATATTATGTAAAACACAATAAGATTTGTTGTGTTTTTAATGAAAAGTGAACATGTTTAAAGTATTGAACAACCATTAGATTTAGAATTGTTCAAAGCATGTAATTCAAGAATAGTAATAATCTTTAGAAATAAAGAGAGAATCAAACCAAATAAAAATCTTGTATCTCATGTACAATGAAGAATTATTAACAAAGAATATTATATTAGTCATATTACTGACTACCATTTATAGCAAAATTCACACTTTGCAATAATTAATGGTATTACACGTATTTAATTACGTAGGAAGACGTTTATATATGTAATATATTACATCGTAATTAAAGTAACGACGATTTCATTTAACATAATTAATATTCATACATGTAACACAAAACACAAATTATTCATAGTACACAAATAATAAATATTAATGTTTGTATTTTCTACACGAGTAAGAAAATAAAGTAAAAGGAAACTCTTTTCAATCACTTTCGAGATACATACAATAGTAATACGTGTGATGGTGTATTGAACAACAAAGTAGAAACATTATGGAAGTAGAAATTCAACATTTGCGTTAATTTTGTTTTCACATTGTTGAATATTAGTAATAATTAGTAATGTATTACATAGAACATAGGATTACAGAAATAATATAAAAAAAACAAGTCGTGTAAAAGTGCCAAAGAAAATAAGTACAGTTATTAAAGTAATGTATATATATCCGTGGAAGCAATTAAATGTTTTATTCATGATTTCACAGTTTATTTATATAATTAATTCTATTAGCAATTTCATTAAAATGATTGTAATACTTTTGAATACATTATCACTGTTATTAATACGCAAGTTTTGATGCCTTAACATTTATGGAACTGAAATATACTTTATTGTAATCAGTTCTTTGAGAATAAATGAACATGTTCTGCGAGCTGTTGTCTTTTTAATAGTTATACGTAAAACAACATCTTTTATACATAATTGATAATTACACGAATATTAGCCTCCTTATAAGATATAAATGTCTTTAATTAAAAAAGATACGAGATTGGTCATTTATATTTGTGCCAGTTATTATAAGAGTGGCCCAAGTCATATATTTTTCTCTTCTTTTTATATATTTCTAATATCATGCATGGGGGGAAAATGACTAACACCACTACCAAAGTATGCAGCAGATAACAATAAATATGACAACTTCATTTTATTACTTACTTCACGGCAACTTGTTTTATTTTCAACTCAATATTTTTGATTCCGTGCCTTAGCCACTTTCATAATAACTGGTTCATTTAACGATATACAATGGTGCAATAGGAATAAGGCAACTGAGGTAGCATATTATGATACTTCGATTCGTGCTTAGATTTAAGTAAACTTAATGCAACATAATTTAATTAATTTAAATTTCAAAAGTTGATCTACATTTATTCTCAATCAACGTTCAATTACACCATTGGCTGTTTATTAACAATCATCGGCTAGGATATGTATAAAATAAAAATGCGGTAAAAGTAACAAAGCAAATAATAGTTTCAATGATCAGCACCATTTAAAAATTTACTTTGTTACCTTGTAAAATCAGATATATAAAATATTTCGCGTTTACATTTGAGACAACGAATATGAAACAAATTCAAAGTATATTAAAGCTTGGCAAACTGTCGTTTTGAAACTTGCAAAATAAATTAACATTTGTATGATTCACAAAGTTGACTAGTATGCTATAAATCTACGTTGTTCAAATTGGCCGCGGATCCTGTCGGCAAGTCTGGCGGGACGAACTTACCAATTGGCTGTATTGCTTGCCGCTGTTCGGCCAATTTGCGCATTTCTTGCCTAAGCTTACTTAAAATAGCGTGATTTGGTTGATTGACCGCGGCTTTACCTTGTAACAGCGTAATTTCTTGTTCTAGTTGTTTCTTTTCTTTGAAAGATTTTACACTACGAGATCCATACAATCTTAGCAAAGAACCCCAAGATTGAATATGAGGATGCATAAGCTGCAGAATAGCTTGTGCAGCACGTTGCTTGCCGTCTTTCTTATTACGACATACCTGGAATTATTAGAATTTTACAAAATGTCACTATAAATCGTAAGCATATTAATTTGTTAAATTAAATTCGTAAAAGCGTTAATATATTATAATTTTACTTACGACGGTAGCCTCGTGTTTCCCAACACGCATTGTGAATTCATTGCGTTGGTGTTTCAATGTATTCACAGAATGTTTAATGTGCATATCGCCCAGTCCAAAATTTCGTTGAAGACAAGTGATTAAAATAGCATGCGGCGACGGTTCGGTTGTTTTCGCGCAAAATTCTGCGACACGTGGATCGTTTATCGATATTTCATCGAAGAACGATAGATCCGCGTCAGAATTTGTTCTGGATGCCTTGATCATTCGGCTGTTACTACCGGAAGCTGTGTTCCCAGCATTATCGCCAGAAATTTTATCTCTCATTTGTGGAATTAAAATTTCAAGGGTTTTTCGTGCAGCATTAGCTTTCGCTTGTTTCTTGCTGCTACCAAAACCGCTTCCATACTCCATATCGTTGATACAAACGACAGCAGAGTATGGTGTTGCAGCATTTTCTGAAACCAATTGTCCCTGTTACCAGATTTATAAACATTTTCCTTAGTATTGTATAATCTCAAATTTGTTAATACTTGTATATTACTTTGAACTATATGTATATGTGTTAAATATATGCATTTTTATCAAAACTTCATCGACTATTGAAATAATCGCTCGTAACGACTAACGATTGAATTAATCGATTGGGTAAATCGTTAGTTGCTTCCGGTCATGGTATCTCCGGCGGGCGCGTTTTTTACCGTAAATCGCGCGCCTTTTTTCGTATCTCCGTACACGCGGCGTCGATATTGTGAAATGTTAACTTTTGGGCCAAATAGATAGAAAAACCTTCAAGCGAGGAATAGAAAAAGATCCGAAATCGATCCGATCACGGGAAAAAAAGCTTTTGGCGAAAGAGTAAATCGCGAAATTAAGTCGCCTATTCTAATTACGGGTGCGTCCGCCAGAGGGCTAAATTAACGGTTATTCTTCAATTTTTTCTTACGTGTTACAAAAATTTAACTGTTTCAGAATATATTCTTGGAGATTTATTTTAGAAGTCAACAAAATAGTGAAGTTATGGAATAATTTCGAATGCCTGACAAATAATCCAACCGCATAGACGAACAACGTTTTATCTAGGGTGAGTTTTTATTTGAATAATATAGATGAAAGAATAAGAACTTTAATTTTTCCTGTCATTACTTTTACGAAGTAATTACAGTGTGATTGCAATGCAATTATTTTGCAGAAGTGATCGTGACAAATGTAATCAAATTACAGGTTGCAAATTACATGCATATTAAACTTACCTAATTCTTTAAACTTATAAGTTGGTTGCTTTTTAAGTGCATGCTGTACATATTCATGAAGTATACAAACATAACTTTTGCCAGAGGGGTTCATAATCCAATGTTTAGGTGGTCTTTGCCCACCACTATCATCTCCCGTAGTACCACTACTGTTTCCCGTCAAACTAGAGCTACTAACTGGAAATGTTATTAATTTCGTTCCATCGGGTAAAGTCGGTCGTTCGAGTTGCTTACGATGTTTTTTATTTTTCGTAAATTTCCTTCTTGCTGACCATGATCTAAAGGTATAATGAAAATGCTAATCAGACTAATTATGATATTAGGATATTAGTAGTGATCTAACATCATTTGATGTGCACTTACTGAAATCTCATCACTTTAATAGCTTTGAAACGAAAGAGCGATTGGCAATAATTTCTCAACTGTTCACTATCTAATGAATGAGCTTCTCGATTTTCCTGAATCGTTTCAATTTTTGCGCTAGGAAGACTACAAACTTCTGCATTTGAATCATGCTCTTTTTCCTTTTTTCTTTCTTCCTCTTCCTCGTGCAAAGCTCTTTTATATTGAAGGCAAGGTATTGCGCTAACAGGCACTTCGTGCTTTCTTACACTGCCAGGCCCAAGGAAATATGGTTTTGCAAGAGTACAAACCCTACTCTGTTTATGTAAATATAAAGGCATTCCACTGTTATGCGTTACTTGCACCCAACCTTCCGGAAGTACATCAAAATGATTATGGCCAATTTCTACAAAAGGAGTTACATTTATAAATTTTATTTTTTTTTTTTTCATCTTTATTTTAATGCTGTAATTAAGACTATTTCTGTCGGGTGTTAGAATGACTAAATGACGCCACAGTTTTTATGTTAATTTTGAATAATACTTACCATCCAACACAAGTTTCTCTTTCTCTTCGTATGGGACGCTATCTTTCTTGTCCTTTTTTTTGCCTTTAAATTCTTCTGGTAAACCTAATAGTGGCATATAATACTTAACTAAAAAAGTACTCTGCGGCTGCACGATCTATGTAAGAAGTACAAAAAGAGAAAACAAGTAATCCGATTTCTTTCTACATCATTTGACTCTTACATCTGCACATTTCATACTTTGGTATACTGGGCTTTCAATGCATCGTTATAAATTTCTATTAAAATTATGTACTCCATACTTAAGTTTCCAATGTAGGAAGATAAAAAAATTTATTAGAATAATTGATTTCGCTCGGACGCTAAAATTTACCTTCTTCAAGCATAGCCTCAATTTCTTCATCAGGTACATCGGAATCCATACTTTCATTTGTGTCTGAGTCCATATCAGAGCAGTTTTGATCTGGATGGCGTTCTAAATCATCCAAAACATCAAATTGTCTTAAATCGTCTGTAACTACAATATAATCTGCATTGGACTCCATAATACAATCTTCAGTGGTTAAACTATTATATACGCTTGTGTCGTCGGCGGATGCATTTTCTTCTTCCATCATGTGTCTACAGTGACTTCTACTGGACATTCTATTATCGCTATCAGTATTTAATTCTGATACACTTTCAGCTTCAAATATATTTTCATCAGACTTTGCATTAGTTAAAACAGCGCTTTGGTGATTGTCCAAGTCCATCTCACTCTGAGAATTCATACTCGATTCAGGTGTTTCTTCAAGTACTTCTTTGTCCATATCCATTATGTGAACGACAAGGTATCTGCTAAAATACTATAAGGTCTAATAACCAATGACATACAAGCTCAAAATTATAATTGTTGTCTAAACTTCATATATTTAATAAAATGTTTGCTGTGTTCGTCAACAGTTGGCAAAGAATTTTCAAATATTGCTTAGAAGAAATTGTATATTGTTTAAAATTAAGCATAAGCTCCATATATAATGACCCATGGATTAAATAATATCATTTGCGTCGTATGGCCACACCACTTTCACCAATGAGGCCAAAGTCCAATCGATTTGAAACCACTTAGAAAATGGCAACGAAAATTGGACATTTGCATTAGTGTTAGCAGTTTGGGGCCTATTATATATCCATGAGTACATATCGTACGAATATTATATTGTCTGAATATCGCAGAAGATAGCTGTTATAGTTCGGTGTATTATTTAGCTGGCTGGTTCCAAAGTTAGACAGGAACAACATTGAAAAATTGAACCTGTTACTAACTTGGATTACGCGCTGACAAGAAAAAAATTTCTTGTTAAAATACCATCCGAAGCACTTCTGATAGTAATATAACACAGGTCATGTTCAGTTCCAATATTTCTTAATATATTGGGTTGGCCAAAAAGTATGTACAGATTTTGGCAATACTTGTCTTCAGACATTCTGAAACACAACTTCAGATCAAATCTTAAAAGCACATTAACAAAAAAGTTTGAAGATTAAATTTGTTTTATAATTTTACAAATGAAATAAAGAAAGAAACAACAAGGTGCAATCCTGTAAAAATTTATGTAAAATGTATGGAGAGAATGTAATCAAAGAATGCATGTACCAAAAGTGGTCTTTTTATATAAAAAAAAAATGTTTTATCATCTGTTTCCAAAATTCCATCGATTCCTAAGAGACTATTAAATAGCTCTTGATTAGTTTTTTGAGAGAAACAGAAGGGTTCACAGATGAGAATAGGTTATAAATTAAAATAGAAAATTCATTATTGAATAAAGATATTTCGTATTATAAAAGAATTACTCTGTGTTATATTTAAATGTTGAGAACCGTACGAACTTTTTGGCCAACCTAATTATTGATAAAATTAAATACTTAGAAAATATATACAAAATATATATAAAAATAATACATTATAAAAACTTTGAAATCGGGCGTATTAAATAATTTAAGATACAATAAATTATGAATTATCTAAACTTCGCTTGATTGAAGCAGATATCTTTAACTCTAAATAAACAAACTTTTACCGTGATAAGATTCTTCGTTTCGTTATGTTACTACATGACAATTTACTATCTTCTTTGAATTATTTTAAATTAACTTGTTCTATATAATCTCAAAAATTTGATCATATTAACTACACCATTATTATTACTCTACGACAATAAATTACATTATAATTACGATTATAACAATACATGAATTTACTTTTTTACGTTAAAAATGCGACAGTATTACATAACTTGCATACGTGATACGTAAATTTTATATGTAACACAAATCGATATTATTGTTAATTTCATACAATTCCATAATAATACCTTTATGTATATCACAATACTGTTATTTCTGAAAATTATAAAGATTAATTCTCCAACTACCAAATTTTCGATGTTTGGTTAGATGCCGTCTATCTTTGATTATTTTCAATTTACTGATAGTTCTGTTACTTTTAGCCTTAAATGATAGAGAAAAAAGCTTTTGTATCAGTCTTATTGGGAACACATAATTGCAAGCACTATATAATTATCTTAAACTAAAACTGTATTCGTCTAAACTTCAACTGCATTTCATGCAAAGCACTATCATCCTCTCACATACTTGCCACTTTTTACGAGATAGAATAAGATAGGTCGGAAACTCTTATAATAATTAATATAAAATGCAGTGCTACCTTCTTCGGCTCAAATAATTTTATTGTATTATACAGAATGTATCATAACATGTGAATATTACAGAAATTGATTAAGAACACAGAATGAAAAGAGTTCGTATAAATATGGGGCCCAATTAACCTTGTTCTTAAATTGTAACCATTCAATAAATCTATTGTTTCCCTTTCACTTTGCAATTTTTCTTTCTAGAAATTGGAACAAGCTTAGCTCTTTTTTAAATGAAAATATACAAAATATGATAATGGAAAATATTGAATTCTGCAATGGGAACTATTGTTAGAAATAATTAACTGTTCATGTTGGTATTTATAATATCTAGTTTCAATTCTTTTACGAGATTTAACACCGACTTTACTGGTTTTCCCCCCATTTTTGTTGTATCATTAAATATGAATACATAATTGTTAAATCGTAACAATTGCATAATATAAAAATATTATGATAACCATAAAATTATAATTTGCATTCACAAACGAATGTATATTTTATTTCTTAACGCGCCTAGATACACTTAAAATTATTTTAAAATAACCCACAGATGTAATTAATTAGATAAATTTCTGCACAGGTACTATTCTTTATATGATATAATACACTATTTACATAAAAATCATCAAACACATCTAAACAAAAGTGACGATTATTGCATGTAGTTTTGATTTTTATTAACAAGTACATTTAAAAAATTTAGCTTACCAAAATTAATATCATTTACATTTAATTTGCAACATTCGCAACTTTGCAAAGATGTATACACATATGTATATGTATATCTATATATATTTTTTTACACACATAGGACACACGTGCGCGTGTGTTTAACTATTAACACTTTTTCTTTTATGCTTACAATTATTATACTGGATCAAAGCACTATTTGCTGTATAAGTATTTACACTGTAATAATTACACAGTATTGAAACGTCGTAAATATACAGAGCACCAATAACTATATATCTGAAGAGTTTGTTAAGTATCATCGATGATTGTGCCTATATAAATATTACTATTACATGGTACAATACACTGTAATGCATGTAAATTAATAATAATTAGCATCGCTAGTAATTTTTTTTTTTCGTACTTGCTGACAAAAAAACTATCATTTGTTTATGATATTTCAATAGAATATTCTAATATCGAGGAATAATGGAATAATGTAAAATTAATGAAATAATATTACAAGTAAATATCTTATACTCATTTACCATAACAGTAAAATAATTTTTTATTTTAATTAAATACTATAAATTTCTAGTTAAAACATAAAAACCTCTAACAGTTATATATCATAAATATTCATCGAACTAAACTATTAAGAAATAAAATATTTATTTGAACCTTAACATCGAACGCTTCTATTAAACTCCCTAATACTCTAAAATAAAAACTGAATTATCTTCGTCAATTATTCAACATCATTGAGGTAGTTACACGAAAATAAATATTTAATATAGTATCACCTTTTTATTTGATTTTTATCTTATGTAATTTAAGCTTAAATCCAAGCAATTCTGAAAGCACTCCTGAAAGTGCAGATAATAATACCACTTTTGTGATTGTATACAGATAGGGATTAGTAGATAAACCAGATATTTTAAACGGACTTTCAAGTTCCTGTAAATTATATATGAATTTACAATTATACTAAATATTTAGTTAGAAGTAAAAATAAATTATTTGCATTACCTTTATCAAATCTGCTGCTAATTTGAGTACATTATTCGCCACCATAAGGTCTTCCTTTTTATGCGGTTTTTGTTCTATTTGTAAATATAAATTAATCTAAAAGAAACCAAAATCAAATACTAATATTTACAACAGGAATATAAATCTGCAGAAAAATGTATTTTATTGTAATTACCTGTTCAGTTATCAAGACGGAAAGATTTCTATATTTTTTATTAATTTTTGTACCTAACGTCATAAAACGCAGTATAAATATCCCTAAGGAAAAACTCCAAAACAGTGCTTCCACGTTGTATCGGGAATGTAAACTTTCAAGATCCTATAAAGTGATAATATTTATTGATTACTATCATTTTATTATACTATGTACTTGTTCCTGTTTACCTTAATTAACTCCAGACTCACAAATGATAACAATAATAATGTAACAATGAATACTGCTGATACTATTACGTCTACGGAACGTTGAGGCCCTCTTCTCTATAATAAGTTATATATTAAGAAGAATATTTTTTATATAATATGAAATTACAACCTCGTTAGTATTTTGTAAGATAAAACTATACTGTACACTGTAAGATAAAAATATACATAATAATGGTTCATCTTACTTTCAAATAAGATCTAACGCTCAACCACAGTTTTATGTTGCGCACTTTGTTCAATCGAAAGTGCGGCAATTCTGATTTTCTTGCACGTCTTGACGATGTTAAATGTGAAAACAATTTAGCATATAAGAGTCTTTGTTTATAAGTACGTTCTGCAACTGCTAATAAAAAAAATAATAAACAGGATAATATTAGCCTCTCGAATGCCGATATAAGCACTACTATACGTTCCCTGAAATTAAGTAAAATTTTTATCAATTTTCACAGACTATTACTTAACACACTATTTGTTATACGGAGTATACATATACAAAATATAAGATAATAACTATTCGAAATAATATTTGAATCTTTTAAGTAACGTTATTTCAAAAGTGCTCAAGTTTTCTATGTATTGTATCATTTTATTCAATCATTTCGCACTTACCAAAGAGTTGCGCCAAATGCCAAGCTTATCACTTTACATATAATATCGCTGTAAGTTTCCAAATTGACGTAAGTTAAGTCATTTGGTATAAAGGAACTGGTTACATTACTACTATTGTCCATTCCAACGTGATCATTTAATCGTTTAATGGATGGTATTAGTGACAATACAACGCTAAGCAGTAGGCCTCCATAAAAATAGTTCATACTCTCGGGCATTGATTCCACTCTGGCAATAATCGCTGAACTGATGTCCAGCACCGATAGTTCAGCTTTTTTTATATCACGTCGTGTCCATATAGCGCACGAAACTGAAATATGTTATATGAAATAAATAATATCTACGTTATTGTTTTAATATACATTACCACGATCATATGAGGCACAACTAGAGCTAAGCATTATGGAGGGCGGTAATTCAAATTCCCAAGAGAAGGGATGCTCCACAAATTCCCCATAATTTTTATTAGTCTCACTATGTAAATCGGATTCCTCAAGTTCTGAACTGCAAGAATTATTGAAGTTCATATTATCTTTTTAAAAAAACAATTTATAATAGAGAATATTGAGGATGTAATAAAGGAGCTGAGGATATTTTTTACGATAGAAAAAAGAATTTGAAACAATACAAAATTAATACCAGCAGTAGTATCATAATCTTGTACCTGTAACTACAGTCATCACTGTTTGTTGTTACTCCCATCCATTCGGTAGCAGACGTTGTGGCTTCTGTTAAATGATGCGTAGCGGCTTCTTCGCATTCTCCTTCTTCTTCACTTTCGTATTGTTGACGACCTTTTCTTGGACCAATAGCCAAGGGACAGTGATCTTTATCCTTCAAAAAATAATTTAAAACTAACACTTCTGTATAATTTTGCAAATGAAAAAAGAAATTTTACGAAACTTACATAATTATCCAATACGATGAAATATATTATAAGAAAATTAAAAGATGAGAGATGAACAAATATTTGAAAATCGTTCACAATACATTGTCAGTAATTTGTTTATTCATATTATAATACAAACATAATTTCCACGTACAGCTTGCATCATTGGCGCTCTTGCCATGATGAGATTACATAAAAATTAGGGATGTTTTGTGAATTACCTCGGAATATTACATATTTAATTACTAGAAGTTTATTCAAATATTCGTACATTAACAGTGCATTTTAAAATTATTTACACACATTCGGTTTAGATTACAATTATAGATGCGTACAAACGAAATTATAAAATAAAATGGTTGTATTTTAAATTTATTTCAAATGCATAATATATCAGATGTGACTGTTACAAGTAATATTACGAAATTATTATACGAGCAAATATTTTTGTTTTTTCTTAACTGTATGTGATATTAAATTACTAAGTCTATATTGCTGGTGTAATATAATGGTTGTAGTATGAAAACTAAAACAAACTTATAAATGAATAAGTAATACTTACCACTTTACTAGAAGTTTCCTCAGCACTCTTTGAAGAAATATCTTCTGTCTTCAATAACTCAAGTGCTGCATGGAAAGTGGAAGACAATCATTTAGCTAATACGCCACTTTACCTTTCCAACAAAGATTAATGCATGTTATCAATTCAAAACAAACAAAATCACGGATAACTATAGAAATAAATTCTGCACTTTTAAATAAAGAGATCATGAGTAATATATTTCAAAATTTTATCTATTTAAATTATGAAAATATATTACTTTCTGTAAAAGTTTAGCGTTTTACATAATATATCATGCTGTAAACTTTTTATATAAAATATTATAATATGTTGCCAATCGAACCTGAGAATTTCGATTGTAATAAAATTTGTTGACTAGTAGAGTTTTCTATTCGAAGATTGCGCTCTTCATTATTTTTATGTTGTATATCTTTCTTCTGCTTAAACTTTTCTACTGTTGCTCGTGCAATACCTTTATCATTATCACTTGATACATTTCCATTTAAACTTTCAAATCCATCATCATCTTGATGTACATTTTTTATACTTTGATCTATAATAAAGATATATTTTATATTTAAATATAAACATATAACTAAGACGAAAAATATTAGTAAAGCATATAATTTATACTGACTTGATTGAGTATGACTAGTTGAAGCTTCATTTATTGGAAGTGGATTGCTCACAGGTGCATTTATTAATTCATTATCACAGGATCCTTGAGCAGTCACAAATTCCTATAAAAGATAAGCTATTAAAAATCTGTTACAGGAGTCTATTTCTCGAAGATAAATATTTAAGCATTTTAATGAACGAATTAGCAAAAAATACTGCCAACATAGGATAACATGCATTGTGATAAAATCTATGATAAAATATAATTACCTGAGATCGACTAGCAGTCAAAGAATTTTCGATTACAACTTTTTTAGCAAATCGTACAGAAGTTAAAACTTCGCCATTTACTGTACTAGCTTTTCCAGAAACAGTATCTTGAGATGATTTGGAATCTTCATGCAAACCTACAAATGATACAATACATAGTAAATATAAATATAAGGTGATTTGTCAGAAACTTTATATCCTACAATAATGAAAGCTTACGTAAGTTTTGTCTTGTCCTTGATTTTCCCAGTCGACTCCTAGTATGTCGCGAACGTCTAACTACTCTCTGTTTACTATGCACATCGACTGTTGATGGACCCGAATGAGTTGATACAATGTGAGAATGAACAATGCATAGCACTAACATCATAATAGTAGGTATTAATACTTCTGATGTTGACACAATCTGTAAAAAGATATGTAATTTATTAAATATTTGCGGGTGTTTGTAATAGGAATATAATTATTATCGTACATCACTTTCATTGTCCTTGGCCATCTGATAAAAATATACACACATATTGATCAATTGTAAACTATACAATAATAAAAATAATGTAAAAATTTTTAAACTAGTCTGCTGCATCCACCATTTTCTATACAAAGGGAGAAATAATAATCGTTGAAAAGCCAAGCAAGCGACTGTTGATAATCCATGTTTTGGCTTGGCTTTTGTAAAAGAAGAACCTGCAATGAAAATTTTCTTTCGATATTTGCTATTAATCTGTATATACTTATACTTATAAAATATATATTTTCATGTTTTAATGCTCCGACAGAACAAAATTGTTTGCAATCTTTTAATTTAATACTCTACCTCGTACAAGATCCACATCGATAAGTTCTGTTTTTAATTTTGCAGTTCTCATCGGAACATGCGTAAATCCTCCAAGAATGTGCTGTTCTACAGTCTTTTCCCATTGCTGCTTGTCGTAAGTACCAATTTTCTTCTGATACCTGGAACACAAAAATCATTAATTGCATTAACGTTACATCGATTCAAGTAATTTTTTTTTTGGAGATCCAACAGTAAAATACAAAATTTCTTACCAATAAACAAGCTCGTTCAATTTCATTTTTGCCGATCGCTATCGTAATCCTATGCAATAACTATTAATTTTTAATTTTATCCAATAGTTGGATGCGTCTAAACGAACGGAAGATAATTTTCCGTATAATTTTCTTAGTAAATTTAAAGAAAATGTTGCTCCCATAATATATAACAACCGACAACTAATAACAACCTTTTATTTCACGGAATTCGAGCGGACGAGAAATAAAATACGAATGATTTCGTGATACATTTAGTAGTTTTCACGGCATTGCTTAGAATTGGATATTATTCAACGACCTTCGGTAATAATCGTGACAATTAAATAGCACGATTGCCTCTGATTGTCTTCAATTTACAACTGTTTACTAGTAAAATCTGGTATATGAGATAAGTTTCCCATGCATTCAATATTTCTTATATCGAGTCCATTGGTTGTCGGCATTCGCTACCCTACCAACTTACCATTAAACCTGTATCTTTCCGTTATCCAAAATTACGAAGTGAATATCACAACCAATCTTACGATAATAAGTACAGAACAAGAGCTTTTATTGGTCATCGTTTACATATCGTGTTTTCTTTATTTATCGTTAAAATAATTTTAAAAAAATTTTCATGAAACGTCTATTCAACATCTTTTTTTAATAACTTCTCGACGTTTACTACGTTTTTATGTTAATGGGTTTATAATACATTTTTGGATACTTTCTATTCAAGCCATGGGGTCGTATGTGCCCCACGCTATTATGTTTAATTGTTTTGTCTCTGACATATGCTCTACAATATTTATAATAAACCAAAAACTATAATTATTAAGAAAAAGGTGTATGTTCTAGCGTTAAGATCGACACCGATATCGATTCTATTGATATTAATTTATAAATTTCGATCCAGTATCGATACATCGACAAAATCCTATCGATATCTCAAGAATGTATCGATACCTATTTGATAATTAATAATGACAAGATAATGTACCTAACTGCAATATTATAGCAATTATTCATTTTTGATAAAAGTGAATCATTGGAATATATTTGGATTCCACATTTGAGTGCAACGTGTGTACAAGTAATATGAAAACAAGTTACGAAACACATCGAAATGAATGTCGGGCCTTGAGAGGTTTGACATTATTTGAAGTAATGCAATGTTTCAAAAGAAATTATTTTACGTTGTACATGTATTTATAATACAATTCCTAGGCTCGTTAAATACTTAGAGACGATAGGAGTATTCACGAACTTATTTTCAGGATGTTGATCCTCAGTATAGGGTTGCTTCTTGGTCTTTTATGTTCGGTGAACGGATTACGTGAATACGAGAAGAAAGATTTAATTGCTTTAAGGGAAGAAGTACGATCTATGTTCGATCATGCTTATTCGAGTTACTTAACATATGCTTACCCGTACGATGAACTACGGTCGTTGAGTTGCGATGGATTCGATACATGGGGTAGTTTTTCATTGACGCTTATCGATGCTTTAGACACTCTTGCCGTAATGGGCAATTTTTCCGAATTTCGACGCGTGGCAGCGATTATAAGCGCCAGAGCAAACTTTGAAGCCAACATAAACGTATCTGTATTTGAAACTAATATCCGAGTAGTCGGAGGGTTACTCAGTGCTCATCTCTTGTCACGTAAAGCTGGTGTCAATCTGGAGCCAGGATGGCCTTGTAACGGTCCGCTATTACGTCTTGCAGAAGATATGGCAAAACGATTAATTGCAGCTTTTGATACTCCAACAGGAATGCCGTATGGTACAGTTAATTTGAAATATGGAGTGCCAGAAGGTGAAACAAGCATCACATGCACTGCTGGTATTGGTACATTTTTGTTAGAGTTTGGAACTTTGTCTAGACTAACTGGGGATCCATTGTATGAAGAAGTTGCCATGAATGCTATTAAAGCATTACATTATTATAAATCGAACATTGGGTTGGTTGGTAACCATGTTGACGTATTAACGGGTTACTGGACAGCTCAAGATTCTGGAATTGGCGCAGGAGTTGATTCTTATTTTGAATATTTGGCAAAGGGTACCTTATTATTTCAAGACCCACTGCTAGCAACAATTTTTCATGAACACAAAGCTGCTATTGAAAAATATATTCGTAAAGAAGATTGGCATTTGTGGGTTTCTATGACTAAAGGTCAAGTGACCTTACCAGTCTTTCAATCTCTGGATGCTTATTGGCCCGGAGTACTCAGCCTTTTTGGTGAAATTGGAGATGCTATGAAGTCCGTACATAATTACCATCGCGTTTGGAAACAATTTGGTTTTACACCAGAGTTTTATAATATCCCGCAAGCAGAAGCAGGCACTAACAGGGAAGGGTATCCATTAAGACCAGAGCTTGTAGAATCAGTTATGTATTTGTATAGAGCAACGGGTGATCCTTACTTGATACAAGTAGGAGTAGATATATTAAGAAGCCTGCAACACAGCGCGAAAACTACATGTGGGTATGCAACAATCAATGATGTCAGGGATCATCGTAAGGCAGACAGAATGGAATCATTTTTCTTAGCAGAGACAACAAAATATCTTTATCTCCTCTTTGATCTTGATAACTTTATTCATAATTCTGGCCAGGAGGGTGAAATTATTCAGACTCAATGGGGTCAATGTATTGTAGATGCAGGTGGATATATTTTCAATACGGAAGCACATCCCATAGACCCTGGAGCACTGTATTGTTGTCATCAAAATCAAAATTTGTTCCCGAATCAAAAGGCAGCATTATGGAAATTTGTTCCTGCTAATGACCAAACAGAAGAGGAAAATGCAGAATATAATACACCATATCAGGATGACATAAAAAATAAATATAATGATAAACTACCAGTTAAAATTGTAAAATTATCTGAAATGAGGCATACTTTCACAAGTGATGCAGAAGACAATCTTAATACAAATTTAGTTAATCCCATTCCACCCATAAATGACGAGACTGACGAAATCACAATAACGGAAGAAGAAAATAAATTAAATATAAACTCAGAAACTGAGCCCATGAAAGTACTAGTTGTTGCACCTCCCTCAGTAATTTATAAAGCTGATGATAGTGAAAGTGTCGATACTTTTGAAACATCTACGTCCGATGGTCATTATTCTGCGCCTGGTTTAAGAAATCGTACAAAATCATTTATTAAACAGACTAATACAAGAGCAACAAGGTTTGAACCACAAATACTACTAGAGAATATTAGAAAGGGAAATTTATATCCCACAAATGTTTCTGCGAGACAGAATTATCAGATCTTGTCTTGTCAATCTCAATCATTCCTGCAACGTATATCCATTATGGGAGAATTTTTTTAATACTTATGATAATGTTGTACATTAAAAATATATTATAGTTTATTTTAATGTAAATTTGGCATTAAAAAATAAATTGCAATGTGAATTCAACTGTTATCCTTCTTTGAAGTATGTGATTTATTATAAACAATTTCGGTAAATCGATCAATTTTGTAACGATTATAAATGTTTCGTGCGATTAAAATATTTATTTAGATTACTTATCAATACGATTAAAAATAATCTATATAGATTAAATATGAATGACATCTTAATTTGTTTTCAATAAGATAGCATATATTGTTAATATCAATATTTTCTGTTTTTTTTTGCATATATATATAGTATGCAAATATGTACATATAAATAGAAATGTTGGTCAATTTATAAAGAAAAATTATTAAAGCTTTCATAAATTACATGTAATATATTAGAATAATTTTTTTAATTAATATTTTTGGCTATTATATTACATAATATTAATTACATATGTAGGAATATAAAACAGTTTTCTATTTAACTTATCTAATTATGTACTATGTAATTATAAATTCCGGCATATTCTTACAAATATCATTTTATTTTTACATTACATTCAACTTTTCGTTGAATGAGCAATAGGATCTTTAAGCTTGCGTTCGGTTTTTGTTGGTAGTACTGACAGTACTATCTTTTTATCATTTCAATTTACTTATTGCTAAGTTACATTTATTGTTATAAATCATTTATAACAATTAAATAATTATCGATAACAATAAATCAATTCTATCGTTATCTTTCTTTATAGATATACAATTTGAAAAAATATATAATGTTAGTTTCACAGTGTTGCCAATAAAAGACGGAAGGCGGAAGTAAGGAGTTTTGTTAGTCATACTTTAACTCGGGCGAATAATTTGTATATATTATTTAAAATAGCTTCTATAGAGGTCTAAAAAAATTGGAACAATTATATTACTTTCCAAACAAGGATCATACATTATAAATTATAAACCTGTGGTTTGCTATAACGGTAAATACCACGAACTATTTTATTGCTATTGGTGATTCCCCAGTGTGCGTTCAACGGATCGCGCCAGCTATAAATATCGGATTAAGCCAACAGTTTGTCACAATTGTTCCGACAACGTACCGAGCACGTGAGAAATATCTTGTGAAAATATCTTGTGAAAATATCTTGTGAAAATATCTTGTGAAAATATCTTGTGAAAATATCTTGTGAAAATATCTTGTGAAAATATCTTCTGAAAAATAAGAAAGGTAATTATAAAAAATACTTGTTCCTTATGCTTACTAATTTGATGATAAATTGAATTGAAATATGTCAAATTTTGATCGTGCATTTGTATGGTGGTGTTCTTGCGACGTATTACCTACTTTTCTCTTTGTTAGTTCTGAATTCTGTGCCCTCGTGTAGAAACAGTGCAGTGTAATGTAAACTTTAATTTAAAAAGAAGAAATGAACGAAACGATTTAACAGATGAACCGCAATTGAATGAATTTCTTTTTATTTTTATTTTTTTTAATCGCGTACACTTACCATTATTTTACTAAATATAGTTTTATTTTACATTTTATTACGTCATTTCCTCAAAATTTCGACTCGCTTCTCGACAGTTCATTTTATGCTACGCATTTCTGATCGAACAAAGAATAAAACGTACATTTAACGAAAAGCAAAAGTTCACTTTACAGCAGACGCCGCAGTTACTTTTCAAATATTACGTTCGCATATGCATTGCACAGTTTGCATTTGTAATCATGCACATGTATCTATTTGTAACTAGATGGGTTTATTATTCGTGTATATTTAATAATTTATTTTCTTTTAATAGATGGATAAAGCGGCCCAAGACAATTATGCTAACCAAAAGAATCCCAATTATGCAGACCATACTGCTGGGTACAAGGGAACTGGGACGAAATCCGACCTAGACAACCATAGCAACCAATGTAATTCAAACAACAAAAATTTTAAAAAATAATTTTTGTTAATATTGTATATCTATATAAAAAGAGATGTATCTTAATTAATAATGTGACAATACACCTGACTTTATAAAATACAAATTTCTGAATAGAATTTACTAATATTAATTTAATAATCATTACCACTGATTACAGAGATAGCATTAACATTTATTACTTTCTTTTTACAAATACTTCATACAATTTTCTCATATTCATATTTTAAAAAACAAATTGACGATTTTGTTACGATTCAACGATACAGTTCTTGCGGATAAGGTGGTAAATAATTGTTAATAATAATATTTCAACGTGATATGTCCACTGCGGCTGGCTGTTTTATCCAAAATCCCCAATTAGTAAATTGTTTTCCATCTGGTCCTTCGCTGGGGTTTCGAAACACTTGTACCTTTACGCGAGGTACTTCGTCTGGAATTGAACTTTGTATAATTTCGTCTTGCAGTAGTTTCTTTCCTGTGTCGCGTTCCGCGGCTATTAATGTTGCCAAAGCAAGGAAGTACAATAAACGGTTGATTTTCTGGAAGAACAGACATTTAATATGAGAGCTTTCAACTGAGGAGAAAATAGGAACTTTATTCAGTCTTGTCGCGAGCAAATCGAAGAAATTAACGTCTCGAGTTTGAGTCACGAGCGAATAAAAATTTTTAATTCCCCCCATTTGTTCCTGACGAGACTGTACAAAGAGTGAAAGAAATAAAATGTAAAGATTAATAAATACAATTGTAGATGTGGCTTGGAAAAAATTAGTTATCGAACGACATTTATCGACATAAATGTTTTATGACTTACCAATAGCTTCATCTTGAACAGCTTAAATGCAATGGCGTTTTCAAATAGAACGATACCTTTATGTACCGATAAATAGTATTTAGAGCATAACTGATTCAACTGTTTCGCGGTTTTTACATAGGTTTTTGCATAGAGAAACTCTCCTTTCTGTTCTTAAAAAGTGACAGTGAAAATACTGACCAACGAAAGTTGACGATCTCGAAGCAAACATCATTCCTGTTATTGGTGAGATAGAACCTGATTTATTGAGATTGCAAACTCTTATTGGAAAACTGATGTTGCCTCGCGAGCTTTATGATTCGGGTTAAAGTAAATCATGCGTGTGTAAAATTTTGATAATGTATTTTCGTCTTTCATAATTTATATATATTTATATACATATATGTATGTATACTTGGAAGCCCATTTTACATCGTTCTGTAACGCCTATACGTTTCATATTTAACTACGTTTGATATCTAATCGTAAATGATCAATTATCGGAACACGTGAGTTTCTACAGTCCGCAATAATAGTGTAAAACAGTACATAAAACCATATAAATCTTTGATATAAGGAAGAATTTTACGTACCCAGAGTATGTTATTGTTTATTTTAGGAGACATCTTTTGCAAAGTACCATTCATTAACTGCGATAAAACTATAAGACATTAACATTTTAAATTTATTTCTACAGTTTATTAATAATGTGCATTGTCTCCTTTGTTTTTTTTTTTTTAATAACTTTTAATATTCTTCGCGGAATAGATTTGTACAGTTTTTGGATCGTTTTTTGCTTTATATTCCTTCATTTTTCTTTAACATATATCTTCAATTCGTGTACACTATCGAACTGCTTTCCTTTTCACGCTACCTGCTGCAAACAATAACATACTCCGCGCAAAGGATGAATTTTCTTCCCGCAACGCAGACTTCCATGATTTGATATGTATGGTGTCTTATAGTATTGTCGCGGAGCGTAATCAGTGAAAATCGCTCGAATGAACAATGACGTAAAGTTGACGATAATTATTCCGCATACTTTTATACAATTATAGCTACCGACGATACGAATTTAAACAAATTCACCAGCGACTGCTCTCCACGCGTCCATAGACTATACAATGGCACACTAAATTCGATTGCTGAATTCCCGAATCGCTCGATCTTTGGTCATTGCTTCGTTAAACACCATTCCGGCCTTTTGTATTTTACACGATAAATTAATAACCTTGCCAACCTAGCTTGCTATTGCTTTTGCGAAAGTTGGAAAGAACGAATCCGAAATGCATAATTATTTACATCGGAGGCAGCGGGAAAGTGAAACGAAAAGTTCTAAATAATTACATATTTTGGATTCCAAAGTCCAAAATTGATTAATCTCTATCATTGTTCTTTAACGACTGTACTGGTAATTAAATTCCGACGCGCGAAATGCCCGTTCGAGGATTCTATTTTGAAAATAAAACCGAATACATATTCGAGTATGAGATTTTGTACCTGCTTCTTAGATTTATTTCTCGTTGATTATCTTTGTTTCTTTTCTTTTAACGTAACATTTAATATCTTGTTGGCTCGTAAAATTATTGCACTGTGGGTTATTAACAAAGGAACAACGTGCCATATTAATCGATAGTTAAGCCATACGTGATAACTACATCGTTCTCAGGCGTATAAAGATAAAAATGAAACAAGATAGGTAGTGCTGGTCAGTGAGCGATTAAGAAGCGTCGGCCAGTCTGGAAGCGTTAATAAGCGCATACTTTTTGAATATTTCTTTACAGTCTCTTTTCGAGAATAGCGTTCTTTCGATTAATAATTATTTCAAGCCTTCCTCTTTCAATTTCGACTGAACGAAATGACCAAACACATGGATTTCTTAGCGGAACGCTTTCCGTGATTCTTTCTTTGCGATTATTGCGGTTGTATCACGCCCAAGCGTAGTCTGATTTTGTCTACCGCTTGTACCTTTGGTCGACAATTATAATCAAAGTTCGAGTTGTACGTGTCCTAAATAAACGATTAATGTTGTACATGATATCGATCTTTTACAAATGACAAGGCAATATTTCACTTCATTTATCATTCGTCTACCTTGATGATGTCCAAGAAGGAAACGATTCCCGTGACAAAGGATAAACAGGTTAAAACGATGAACAGCGATGATTTTACTTATACGTTAAATTTGATCATAGCCTTAACAATTAACGCTTAACCCCTATAACTCTCAATATACAGGGTGTTTGGCCAACCCTGGGAAAAATTGTAATGGGAGATTCCAGAGGCCAAAATAGGACGAAAATCAAGAATACCAATTTGTTGATGAACGCTTCGTTAAAAAGTTATTAACGTAGAAGGTTCCGCCCGTACTGAATTTTTTTCTCGAAAATGCACAGGATTTTTGGGGTATGTCTGTTCACCAAAAATGATTGTAATTGACCCCCCCAAACGAAAATAATTTTTCCAGAACGATTTGAAATTTTTTTTTCGTCGAAAAATTTAGGCACCTCCTCGAATTTTTTTCTTGAAAATGCGTAGGATTTCGGGGGTATGCGTAATGACCAAAAATGATTGTAATTGACCCCCGCAGTCAAAAATAATTTTTTAATAACTTTTTAACGAAGCCTCAGTCAAGAAATATTCTTGATTTTCGTCTTATTTTGGTCTCCAGAATCTACCGTTAAAATTTTTCCCAGGGGTGGCCGAACACCCTGTATATACATATATATATATATATGTATATGTATATGTATAACGTTTAATATCATTGACAAAGATTTTCTTCGATCAATAGATCGCGTTACGTTAATTAGTATTATCATTCTGGAAGACATCATTGGAAGACTCGTTTCATAAATATTATCGTATCTCATTTAAATAACACGTTTTCTGCGACTGCGAGATGTTCTTGATTTCCTTTTTGTCTTTACATTTCATTCTAACATCGATTAGAAACGTTTATGTCTTGCATCGGGGCCGGAAGCGTAATCTTTTATACATCGATCGTCCTATCGAATTGACAAAACATACGATCCACGGACAAAATAACGATAATAATTTTCGTACTTTTATTTTAGTAAATCTCGCTATTCGTCTCATCTGCCCATTCGATATCAAAAGAGGCGTAAATCGTAAGCACCGTTTTCCATCGAATAAACAAAATGGACATTATTTTAGGCCCAAGGCACCGTGCCTATTTCATTATAATGGAAAAGATGGGTTTGATATGTGTTAAGGCTAGTCTTATCTAATCTTTCTCAACGCTAGGATCAATTTTTACATTATAGACAATGAAATTTCACAATCGGTACGAATTAAGAAGAGCATCTCGCAGTTTTCGCCGAACTACAGAATTGGCTACCATATTGCTTAAACTAACGTGTGATCTATGCGGCCTGTAGAGGCCTCGGAAGACATTGGATTACATGGCTAATTGTACTCGTTCGTACAGAACTGGTTACATTCATGCTGTTCAGGGCCGATCCTGAAAGCAAATCAGCTTCTTCCACTCATCTAACAACGACGAGGAGACGTTAGATCGTTGTTACCGTAACGTCGACTGCCCGATGCATCGAAGTGGCCTTGATAAACGTTCCTGCTGACTACGCGTGCCCCAATTTCCGCCATTATCGAACGCCTCCCCGGCGCGTGATCGACGCGATAGATAGAAATTACAAGACCCGCAATGCGATTATAAAATCCCGAAACTCGTGTAACAGTAGTTAAACTTGTACGCACAATATTCACCGTGTGGAAGACATCGATACAACTTACAGCTAGCAAAGATATTGTCACATTAACTGCGCGCTAAGTCTAGATGTTGCCTAAGGAAGCCCCTGATGTCGACGATCATTGTCAAAATTCTCGAAAACGAACACGCGGGACAATTATCGAAGCCGAGTTGCTCGCGAAGTAGATTGTTCACCTACCGATCCCTCTCAACCCCTTAAATAGACTATTTTGCTAGATATGTGTGTGTTCTGGTTGGATATAAATATACAATCTCGAAATGTTCGAACGCGCGCCTAGCCCTTAGATTCTTAAACTCTAAATATCGGGATTCTATAACCGAAGATTCATTTGATCGAACTTAACGTCGCGGAGAAGATCGTAACAGTCACCGTGGTAATCAAAATAATCGATAAACGATTTCGAAATACTCGAGGTTGACGCTAAGTGCCCGGTCGGAGGAGTCGCAGTCTCGTTTTGTAGAGTGCAAATAGAACCATCGGAAACGTGAGTTTTCACGAGCTAGTCGCGCGTCTGAACGTGATACAATTTTTGAAGGAACGGGCAAACGAAAACCGAGGGAGCAGCATCGCGTAAGGTAGTTCAGAAAGGTAAACCGATCTCGAAGGCGTTGATCAGTGCAGAGCCCGAGTCGTAGACACCGATCACGCCGAAGAGCACACCGAGGAAGATGACGAAGCAATCGTACGCCACCGCGCCCCACTCCATCGAGTTTCTCTTCAGTTTCAAGTGGAAATAACACGGCCATATGAACGACAGCATCGTGCCGGTGAACGAGCCGATGAAGCCCATGAGAATACTAAAATGTGGTATGAAGATCGCCATGAGGATGGTGAAGACGATCACGCCCACGCGCCACGCCAGACCCCAGACTTTCAGCTCGCGGTCCACCGTCCATATCGTCGGGAAGATCGTCTTCGGTCTGCCTCTGAAGAACGCTCTCTCGAGGAGCTCGCAGGCCGCGTAATAGGGCAGAGGGTAGGACAACACGGCCTTCACGACCAGGCAGAAGTTCACCAGACCCTTGAAGCCGGCCGAGTGTAAATTGTTGGTGATCACCTGCTGCGTGTCGTACTGGAACGTCAGGAAGCAGATCCATCCGAACAGCGACTTGAACGCGGCGGCGGCGATGTGGCTCCAATTCAGCATCCAATCGAACTTGGAACGATCGATCAGGTTGCCCTCCAGGGTGGGCAGGAATATCTGGGACGTGTAACTGAAGACGATCACGCCCAGCGAGATCGGGAAGTTCTCGAAGTCGAGGGTCCACTTCACCTTGGACCAACCCCAGTCGCCGATCTCCAGGATGCAGTAGCCGACGATTATCGCGTTTATGAACAAGTGGGACATCGTGCACCAGAAGCTGAGCACCGATACGTGCTGCAGGGACTTGAGGAAACCGAGGGGCAACAGAAATATACCGATCAGCATCATCCAGCTCCTGGTGTCGATCGCGCCCTCGGGGAACGTGCCTATCATCAGGTCGCCGCACACGACCACGTACAGGATACAGGTCATCAGCAGCTCGATGATCTGGGCGATGTTCACAGCCCTGGCGCCCCACGTTGGACCGAAGCATTCCTTCGCGATGGCCACGTACGAGTCACGGACTCTCACGCGTTGCCCCGTCACGGTGTCCAGCTCGTACAGACACTCGACCAATATTTTCCCGGTGTAGCAACAGATGTGAGCTATACCGATCATCGCGGCGATGGCCCAGTAACCGCCTTGCAGAACGGCGAATGGCAACGACACGATGAACATACCCTGAAACGACACTTCGTGTACACCTGTTCCTATCATGACCAGTCTTTCCCTCTCTGTTTTACGAGGCAACGTACTTCTAATTTTTTGCATCCTATATATAAATATCAAAATAGACATAGAAGGCAGCATAAATTACAATAGTTGTTACATTCATTAGATAGGGGATGAAATGCCCTTTAAAATGAGCGTTTGTACCAGTCGATAGCGTAATTAGTTCCGGAGATATGAGGATTTTAGTTTCAAGTCGATGCGATGGCTAGTTTGTTTACGTTCAATGAGATCAATGAACTCGCGCGCGCGTAAATAGTAAACAGTGCGTAGTAAATTCTTGGATACACGGACGGAGACAGAGATAGTCGAATTCGTAAAAATTACCAAATATATTTCCAAAACGGAAAGTCGGATCGATATAAATCAAAAACCATTTCAAAGAGGAAGGTTTACCGCTTCTAACAATGGCTCAATTATGGATAAAGCACTAGTAGTTTTGGAACTGTATGTGTTGTTAGAAACCAGTGTTGAAAAATATACCTGTATAGCATTTGTAACGTTCCACGCGGCTTGCCATTCGTTAATTTTCACCCCCGATCCGCCAAACTCGCCGCCACCCTCGTCGTACTCGCTGAATTCGCCACTGCTTACGCTTCCTGTCCTGACTTTGTCCCTGTAAGATTTAATTATTCTTGTTGATGAACATATATCGTCTTAACGGAGACAAAGATCGAAGCTATCTCGGTGTAAAAATTATTTAAAAACAAAAAATTTGTTCTATTGTACAATTCAATTTCATAAATTAAATGTAATTTCGTTTATAGCGGATTAATTTACCCGTTTCGTTGGTAGCTGAAAGTGTCCTCGGCGATGGCCACGTTGTTCTGGTCCCGATAAGCTTGTTCTCCGTTCATAGTCATCATTTCCGTATTATCGTGGCCTTCGTCGAAGGATTTGAACTGTTCTTGGCCACTGTGCCCTGGAGCCGGTCGTTGTCCTGTGCCATTGCCGCGAATAAGTTCCACGCAGGGGCTGTTCTCCGGCCATTTGGCCTTCAGTGTTTCCCATGCGACGTTGATCGTCGCCCCAAGGGATGGTATGTAGTATCCACGGAAATTGGCCATTTTTTAATTCGTTGTTTCTGGAAGTGAACACGACTGACCCTCGCAATTCTCGATAAATATCTAAATCGTTGTTACACGGAACACGGTAAAATTTATTTAAGGATCTCGATGGGAAGATACATATCGGCTATCAACTGTTGCAACATCGTATCGTGAAAGCTTAAGTAACTACTACCCACGAGTACTTATGCAATTCTTTTATTTTTCATTTAACTTTTTAAGAGAAACTAGTTCGCCGTGACTTATGCTCAATGACCGAGACACGATGCGAACAGATAGTTTGGAAGCTATATAAACGTGGTTTAAGACCTGCAAATTAAAATAACGTAACGATTTTTGTAACGAACACTGGGTAACGATCTTTTACATGTTATATAAAAAATATCCAGTATTTTCTTCTGGATTGCCAGTGAATTAAACTTTACGATTGATGATGAAATGCTAGCTTATCGCGACCACGAGAAATAGTTGAAGCAAATAGCCACCTAGTGGTGTTTGTCAGAAAACGTTGGTCAATGTGAGAATGCAAAACCATCGTTGCTCTAGTTTACGAAGGATAGCAATAAAAATAAAGGAAAAGTAACGAATAAATATAAAATTCTTCACTTTTCAGAATACTTTCCGATCGTTCTCTGATACGATCCCTTACGCGGTACGAAAAATTATTAAAGCAACAGACGAACCGTACCGTGTTCGGTTCAGGCTGCTCCAATTTTAAGAATCTTATTGCAAACTATACTCGATAAGAACACTTCTCTGTACACGCTCGATCACGATTAACGTTCGGTAAAAAGACCGTTGGTCGCGTGTTCTGTGACCTGTTTGTGGTTCTCTATAAAATCGCTTTCAAACTTTCTGAACACGTTCGCTGACTCTCCCCTCGGACTTGAATCCTCTGTTAGACTTACCGATCGACGAATAGAATTCGTCTTCCAATTTCGCAGAGGTACAGCACGGTTGTTGGACGTCGCGACGTCGGGCGCAAAAACTTCTTCCAGCGCGAATTCCGTTTCGTTTTATCGGGCAGACCGACGGGCAAACTAAAAAAGGATCGCGGCAGGCCCGGATAATAACGGAAATACTTGAAAATAAAGGGTCGAAACCGTCTAACTACGTGGGCTACGACACCGCATGGTCGTCTACGGTCTACCCGCGATCGTCGAGTCCCTAATCGCGAGCCCTTAATCGCGACATAGACTAAGGGGTTGGCGTGTTACAGGGGTTGGGAGATCGGAGGAATATGGCCAGCATCCCTGGAACGCGCAAGCCTCGATCGATGCCGTCCACGAGAACGTCTCTAGATACGTCAGTACTGTACTCGAGAATCGCGTCTCCCTTACACGAAAAGAATCATGGAAACAAACTGGCGATCGTATTTTTTTTTTCAACCCAATTTAAATCAACGCCTTTATTAGGCCAGCCAATAGATCGTCGGTGGACATGCACGAAGACATTGTTCCTTTTAAGTTTTAAACGAACGTAGCTTATCACTTCGTCGTTATAGTAAATCTAAAGGATTCATGAAATAAATTCGTAAACATTTTCTTTTATCAATTCATTTTAAAGTACAGCTTTGTTAGGCCAACCAATAATTCAGATGAACGTTAAGCGTCTTCTCGTAATATTGCGACTCGACACGCACATCTAATAATTGCTTCATCGGTATTTGTAATATAGTACAAGATTAGACAAGATTAAGACAAGATTAGATTTGTGTTAATATTGTATTTGATCAACAATGTTTACACGGAATATTGAATATAATTGAAGGGCTTGGGGGATGAAAAAGTTACGTTACAAAATTGAGCTTTAATGTTTTTCTAACATTATTTGTATGATTAAAAATAAATAATTTTTGTCTTCCTTGCAACTGATCAACAATAATTATCTGATTTTAGTTAGAATTAATTGACAAACAGTTTTATAATTATGGGTATACTGAATCGGGGATGGTGAACATCTTCTTCGTCGAGAGCCACGGGAGTCCCATTACCAGCCAACCGATTTTCCCATCATCAGGTACCACGCTAGGTGCCCAGCGAGCCTATTTCCCAATTCTGCACAGTAGCCATACAGGGGGTAATTTTTCTGCGTTTAAGCGGAACAGGAATGTGGGAGAAGGAGCCACAACTGGTTCGCAAGCCGCCAGTTCGGCACCTCTGTACTAAATAATAATAACATTATTGTACCACGTACATTGCTTGTGTCGTATCCATAAAATTTACCTTAGATTTTACAACAAGCTCAAAGTTACAAACTTCCATCGGAAACTCAGTCGTATTATAGCCATTTACACTTGTAACACTGTGTATAGGATTATCAACATTAAAGGTAGTCGAAGAAGAGAAAACGTGGAGTCTCTTTTAAAAAAATTACAATTTAAAATTACTTTTTTTTAAACCAGTAGTGGGCAATCGTTATTTCGAATAACGAATTGACGAATGATCCATATACATATACATATATTATAATGTGCCCTATTTAAATCGACCCAATAAAATATCTTCGTAACCAACGCAAAAGTATTAAGCCATTCATGATAAAAAATATTAGTTACGATTTCGTGTCGAGTAAACTAATAACTAATAGAATTACTATCGTGAAAAGCATTACGAACATCACTGAAGTCTTTTCATTTGGAATCAACTGGTTAATTTCAAAAATTAATATCTCGTCCGAATAAAAATTTAAAGTAAAACGTTTGAAAATACAGGTATGAAATAAGGATTAACAATGTACAATAGTATTTTCTTTGTTTTTATAGATTCATGTGTTTCAGCTAAAACGTTAGTATACATTTCCAGATTCCTGGCACAGTATTAAAATACCTCTTCCTAGTCTTCAACCCTCCATAACTCAAATTTTTCGTTTTGTTTGAAAATTGAACATTGACGAACATTGAAAATGTTGTAACGGATTATGACAAAACATTTTTACATTTGCACATGCGTATAGCATATAACGCCAAAGTTACAGCGAGTTATAAAAGATTAATTTTAATTTATTTACAATGTCTCTTTGTGTTTATAAAATATTTATAAATCTATCTTACGGGTGTTACGATTTGTAACATAAATACAGGCGATTTTGCATTTTAACGAACATTTGTTACGGAATCGAGGCGCGCAAAACGAGAAGAAATGTTTATGGAAACGTGTGTAGGTCTGGGATTAATATTGGTATGACTAGGTATAATTTTGTAAATAATATGATTTCAATTAAATGTAATTTCTTTTTTGGCATCAGAATTTTGCACAACTTTCGTGAAATTTGTTTCTCGAGAGTGAGATGTACGAAAATTAATCGTGACTTACCTAAAAAATAATGATATAAACAATATATGTATATTACTTTTTATGATACAAATATATCTAATTTTAACTGTACAATTTTTACAGCCAACTACATAGTACTAAACTTTGTTTCATTTACTTATTACTAATGAAATGCTGGTTACATTGTTGTTACAGATTAAATAAAGATATTCTAAACTCTCTCCTATGTTCACATTTTATATACAAAAATCGATTGAATCGTAAAGCATACAATTTTAAACGGCAGACACGTGTATTTATTCCGAACATTTTCGACCCTCGGTTTTTGCATACATTCGTAAATTAATTTCATACTTTGTTTAAAATAATTTTAAACATTCTTTAAATAATTCATTCATTTCTTTCAAATAAGAAACTATTAAATTTGTCATTCCACAATCAATATTTAATTTAAATTTCAATTTTTCGTCTCTTTGAAAATTCCCATACATGTTTGTCACTATTAGATTGTTACATTCAATCTATTTTCGACTTTCTTTTAATTTTCCATACCTCTAAATGTTTTGTGCGTTAAAACTGAAAACATCCAGTACATAAAATCTTTAAACTCCGACTGTTAGCAAGTTCATGAATAATTCGCGTTTTAAATAAGGAATATTTGAGTTTTGTACCTTATATCTTATGTTTGTATCTTATACTTTACTTAGAATTTGTAATATGAACGCTTACTACGAATAAACGCGATAATCAATGCTTGGGAACGTAATACCAGATAACAAAAGTCGATAAAACGTTCATTGTGCATTCCAAAACAGTAACAGATAGCGGTGAAATTTAATATGCTAATATTACAGATAAAAAAGCATCGATAAATTTCAAGTAAGAAGATTTTTATAATAGCGTTGAGAAGTAACACGAATATCCTTCGTGTATGAAGTGAATTTATAATATAATATTCGAAGGTATCAATAAAGACCAGCGTCGATTTGAATAAATAAAGAAACCAATCTGTTTATTATTTATCTTAGGTATGTTATTCTTCACAGTGATCATTGATATTATTAACTATACAATCGTTTGCGTCCCTGCGTTTTTAATGAAAATTATAGCGACATTCAAACCAGCGTTTCACGCGTACAATACGAATACGTCGTTAGAATATTGTATACAAAATAAACACTAACAATTGAATTTAATAATTCTGGTAACGATAGAAGGCCGTGAGATCAAAACGAAAAATTCTTTTCTATATAACTTCTACCTCAAAGATGTACAATATTAATGCATTTATAAGTTAATTACAATATCATGGTTACAGTAGAAGTTTTCGAATTTACCATTAGCGCATCCTACAATACAAAGCTTGAATGTAGTACTGACATTTTATAAACTTTTATTGTAGTTTTAAATCACGTTAGTTATGCTTTTTCCAACGTGAACTAAAACTTTTGCTAAATCAAGTCGATTTACTTTTCAGTCTTCCGCTTATACATATGTATATGTGTATGTATATGGTTTTGCTTTATTAAACGAATGCGTATAAACCAGGAAATATGTAATTTTGAACGATGTTTAAACGTTTTATATATGCAGGAATGACACACAATCATAGCTAAATATTTGTCTTTAAATAATACAGTCGTATGTACCAAATTTTGTACTAACTAACTGCCCACCAAGTACACATAACACCCACAAATTTACATTTAATTGCATACAGTGATAAACAGAACACACAAGAGAATGTCACAAGATTCACAGAAATTGCTTAAAATTTTCGTTTGATAATGCTCCACAATATCGTACAAGTAATACTACATACTGTACAAATAGTGTGAGTGGTATTATCGAAGAAGATATTTTTGTTTTACAAATCTAATTATAATCTGTAAGACAATTAGGACATAACAGTTAAAAGTTGATTTTTTTTTTTACATAAAGTATATCAATTGTAACTGTAACGTCCAACGTGGAAATGTTAATTTGTATACACAGCTATGGGGATATTGAAGCAATTGCTTTACTCACTGATATCCCTTTGAGTTTGATGGGAATCACTATCTGAAGTTAAACTTTCAATAGCACTGTCTTGTTGCGAAATCGTTTCAGAACTCCTGGTCATACACAGTTTATTGGATTTAGTCTCTGTGCGACTGGATTTGAAATTCTGATCTAGATTTGAATTTGAAGTGGAATGTAACACGTTTGATTGAGCAGAAACAGGTCTTTGACATGAATGCAACATTAATTCTGGTCCTCCGTCATACGTTTGTAAGAAAAACTGCCAAAGTTCTTCTGGTATTTGTCCGTAATCCGAACCTATCAATAATTTTTATATTAATAGCATAACATGCACGTAGAACTCGATCGAAAAATCGCCCGACTCGCGATATAAGATTCGAGCATCCGAATGGAACTTACCCACTTTAAGGATGTTCTGACCATTTTTATTTACTATAATAGAATTATTATCAATAGGTCCAGGTGGTTGAGTCTCTTTACCCCTCACAAAACTTTGCCATTGCCGTAACCAAGCCATAGCTAATCCATAAATAGCAGTAGGATTATCAGCATTGTGATTTAGCCTTTGAAATACTTCCATTTCGTATTGCCTTCTTTTCTGTAGCGATTCGTACTTCTCTTCACAAATCGGACATTCGTATAAATGTGTACATGCTGGACCCCCTCCAAATCTAAAATAACATTGCTCCGATCAATAACATACATTGCAACAAAAAAAAAAAGAATAAAGAGTTTAATATATGCATTTAAGTAACACTTACGTATTGTATAAATATTCCCAAACTGCTTGTGGAATGGGCATACTAAGTTTATCTACAAATTGTGCTCTAACAGGATTAATACCGCCATGTGGACAAAGAAAATCGGAGTTGTCTATGGGTCCTGGTTCCGAGAACGTGTTAAACCGATTTATCCATTGCCGTGATACGAAGAAATTTAAATCGGATAACTGTCGAGATGATATTTCCATCAACTCCATACTTTTATCGCGTAACTGTAACATTTCCGGCGACCATTTCTTGTAGAACAATACATAAGCCTCGCAGTGCTTTACAGTTTCCGGCGATACTTCTGTAACGCATTGATCGTCGAACTCAAACCATTTATTAACTATAGGATTTAATGCATAACAGGTATAATGACCACCACCAGCCGTTCCATGATGACAAATTACCGATATCAAATCGTACATCGTTACTTTAGAAACGCACTCTTTGTGCAAGTATGGTCGCATATCTAGTCCTTCTAATGGAAACGAAACATAATTTGCTATCTTTGAACTAAACATCAATTCGTGACGAAACCTTTTCAAGTGAACACATAGTACTTCTGGCAGTTCCAACACTTTGGAAAATTTAATTCCGTTGCGCAGCTTATTACACTTTTCACAACTGTACATATTATCCCCTTTAAGTTCATCCGCGCTAAAAAATGCAGAAAGGCAGTCATGAAGACTGACAACTGGCCCCCAGAACCAAGATCTCATCCATTGCAAAAACCAAGAAAGCCAGCCAGACTGATTTGTTACATATACAACATCTGAACATGGTCCTGCTATTTGCGGAGTGAGAGATCCTTGATGCAACATATCAATGTGATCTCTGCTTGGAATGGGCAATGATAAATCTTGAAAAGTTTCTACTCTTGTCGAAATTCTATCACAAGTAAGACATTGTACACTACTTAAAAGTTTACCATCGAATATATCACTAATGATACTTCGAGTTTTCATTTGTTTTTTGGTTTTGTATTTGATAGGTGAGTTTTGTGTTGACCTTTGCGGTTGAGAGAATGGTTGATCAACGGTCTTTTTTATACTTCTGTTTGTAAATTTACTTCTCAGCTTTTCCGACTGAGACACCCGGGAATACCTTCTTTTTGTACCACGTTCACCTTCGTCGCTAAGGGAGCTCTGTTCGCTTACTCCGGAATCACAGGTTTCATATTCAGCATCAGACTGGCTAGAACCATTTCCATCAATTTCAGTTTCCTCCTCGTCTGATGACTGTTCCCCAAGCCCCTTTAATCTTAATGCACTATCGTGATCATCTTCGCTATGTTCCTTCAATTCTTCGTGCAACTGATCCATAAAACACCTCAAAAATTCTTGAGTATCATGCTGATGATATCCTCTAAACATTGGATGAACTGTCCGAATCCCAGATAATATTCCATGTGGTACAACATATCCTCTTGTCCTCCTATTCCACATGTCTCGAATAAGATTTAGGTAACTTAAGCTTAGACCAGGTTTCCTATCTTTGCACATATAGCTAACCATATGACCGCAATCCAGAAAGAATTGAGTCAAAGGAAGTACATTTGATAAAGCTTGTAGTGCAGCATTCATGTAGCACGTATTGCCAATATTTTGAAGACCAACAAGTCCTCTTGGTTTCCCAGAGAAATCTTTACTTTCATCTGAATCTGTACTGTCTGGTGAATCTCCAGACTTTTCATTAGTCATGCCATCTTTTTCATAATTAACTCGATTTATGAGTTCACCATAGAACCTGTTATTTACAAAATAAGAAATATAATTTTTGCTTTAAAACCTTGTTACATATTTAAAGGATTAAATTAGTAAGTCCATACTAAGTTTATATGCAAAACAATGATGTACAAATTACCATTATGTATAAATATTAAGCATCATGAAAATTGTACTTACTTATCCAATATGAGTCTATTAAGATCATCCGTTTTGCAATCCACATTACCAGGTGCATCACCAGAAAACTTGTTACTTTGTGTTTTAATATCCACCTGTGTGGGTGACAATGGCGGTGATGGTATATGCCTAGTTATAACTTCTCTTTTACATGCATAACACCATATACGATTCGTTGAAAGATTCATATGAGCACAATGAGTTGGAAATTTTTGGTTGTGTACAGTGCTATGATCTAAGTGTGTCTCCGCACATCCGATCCAACGGCAATCAGGAAACAAGCATAGCCATAAATTAAGCCCACCAGTATTACATTCGCTACATTTTGCAAATCCTTCCTTTTGAGACAGAACGGTCTCTATAAATGCGAGATCACCACGATTGACGATGTGAGGACAATTCCTCGATATGAGAGGCATTTGGATTTTGGTATTTGTCCCGTCGATTTTTATTGATCTTAGGACGCGAGATCGGGCATATACTTTAGTTTTTTACATTCGTCTAAAATTTGGTTTACACGCGACTTGTCTGATATCACAATTATTTTCTAACCTGATCAAGACATGTCGTTCATGGTAATCGAACATTATCCACGAAAACGATTGTCATTGGAGATAGTTGTGTTGAAAAAATTAGTTATTACTCTCGGATAGTCAATGTAAGAAAAAGAATATAAGTTGGTGTACGTGTTACAGTCGATAATCGATTTGAGTAGACTCTATTCAAAATTCTAGGGAGCATAATGTAACTCCCTAGTTACTCCTGCAGATGGCGCAGTCGGCGCCGATGCCAACCGTCGAGATAGAGACTGGGGTGCACTAGGGGATTTGTCTCTAAGCACTCCCTGGTCCTCGCGAGACGGTCAGTCTTCTCCAAGTTAGGCCCCGACATGCACGTTAGTGTCCCTAGGAAAAAACTGTGGACCGAGTTGGTGTGGCAGCCGTGTAGAATGCCACGCCAAAGAGTCGCAAGTCGCAATAAAGCTTTCGTACAAGGAACAGGTGTTGTTACTGGTGATCCTGGATATCCCTACGCATCCCTAAAGTAACAATTATTTTTGTATAGAAATTAATACTGATTCTCGATTATTGTTTCTAAAATACATTTACATGAAAAGCGTTTTTCATTTATATATGTTGATATTAATTACGATATTTATTTCAAGATATCTATCACTATAGATGTTATATTGTTAGATAAAATAATGTGAATATTTGAATCTTCGAATATCATTGCATATTCATAATATTACTATTCGAATATTATTATTTGAATGTGTACTATTACTATTCCGATGATTGAACACAACGCGAATTCTCTAACATAAGTTTTCTTTCGTGATAAAATTAGCAAAATACTTTTTATACGTTCCTGGTACTTCTTCCGCCAAAAGTCTTGTAACTAGAAATATAGTGACTGCAAGAAGAAGGTGCTTATAGCTGAAAAATGTAAACACATTGGTTTTTCTTTATCAAAATCGAAATATTGTATAAAATATAAATAAAAATAAAGCTTAAACAAGTATAATGAATTCAAAAAGTTGATTTATAATTCACGATACAATACATATTCACATAATTTTATATAAATATCCATGTTGTAGATGCTTGATCAATGTACAAAATATTCGAATAGTATTAGAGTACACGAACAAAAATTAATTTAACTTCTTTGTATTAATTATTCCATAATAATCGAATAACATTTGCCGAATATTTAAATTACTGTAGTGTTCGAATATACAAATAACAAAATATTTGATTAGTAGCCCAACCCTAAATAACATTCAAGTTGGATGACGCTGTGCCGCTCTATGTTCCTTTTAATAATCTGACGAAATTGAAGTTAAGATTGCACATGGATTATTAACATATTTCAGTATATTTGCATCGTTTTAAATATATTTTGCTAGTATAAATAAAGAATTTATCGTTCCTTGCACGATATACTCACAAGGGTAATTGTATAAATAGTACTGTCATTAAAATGGAAAAGTTCATGAAGTTAACCTCTACAATAACTTTTTGTTTTCTAATTATTTAACAAGATATTCAACAACTAAATCTTTTCTCGAATAAAACAAACATGTATTAATAACAATGTTTCAAATAACTTTCCTTTTATTGGTTAAGACGTTACGTGATATGTAATTAAAGTGAATGAAGTGTAAATTTAATTTTTCAGCATTAAAGATGGTACTGTCGTGTCGGTTTTATAAAGAAAAATATCCAGAAGTGGAAGATGTAGTGATGGTAAATGTACGAAGTATAGCTGAAATGGGAGCATATGTACATCTATTAGAATATAATAATATTGAAGGTATGATTCTTCTATCTGAATTGTCTAGAAGACGTATTAGATCTATCAACAAACTTATTAGGGTAGGGAAAACTGAGCCAGTTGTTGTTATACGAGTCGACAAAGAAAAAGGTAAGAGAAATGAAAATGTATTATAAAGAATATTTTTAAACAAACTACATAAATATGCAATTTCTGTTGGTATTTATTAACAGCACATTAAATAATTTAATCTAGGTTATATAGATCTTAGCAAACGTCGTGTATCGGCTGAAGATGTAGAAAAATGTACAGAGAGGTACGCAAAAGCTAAAGCTGTTAATTCAATTTTAAGACATGTTGCAGAATTATTGCATTTTGATAGCGACGATCAACTAGAAAAGTTATATAAAAAAACTGCATGGCATTTTGAAGAAAAATATAAAAAACAGAAAGCATCCGCGTATGATTTTTTTAAACAATCTGTTTCGTAAGTACAAAATGTGGAAAAATATTAGAAATGTTATTTGCATGATAATGATTGTTAAAACATTGTTACTTCAGGGATCCATCTATTCTAGCTGAGTGTGGTCTTGATGAACGTACAAAGGAGGTGTTATTAAACAATATTAAACGAAAATTGACTTCTCAAGCAGTTAAAATTCGGGCAGATGTAGAAGTAGCTTGTTATGGATATGAAGGAATTGATGCAGTAAAAGCTGCTTTAAAAACTGGCTTGGCCCTTTCTACAGACGAACTTCCAATTAAAATCAATTTAATTGCACCACCATTATATGGTACCACTATTTTTTTCTCTTATATTTTTATTTGAATAAAAATTTACTTTGGTATGAGTGTAACTGATAAAATTTATATTTTTCTTATGATTTAGTCATGACAACGTCTACACCAGAAAAACAAGATGGCTTGAAAGCTTTGAGTGATGCAATCGATGTTATACAAAGTAAAATAACATCGCTCGGAGGTGTATTTAACGTTCAAATGGCTGCAAGTTTCTTCATCAAATATATTCGTTACTACTAATTAAACATATTAAAGATATATGAACTGTATATAATTAATTTTTTTTAATTTACAGCCGAAAGTCGTTACTGCAACTGATGAAGCAGAATTAGCAAAACAAATGGAACGAGCTGAACTTGAAAATGCAGAAGTTGCTGGTGATGATGATGAAGAAGAAGAAGGAATGGATGGTTTTAGCGGTGGAGAAGAAGATAAAAAATCTGGAACAGAATCCCAGGGAGAAGAGTAAAGGAATAAATCCATAAATCAGTTTTCATTAACTGGCAATTATTTCTGTATCAGAAACCATACTTTCGGAAGTGTGCTACTGTCTTGTTGAACATTAGACAGAATGTTTCAAATAAATTATACAAAACTCAATGTATTATAATTTATAAATAATTTTCTATAAACTTGATAAAATAAACAAATCGATCGCATCCAAATTCTTGTTAATAGGAGCATTGTTTATAGGAGTTTTTTCATAGTACTGTTTTGAAATTTGTTTAGAATGTTTTTATTAAAATTTTGTACAGTTTTATACAAATGTTTTATTCATTAGCAATTGTGACTTCCACTTCTACACCAGGTTCAATAGAAATGCTTGTAATTTGTTTAACAATTTCTGATGGTGAATATAAATCGATCACTCTCTTGTGGATACGCATCTGGAAACGATCCCAAGTTTTTGATCCCTCTCCACAAGGTGTTTTACGTGTGGTTATCCTTAGGATCTTTGTAGGCATGCGAACTGGCCCTTTCACTTTAAGTTTCTGTTTGTTTGCTCCACAGATTAACTCGGAACAAACTGAAATGACATACATTATTAGTATACATCGTAATAACATCAAACAGTATTAATTTTATATAAAACAATGTACCTTTCTCAAGTGAGCGTACATTCCGCGAAGTAAGCGTAATCCTAATTCTGTGAATAGGAGTTACTTCTTGTCCTGGTTTTTCAGGGTTGTCAGTTTTTGTACTCGCCTAAAGCATTTCAAAATTAGTTTACAGTATATCCGATTATTTATTTACTAAATTCGAAAGTGGTTCAACAAGATGTTGATTCTAACGAGAGCGGTTATATTTAGTAGCGATTTGTAAAAGTACGAGTTATTCGTCAATTCACTAAAAGCTTCATGTTACACGTAATTATTACATTTTAAACAATGTTAAATAATTCTAAGGTACAAATTCTTCTGTGATTCCTTGTATATCATACATACTGTAAACGTGTCCGAGTCCATAATTAACCTACCAAGCTAACGTTTACGTTACAATGATTGTAATATAATCACAATAATTTAACTAAAAAACTTATTAAATGTACTAATACTATTAAAATAGACGCTCACCATTGTTTAAAGTTTTTCCTGGTCGAGGTAATCAATTTTTTTTAAACAAAACTGATCAGCGCTGAACCAGTCCCTGCACACGTTGTATGTGCCAAATAGAAAGAGTACGAGGAAACATGATTTCCGGTTAGCAGTAATTTAAGCGTGTTCTAATGAAATTTTTATGGATGAAAAACATCGATTTAAAAATATTTTATATTATGTATGATATATTACATTTGCTTATCAACAATACATCATTAAATTTTATACTAATCTACTTCTTGAAAGACAAAATTTATTGTTTGTATTTTTACATATCTGTGTATAACTACTTGTAAAAAGCGGCACATAGTAGACATTTTTACGTATATATATAACAATTACACACATAATATTTAACAATTTTAATTTTTGCAATGGATATACAGTATATGTTATATACTATATGCTGTTTGTTTTATTTAAAATTATTAAGTCATTATATAAATTGTTTGTTCTGAAACGTGCCATACATCATACATATTTCTACCCATAAAGCAAACTACATGTCCTGTAAAGATAGTTGAAGACAATAAAAGAGTGAAAGAGAGAGAGAATGAGTAATATCGGGAGTCGTTACGTATGTTGGGTTGGGAAAAGTGATAGAAAAAAGTAGTGTTGTAATATCGTGGAACTATCCCTTAACACCTTTTAATCAACTATTCAAAATACGCGAAAGTAAAGTTTAAATAAAAAGGACGAACTTAAAGAACTTGACTTATAGTTCACGTTGCGCTATTCAAGTTGTAATCGGTCATGCATCGATTGAATTAGTTCATACGCTATATGTACTGTACAATTGCATTCTTTGCACTATTCATATGTAAATATTTTTTCTTTTTTGACAGTTTAATGTTGCATCAACTGTAGTTATTAGCAACGAAGTGGGGGGACTTTGGGGTATTTTTATTTGAGTGGAGCTTGTGTTTTATCGTTGTTGAAATTGGGGTTTAGTCTTGTAACAAAAATAAAAGTACAGATGTCTTATTACAATACAAGTTGAGCTAACATGAATATCCAGCTACTTGATCGATATGCAAAGTATTTAAATTATATTCGCCAAATATTTTGATTATTGAGGCGTTCAAATTACTAATAAATTCCCCTAGTCGTCTTAGCCTTAGTTACCATCGGTTTAAAATTTCGATCTAGTTTAAAATTACGTTTGACGGTTTGACATATTTTACTATCAAAAATCAAAAATTTATTTAGATTCGGAGCGCAGTTAAATATTTTCTTTGAATAATACGCAATTTATTGCGTGACTTTTATGCGCATTAAATAGAATTAGTCATTGCATTGTGATTCAACTTGATGTAACAAGATCATTTATACCGTTGATGAATTATGTTTTTTTTATATAATCGAACCAATAGGATCGTCGTTACATTCATTCGGTACTTTCACGTAGTGTTGTTGTTTAACCACTTAAGCTGAAGCAGTCTGAAGTATCTCCTGGTATACCGAAATGTAGTTGACTTCAAGTGATCGAATTGCGCTGTTGCGTCCTTTGACACGCTTAACCGTTTACGAAAACTGTTTCGCTACTTTTTTGAGGATATTTTGATCGTTTTACCATGCCAAATATTTACAAAAGATTCAGAAAGTTACGTCGAAGGCGATACATTCGCACTTAGTAATAATTACATCGCGATAGTGTGTGAAACCCAAAAACTAAGCTAGTGCCGTGTATCCATCACATATATTTGCTTTATTGATATTCTGAGTGTCACAGGCCTTGTGGTGCCTATGCATATCTTGAGGTAATGCATTCTTTTAACAGATACAATAGCTCACATTCTTTTTTTACTATTGTACATTTTAGAATACTTTATAGTTTGAAGCGTCTTAAATAATAGTACTGTTTACGTCGTTTTCTTGTATTTATACGCTAACGGTAGACATAACCTACGCGATATATTTCACAATAATCTGCTTTAGAATATTGATACTGTGTTCTAACGGAAGTTAATGTAGATTAACATGTAACTCATACTTTTAGTGTACCGATTTAAGTCATATTTTACGTTATTGCATTTGTATTTATTGTACATATGCAATAATTTACATTTACTGTTTGTAGTAGTGATATAGAAGCTATTATAGTGTACAATTGTGAAAGCTACTATTCTAATATGGGTATAAACATTGATGCTTGTTGTTTTGTTTAATCAATAAAATGTTCATTTATTAGAATTATTTTTTGAATTAGAAAGGTGTGTGTTCCCTGGTTTAGTAGTATACTTGTTTCAGTAACATTATATAAATTATTGATAGTATATTCCAAAATACATGTAAGTTTTAAGTACCTTAGTACAAGTGATTATAATGTTTTCTATGTTATTAGTTTATTTTCATTAATTAAGTTATTAAAGATAATATTGTGTAGACTACAGGAGAATGCATAACATAATGTATAATGTTACAGAATTTGGACAGTGTTCTAGATTATTTTAAGGACATAAAGTTTCTCATATTTCGTTGAATCATTCAGTAAACACCATGTCAGAAATAATTTACCCACAAGGGTGCAGATCTGTTACGGAAGATCTGGGTCCAGATGAACTGATTAGACGATTAAAGGTATATTTATAGAATGGAAAGAAAGCAACAGCAATACGAACAGACAAAAATGATTTACATTAAAATTGGTTAAACAGACTTTAGCTCACACATTACAAGCAATGGGACAAGATGAAGGAATGTATCAGCAGTATATACCGCTCGCTTTACATTTGGCAGAAGAGCATTTTCTGATGCATCAGAGCAAAGATGTACAACTCCTGATTGCATGTTGTATTGCTGATGTTCTAAGAGTTTATGCTCCTGAAGCTCCATATAAAGATGCAGAACAGGTAAATAAAAGTTATCTCATTATAATGACTCGTATAATTATTCTTTCCAAAGTTTTGTGCACAACATTTTTATTAATTTCCCAAGTTTACTTTTGCGTTAAATTAATCTTATATTGTTGCAGGTGAAAACGATATTCTTGTTTTTGATTAAACAATTGGCTGGTTTAAAAGATCCTAAAGATCCTGCCTTCAAAAGATATTTTTACCTTTTGGAAAATTTGGCATATGTCAAGTCATTTAATATGTGCTTTGAATTAGAAGATTGCCAAGAAATCTTCTGCGCACTTTTCTCTCTTATGTTTAGAATAGTAAAGTAAGTATAACCGTGAACATAAAATAAAACATATTGATGAATAGCCGGCACTAAATAATTTTATAATCATAATTGCAGCGATGAACATTCTGGGAAAGTTAAAAGCTTTATGCTGGATGTGTTATGCCCGCTTATTACGGAATCAGACATTGTCAGCAATGAACTTCTAGACATTATACTCATGAATATTGTCGAACCAAATAAAACACAAAAGAAGAATGCATATTTGCTAGCAAAAGAGCTAGTAATTAAATGTAGTGATACACTGGAACCATATATTCAAGCAGTAAGTAGAATAAGATTTAAATTTTCTTTCTGTTTTTAAATCGATTATATGAAGTAACTATGTCAAATTTTCTGTTTTTAAATTTAGTTTTTTAATCATGTATTGATTTTGGGCAAAGAGGAGAAAAGCTTACAAATTTGCAAGAAAGTATATGATTTGATTTATGAGTTAAATCACATATGTCCAAGCGTCTTGCTGTCCGTCCTTCCACAATTAGAATGTAAATTGAAATCTTCCTCTGAAACTGAAAGATTGGGCGCTGTGGCTTTATTAGCCAGAATGTTCTCTGAAAAAGGATCTCAGTTGGCTGTACAACACACGCAGCTCTGGCGAGCATTTTTAGGAAGATTTAATGACATCAGTGTATCAATACGTATAAAGTGTGTACAATATTCGATGCATTTTTTACTGAACCATCCTGAATTAAGGAAGGATATTACTGATACTTTAAAATTAAGACAACACGATGCAGACGAAAGCGTCAGATACGAAGTTGTCATGGCTATAGTGACCACTGCCAGAAGGGATTTTGAGGTTGTATCGGATAGCGAAGATTTGCTCGAATTTGTTAAAGAAAGAACCTTGGACAAAAAGTTTAAAATAAGAAAAGAAGCGATGGCAGGGCTGGCAATGATATACAAAAAGCATTTGAATGATGCAGATGTACCGCAAGCTACGAAAAAAGCTGTCACTTGGATAAAAGATAAAATATTGCATGGTTATTACATGGCAGGCATGGAAGATAGATTGTTAGTAGAGAGGTTATTAAACACATGTTTAGTACCTTATCAGCTACCTGCTAGTGAAAGGATGAAGAAGCTATATCATTTATTAGGTACAATTGATGATCATGCATCCAAAGCGTTTGTCGAACTTCAGAAACATCAGCTTGCCGTACGAAGGGCAGTAGTCGAATGGCTGGAAATTGTAAAAAAACCAGATGCTGTGGTGGAATTGGTAGCAAAAATTCATCAGATATCACGCTTTCTACCAGACCCTATGAAGGTGCAAGAATTTTTACAGAAATTTAGTGCTCATATGAGAAAAGATACGGCATTGTTACAAGGGATGGAAACAATAGTTCAGCCAAATGTTTCTTGCAAGGAATGTGCGGATACAATAAGTATGGTTCTCAAAAAGTTAGGTCAACCAGTAATGACAAATTTGTATTACAACACAATAAAAATGTTGTTGGAAAGAGTCAGTTCTGTTATGATTGACGAAGAAGCGATTAGGGTAATTTCCCCAATTTTAATATTCAACTTAATCGCTCCTGATGCGCATATGTATTTTACATTGATTCTGTATCAACAGGTTTTAATTGGATATGTATTAGATTGTTTAAAAGGAGGTAACGTGATAGAAGAAGTCGGACTTAATCCAAATAATGCGGGTGAAAAAGGTCTAAGGTTACTTGTGGTATGTTCATTACTCTGTCTCGTAAATTTATTTATACGATTTGAATTATTAATACTTTTTGTGTATTACTATCATTTACCTTCTTTCAGATGCTTTCATTCGTATTCGGTCCACATTTTCTTCATAATGATATTTTGATGCAACTTGTTCATCTCTTGGAATTAGAGGATGAAATGGTAGCACCATTGGTCCTTTCGATTTTCACATTTTTAGGAAAATACAAACCTTTATGCGACGTGGCGCCAGATATCATGAATCTTATGGTTCCAATATGTAAAAACTTTGCTGAAACGGGAACACCGAAACAAGCAAAACAAGCTGTCCGGTGTTTATTTGTTAATATGACCAATATTCATGATACCATTTTCCCTGAAATTATTGAGAGAATTAAAAATACTCTTACACCAGCATCCGAATATTATCGAACATCTATAGTCACATTAGGTCATATAGCTTATAATTTACCAGAAAAATATCAAGTACAAATAAAAAATATGGTGTCTAGAAAAGTAAGTCGTGTTTAATGGTTAATCGTATAGAAGTAAAGATAATGTGATATAATACAGTATAACTTATACATTATGCAATTGCAGATAGTCAAAGAGCTATTAGTAAAAGAAAGCAGCGAACAAACTTCTGATACCATTGATGGAGACTGGTGCAGAGAGGATCAATTACCTGAAGAAACGCGTTGTAGATTAGAAGGCTTAAAATGCATGGCACGCTGGTTATTGGGATTGAAGACTGATGTACTCTCTGCACAAAAAACTTTCAGAATGCTGAATGCATTTGTAGTAAATAAAGGAGACCTTTTACAGCAAGGTCGTTTAAGTAAAGCGGAAATGAGTTGGTTGCGATTACAGGCTGGTTGCTCAATGCTGAAGATATGTGAGCAGAAAGGTGTCGGTGACCAATTTACGGCAGAACAGTTCTATAATTTATCACAACTCATGGTGGTATGTTTAATCAAAGCTGGGTCTATTTATTGAATTTTTCTCTATTCGAATATTTTTTGCAACTGATCAAGTAACTGGATATGAATGCGTAATTTGATGCAATCTATGTTCAAATTATTGACATTGATTTATAGGATGAAGTCCCGCAAGTACGAGAGGCTTTTGGTAGCAAATTACATAAAGGACTTGGAAGGGGAATTCCAAATAAATGCTTGCCGCTAGATTTTATGGGCTATTACGCCCTTGCTGGCAAAGAACAAGACAAAAGACTAAAGTGTGTTTTGAAAACTTACATGCAAACTGATATAAATAAAAGAAGAGATTATGTTAAAACATTGTCATTGGGTACCGTAGAGCGGGCCATGGGTAAGAAACTAAATAGTAAGGCATTATGGAGATATTGTTTAATATTATTTTTCATTGTTGAAAATATTATTACGATAGTGAAAAGTAATTACTTGATCAAATTATGATTACAGGTCAACTGCCCCACATTCTTCCTGATTACATGTTAGTATTTGCAGTCCCTATTCTTGCACACGATCCTGAATTTACAAGTCATTTAATAGTGACTCAGTTGAAAGTTATACAGCAATGTTTATGGTTCATACTAGAACCTCTAATAACAAAAAACGAATATTATTGCTATGGTTTTTATAAAAATCTTATAGAACGAATGAAGAGCCACAAAGATGCTTTGAAGCCTGAGGACAACAACATAAATTATGTAATAATTTTTAATCATCCCTCGTGCTATGTAAATAAAATATAAAAAATTTACGTTATTTTTCTATATACAGAAACTGTGGGCTGTTTGTGATTTAGCTATGAATGTGATATACACTAAGACGACAAATTTCGATATGAAAGAATTCCCGAGCGAGACACGAATTCCTACTATGTACTTCAAGCGTGCAGATGAATTATTAACCAATATCAGGAATTATTTGCCGGCTGAAATGCAAATAAACATGTTAAGTCCCAAAGGAAAGGGTTCCCTTCACAATGCACATTCTGTTAGCGAAAGGCCGCAACGCAGAGCTAAGTCTAAACAGCAAAAAGAAGTGGGTATCGGGCCAAATGAAACTGATGCAAGGGTAAGATAAATTAAATAATTCTTTCACAAACAATTTCTTTGTTGGTTTCGATGCGCGATCCTGTATTATTTTAACAACGATAACCGAATGTTATTAATATCATCGGCTAATTTTAATCGTCTATAAACTAGAAACATTTTGGTTATTATTATTAAAGTCATATGTGTCTGTTGACTCGGACCAACGAAGAAATTATTTTTGAAATTTTTATTATCAAATAACGAATGATCAACTATATAATTATTTCTTTTTAATTACACTTAAATTATTAATACAAATTTATACTTCATACTTTAAAAGAAGAAAAATGATGTTAACTATTATTATTCTTTGCTTTTTATTTTTATACGTGTAAACGGTAATAATTTATAAGTAATAGCTTTAAAAGATGTTTATGTATAATATGCTTTCAAGCTGCAAATTGGAGAAGTGGAATGCATTGATGCACAGGTAAAATTGTTTGAAATTTCACGAGGATAAATTTTGCGTTACTCGTAATATTACACGCTGACTTTTAATAACTTACGTTATTTACGGGGTTTTAAATTCATTTACAGCCAGCGGAAGCGTCAGAAACTAGAATTCAATTACCTGGTTTAGAAGAAGAAGTGAGTACAATAAGCTTACACATTAGTTTGATACATAATAAGATTATAATTTTTTAGATCGAAGAACCACCAGCAAAGAGGGCATTAAGAGAATCGGATAAAGTAAATAAATAATTAAGTGAATGAACTGTATCCAAGGGGATATTAGGAATAGGGGAAAGACTTAAGGGACGTGATGATCATAAAAATTAAAGAATCTAAAAATACCTTACAAATTAGAAAACAGAATATTTTGGTTATGTACAACAATTAATAAACCTGTCGTTGGCGTATGTCTAGACAGTAAGATGTTAAGATAATTATACATTAACGCGAAATAATTAATACGTGTAGGCTTACGACTGAAAAAATTTTGTGGGGTTGAAACAAATTTAATAATTGGTTGTTTTACATCATTTCGAAAATGTTATTTCTTTTAATTACGAAAGGATAGATAAACTCATTCTTGTTTAAATGTCTTTATATGTTAACTAAAGCAGTAGCACATTCAACGATATTAAACTATGATTCCTTCACAATCGATAAATGTATAATGAACATTTCTCTTTTATAGATATCTTGAATAATGTTTCCTAATCAAAGGTCTTTCTTCCTTGTGAAATATCTGACAATTGTTGTATTGTTCACTTTTGCACTAATGAATATAAATGTTTATACCATTTCATGCGTATTTTCTTTTCACGGATAAGCAACCGAGACTGCATAAAAAAAAAATATGTTTTAACGAACGGTTTGTAAATCGTAAAATCCATGCTTCATGATAGTAGTATTGTCGGATTTAGTTTTCATTGTTAATTAAAAGTAACTGATGATAAGTTTATTGCTAACGAAATTCATTAGAATACATGTTTATATACGCAGAAGGGAACAACATAACGTTATTGGATTTCTGTAAACATTGTGTTCTAGATAAAAGGGTGTGTGTCAATTGGTTTTGTGATCCAAAGTTGTTTCTTTCTATTAATTTGATTATCATTATTATTAATATAATTATAATTATTTTATTGCTATTATTATTATTATTACTTTATTGAGGACATCATCCAGCTCTGACGATCACTATTTTGTAATAAGACGTATACTGTCTCGTAAAATTATCTGTTTATGTTTTAATTGTAAAATTAACTTAAAATATTTGAGATTTGGTCAGCGCACGGCCGCTAATAATTAACTTATTTCAAACAAGGTGACCTTATAAATACTTCAATAGTATCTATACATGTATACATATAAATAGTGCGAATAGTGCGCATTAATATAAAAATTATTTGTTAAAGGTTTTTGTTATGCAAACATAACGGGAACGTATCATTATTATGATAATCCATTAAAGAAGTTCATCATCCTTGTACGTGACAGTTATTCCTGTATCACTGTCATCATTGTATATGTATTATAAAATAATTTCGTATCACTTCAGTTCAAATTTGTATCCAAAAGCTTTTCTACATTCGAAAACTACAGCACGAGTATTATTCTTATGACCCGATATAACAGTTTCAATAGCTTTTATACAAATATTCATTTGTTTACGAGAAATTAGAATTATTATGCATTTTATAAATGTCTCTTATTAATTCGAGACGGCTTGCACGCCAATGGGAAAACCGTTGTATTTATAAATATTTATGTAACAATAATTCGATATACACGAGTGGGTTTTAACTTATGTATTCTCATTTATTAAATTTGGCATTTTAGTATAAATTACTTTCAAGTAATGTTTCAATTAATCGTCATTACCATAACCACCATTTAAAAAACACTTTACTTATAGAATCTATCAGAAATTCTGACGTAATGGACCATTCGTTTAAAATTTCGTACAAATTTAAATGTTATAAGTAAACAAGTAACTTAACTTTTGCGGGGACGGAGAAGAAGTTGGATACAAATATGAATAGAGTTCTCGAGTAATTTAAAATGGGCCTAGGTTTTATAAAAATTTCCTTTCTCAACATTAGAATTATTAGGATTAAGCATTAAACTGTATTAAACCTAAGGATGAATGGGAATTGCGTATGAGGTCGTGAATGTCAATGAATGTTTGATCTTATTATCTAAACATTATAGAATTAACACATACCTATTACCTCTTCACTAAAATTTCAGTACAATGCAAATATTACAATTCTCAATTTCTTTCGTAAAACATCAACAATGCAGTGTTACTATTTGAAATAAACATAATTTCGTTTAATATCTCTTAAAGTAATTTATAGATTTACACTAGTTTGCAATACATTACATTTTATTTTATAGTATTTCAGTAGTATATATATATATATATATATCTGTTTTTCCATGTATTTAATTGCATAGTACTGCAATTTTTTCAAACAGGTTATAGATTATGAAGTATACATATTCTGATGAAAAAAAAACCAATTAATCAGTGCTATTCATCTGTCAATCTGTGAGACGTAAGTGACGCATTGTAACGGTTCTATAATAAAACAAATTAAGTAAAATGGTATGTATTTAATAAGATGTAGGTACAGATATAAAAACTCATCTCAACGTTTTTTAAAAACTTTTCTATTATCCTTCTTTCCTATGCTGAAATTCTGCGCCCCTTTCTTTTTATTTTGATTCTTTTTAACGTTTGCTCTAAAATGCACAAGATAAAATGGTTTATATATATATATGTATTAGAATATGTAATATCTTATTACACGTTATAAAATAATGAAATATACTTACTCATAACGCATTCTCTTTACAGCTTTTTTACTTGTATCCGTCAAATCGGCAGCAAATGAAGATTTCGGTCGTTTTAGCGACGCTAAAATATAATCAGTGTTATAAAAAATAGAGTTATATTTGAATATTAGAGTTAAAAATAACGATGCGTTGTAATATACCTTTTCTGTTGACTGAAAATTTATCATCATCCATGACTGTTCGAATTTTCTTTTGTTTATTCTTCTTTTTAGCTAATCTCGCTTGAAACGCTGCAATTTTGTCTAATTCTCCTTTCGCTCTATCTTCTGCTGTTTCTTTCTTTGATTCTTTGGTCACTTTCTTTTTCTTCTCTTCAACTATATTCGAAGGCTCTTTGCTTTTGCTTTTGCTTCTCTTTCCTTTATTTTTTGGTTTTTCCGTCAGCAATAGTTTCTCTAAAAAAAAACAAATTATTTCAATTAAATATACAATGTACCGAATTTTACAAAGCTGTCAGTTTCACACAATTTTCAATAATGTCGCAACATTAATGTTTAAAACAAACCTTTTTCTTCTTTCCTTTCTTTATGAGTTTGGAACCAGTTCCTTTGCTCGTCTTTACCATTTTCATTCATGAGTAATTTTTCCGCGCGATTTGCTTGATTTTCCATTTTGGCTATTTCTCTTTCATTCCTTTCCTCTTCCAAAATCTTCTCCACATCGGGCTGGAGAGACTCTAATTTTTTGTTATATTTTTCGATTATATCGGGCGGTATTATTCGATTTTTTACTGGATTTTTTGCATTTTTAATAATTTCTTTAACTAATGAACGTTCTTGTTCGCCAGCCAATGATACCGATACTCCGACACGACCGGCTCTAGCTGTTCTTCCAACTCTAACGAAGAAATTATAAAATAAATATATACATAGATGTACAGATAAATTATGCATTCATACCTATGGATGTAATGTTGCATAGTAACTGGCATAACGAAATTAATTACAGTTTTTACACCGCTTATATCTAAACCCCTAGCAGCAACATCTGTTGCTAATAAGATATCGATCTCTTCATCTTTAAATTTTCTTAAGTTTTCTAAACGTTGAGGTTGTGTGAGATTACCGTGAAGTTCTCCAACCTATGACGGAAAAGATCAATAGAAATATTTCAATGATCATGCAGTATGTTTATTAAACAAATTATATTTCAAGTACCTTCACACCTAACAATCCTAAGAGAATGTGAAGTCTATGAGCTTGTTTCTTTGTTTGAACAAAAACCATGGCATGATCGTGAAAAGTTCTACAAATTAAAGCAGCTAAAATCGCTTCACGATCTCCTTCTCTTTCTTTTCGTATCCTGTATTAAAAAGAAGATTTACAAACAATTTCCAGTTGCTATGTAACGTATAAATATAAGCAATTTTTCATATTTTGATTTTCATACCGAATAAATTCCTGGCGTAAATTAAAGGCAACATCTTGATTACTATCTACAAATACTTTTACAGGTTTATCTAGCGACACAGCAACTAAATCTTTCACTTCCTCTGTCATAGTAGCAGAGAATAAAATTGTCTGTCTGCTTCTGGAGCATTGTTGTACTATATATTTCATTTGTTCTGCAAAATATTCGTCTAACATCCTAAAATGATCATAGAACTATTATAATTTCATTGCAATGTAAAGTTAACGTAAAAACACGTAGGCACTACTGTATTCTGTTCCATTTTACCTGTCTGCCTCATCTAAAATGAGTACTTCAATGCTATCTAACGAGAATGTGGGTGTATTTTTTAAATGATCAATTAATCTTCCAGGTGTGGCTATCACGATATCTGGGTTTTTCCTTAATACAGATTCCTGGTTAAAAAATAAAACATTTTTAAAAATTATTTATAAATTGAACACTTATGGATGTTTAAATTTACATTGAATATAACTACATACTTGAACTTTCACATCTAAGCCACCAACGGATAAACCTACTTCAATTGTTGTAAACTGAGATAATTGTTTTGTAACTTGATACACTTGTACACCAAGTTCTCTTGTCGGTACGAGTACAAGAACTCGAGAGATAGCAGGACCGTCTAATGGTCTGTACAATAATCTTTCTAGGGTTGGAAGCATGTAAGCTGCAGTTTTACCAGTACCTGTAGCAGCACAACCACATATATCACGACCCATTAATGCAACAGGAATGGTGGCAGTTTGAATAGGCGTTGGATGCACAAAATTCATAGCTGTTATAGCCTTCAATAAAAATGCATGGATTATTGAAAATTAATGCTTGGAACATTCTGAAGTAAGTTTTAATTTTATATAAAATACAATCGTACCTTTAGTAACGGACGTGACAAATTCATTTGATAAAATGTTGCATATGGTTCTACATTAGTGTACTCCTCAAAGTTAATTGTTTCTTCGTCATTTCCATTGGCAGTCTTTTTCTTTTTATTCTTCTTTTCTTTTGTCTTAAACATATCTACAACAAAGCATTAAGATTAATTAAACGTTAAAAATCATATAATAAACTATCGATATTACCCTTTTTAAGTTCATCTTCTGATAAAGAAATTTCATCATCTTCTATTTTATGTTCAGAGGGATCTATGACAGAATCATTGTTGATCCCAATCTGTAAGAAAGATATACTATAATCCTTAACTATATTTTAATGTTAAATATAATTTCAGACTGTAACCTCAGAAAGTAAACATATAGTAAATTAAAGCTTGCAAGTATGCTAATAATATAGTTACACACCTCGTTTTCAGATCCTTTTCTAATCTTTTTAATCTTATCATCAAGCTTTGTCTTTGCTTTTCGTTTAATATACTTGCTCAAATCATTCCATGTGTCTTTATTGTATTCAGAAATATCATTTATAAATTGAAAATTATTATCGAATTCTTTGTTTTCCTTTTTCTTTTGTTTTCGTGGCTGAAACTATGGGAATAAAAAATTATTTTTGTGTATACAAATATGTAAAATGCATAAATTACATTTTGATTTTCTTGGAATTTCTAAACAACACAATATTATAGTTTGTATGATAATATCTCACATCGTCTTCTTCGTCAGAGTTTTCAGAATAATCTGGTACTTCTTGATCGTCTTCGATAGTTTTTATTAAATCGTACGAATTATCCATTTTCCATAACAAATAATACGAAGACACATTCAATTATCAATATTTAACCCACGTGGATATAAAACACACGTGCGCTGTGCATATATTTAATACTATGCATAAGTCGTCAAATATTGATTGAATAAAACCATTTTCGTTAATGTCAATTTAATAAAACGATATATAAATTAAAACAAAATATTATTCTTTATTTATAAATATATTAATATTTTATCAGGCATTTAAAATTTTGAATGTATAATAATATTGAATGTTCGAGAATCAATAGGGACCTCAATGTTTGCAGGCGGTTATTTTATGTTTTTGAAATATTATTTTTATTTGATATGTTTACATATTTTCCTTTATTTACTTTTTTTTACTGTATAACTATAATTCTTATTCATAAATAGTAATTATACAGGGCACAGCGTCCCATCGTTACTGTCCTGTCATAAATCACGAGATTTTGTTTATAAAGACTGCTTGTTGACAGAATTATAACTGTGTTAATCGATAGATCTATTCTGTATCTACTTCGTTTATGGTATAATGGGTATACATATGTCGGTTCATGCAAATCGGACTTAAACCACTTCAAGAGTGAGAAGGACAGATTCACATTCGACGGGTAGTCCTCTGCGCAGTGCTCAGTGTGCATTGGTCTGCCGTCTGGTAACATTCAAGTGTAGTGACTATTCGAAGTGTATTCGCAAGATGGCGCAGATTAACATGAGTCGTGTTACGTTATTAGAACAGAGTCACAGAGTCTCATATTATTTTGTGGTGTCGTAGTATATTGGCGCAAAAATATATAACTCATAACCGTTAAATACAGTCGGTTGTTTTCCCTAGTATCACTATTTCCATAGTAGTATTTTAATACTGATTGGTGGAGCAACACTAGCGACGTCACATTCCACCAGTCAATAGATTTTAGGTTAGTTCCTTCTGAAGGTTATAATAGGGAGACGAGAAAATGATCTCGTTACATATTCTCCTAGTTACATAATTTTAGTACAGTTTATAAACTGGTTTCACTTACATGAAGTTGCATCAAACGTAGAATAGTGATTTCAAAAGCCCGGCAACAACATATACTACAATAAATCCGGTGGGATGCTACGTCACAATCGTGAATAATATTGGCGCGAATCGTAGTAGTTTATGCGATCTTGTTCTCGTCATTTCGGTGATTGTAATTTAATTAATTGTTAGTTAACGTCATGGGTATCTTAGGTTTATCAAAACTAATAGCTGATATAGCACCGCATGCTATTAAGGAACGAGAATTGAAGCATTATTTCGGTACGTTTTTTATTATCTTACCAAATTATTATCAAAGCGGATTATATATATTTTTTGAAGAATTTACTGTAAATCAATTAACTTTATTATAATGGGAATTCTTAATGTTTTTATATTTTATGGCAGGTCGTAAAGTAGCCATAGATGCATCTATGTGTTTGTATCAATTTCTTATTGCCGTTCGAAGCGAAGGTGCTCAGTTAACAACAGTCGATGGTGAAACAACAAGGTACGTTTTTCATAGTGTATTTTAATTTATATTTAAAGTCCCGTACTTTTAAGGTATAACATTTCACATTGATGTTCCTTTCTATTATAGTCACTTAATGGGCACGTTTTATCGAACAATACGCTTGGTAGAGAATGGAGTAAAACCTGTATACGTATTCGATGGAAAACCTCCAAACTTGAAAGGCGGTGAATTAGCTAAACGTGCCGAAAAGAGAGACGAAGCACAAAAGCTTTTACAAGCTGCACAAGAAGCTGGTAAGCATAGATAGCGATGTGTTTTCATTTGTTAACACATTTGTATCATTTTTAAGTTTTCTTCTGTTGTATTTCCTCAGGGAATGTCGAGGACATGGAAAAGTTTAACAGGCGGTTGGTAAAAGTTACGAAAGAGCATGCAGAAGAAGTTAAACAATTGTTGCAGTTAATGGGTATTCCTTACGTCGATGTAAGTAAAAAATAGACATGTAATTTTTTAGCACTGTTTTCAGATTGTACTGATGCCAAAAATCAGCAAATTTGGGCAGAGATATACAGTAGTGCTCGCTTAAGTGACCGCAGTTTCGCCCATTTAAGTGTCCGTGGTAATCCCCACCAATTCTTAGAAGATACATTGTATATATGGTTACGGGTGCCAGCTATTGTATCTTACTCGCACTTATCCTCTTTCCTTACCTCCGTTGAATTCTGAGAAGTAACCATGCCCACATAAGTGACCGTGGTCACTTAATTGGGCACTACTGTATTGAGTTTCGTCCAAATCCACTGTTTTCCTGATAATCTGAGCCTGCACGTCCCTAGTAATTAAGCAGTATTATTTTTTAAATTAATTTTAAGGCAGAGTAGACAAACTTAAATTACGTCCGTGCGCGACACAGAGTCCGTTGTTGAGGGATTATGCGTGTATACTTTTTTAAGGCACCGTGCGAAGCCGAGGCTCAGTGCTCTGCTTTAGTAAAAGCTGGTAAGGTTTTTGCAACTGCCACTGAAGATATGGACGCGCTTACTTTCGGATGCAATGTATTGCTACGGCGATTAACATTCAGCGAAAGCAGGAAAATGCCTGTACAAGAGTTTCATTTTGATAAAGTATTAGAAGATCTTGAACTAAATCATGACGAAGTATGTAAGCCTATCGCGTTGGAGCCGCGGTATGATTTTTATCTCGGTTATTTATTTATATATGATTTGTTTAAATTTCTGGTAACTTTCAGTTTATTGATCTTTGTATAATGTTGGGTTGTGATTATACAAGCAGTATTAAAGGCGTTGGGCCAAAAAGAGCCATTGAGTTAATTAAAACACATAGATCGCTCGAGAAGATCATAGAAAATATAGATCTGAAAAAGTTCCCAATACCAGAGGATTGGAATTATAAGCAAGCTCGAATATTATTTCAAGAGCCCGAAGTGTTGGATCCTAACGAAATTGATGTAAGGAAATATGCATTACATAGTGATTTATATTAATATTAGAACACTTCGGTGGAAACTGAAATCCGATAAAAAAAATTTGATTTCTCTGTATTTACAATTATTTAAGTTAAAATGGACAGAACCCGACGAAGAAGGTTTAGTTGCGTACTTATGCGGCGATAAGCAATTCAATGAGGAAAGAGTAAGAAACGGAGCAAAAAAGTTATTTAAAGCACGAAATACTTCTACTCAAGGTAGATTAGATACATTCTTTAAGGTTTTACCAAATTCAAATCCTATTAAACGTAAGGTGAGTAAATTCAATAATAACTGTTTTTCAAGTTATATTTTCTCTTTTTTTATTAATTCTAATGTCTGTACCGTGTTGAAAAACAGACTGAAGAAAAAGTTGGAACAGTTAAAAAAGCTAAGAAAGGTGCAACAGGAAAACCACGTGGAAGAAAACCAAAATAATTTGTTATAAAAGACTGGAGGTTTTTTATATTCGGATAAAATCGTTGTGAATAATTACATACATATTTACACATTTGTATATTTATTTCATAAAATATCGTAGGTACAGATTTATCAATATTTCTCATTTTGTATATGTATATTAAACAATATTTGTCACATTTTGTAATTCATAGTTCTTCATTACGCGAGCTCACTTCATTTATACGTATAAACAGTATATAACAATGATAATCATAGAAAATGTGCAATTATGATGTTTTTATTACAATAGTTGTTCAGTCTTGATCTTAGTACCACGTAACTTACGTTTGCATTTATGATTTTATGTAGAAGGCTATTGTATACAATAAGTCCAAACAACTTTCTTTCTTATAACATTTATTTGTCACTGAAATGTTATTATAATACTACCAATAGCGTCAGGATCTAATATACTATTCAACGCTTGTTCAATTTGATAAGGTCTATATATTTTATCGACAACTGTTTGTAATTGTTGAGCATCGACTAAGTCGCATAATGCTTGCAAGTATATTGCACTAAGCTTAGAACCATCTTTCCATTGTCTTGAATTAAATCCAAGTATATACTGCAACACGAGCAATTAATTAGTAATAGTTCAAAATCAAATTACAGTAGTGCCCACTTAAGTGTCCGCGCTCGGGACCGGTTGCGGTCGTTTAAGTGGGCATGGTAAAGAAAAAGGATAAGTACGAGTGAGATACAATAGCTGGCACTCGAAACCATATTATCGATAACAACCAGCTTCCAAGAATTGGTGGGGATAACTGCGGACATTTAAATGGGCACTACTGTACAAGTACATACAGTTCACAGCTGACTTGAAGTCCCGTGGCAGGAATGTGAGAAAAGTAGAAGGGATACACCTATACTTACGAAGCGAGAGAGAAAGATGGACGTCCTTACTCCTGTTGCCCCTGTGTCGTCCCGCGGGACTTCAAGTCAGCGGAGCACTGTACAAAATTTTATATACCTGTATGAGCAGTTTTATTCGTACGTAACCAGCAAATATGCTTCCAAGCAGAAAACCTAACGAATCGGAGGTTAACTGTTCCGGGAGTGTAGATATATAGGAACCATAAGGTACTAAGCGTTGCTTTAGTATACGTTCATCGATTGGTTGACCGCCAGTATAAAAAATAACATCGTATCTAAAAGAACGTAATTTCTTATCGTTTAATTCATAATTAACGATTTATCGTTTCAGTGTCACACGTACTTGTCGTAAAGTAGTAACTCTTTTTCGAGATTTGAGCCATTTAAAGTTATGATTTCATTGGCCCCTAATGCTTTTGCTCTAGGAACTGCGTTTGGTTTGCATATTATGTCTACTTGTCCACCCCACAGTTTAACTAATTGTATTAAAATACAACCAACTGGAGTATTTCCACCACATACTAGTACTCTGTACAAAATTAAATTAAATTTGATTTTTGCATATAGGTAATAATATGTATCCATTTAAAATTATGTCAGAGGAAAAAAATACAATGACTTACATAAGCATAGTTTACATAATGATTTTTCAATAATTCTACGTCAATTTTTGACCACACCATATACTGGTTGACCGCGGACCTTGATTAGTTTAAACTATTTTGCTGTTAGCGGGCTAATAAAAAATTTTTTTTGTCCAAAGTAAGGTTAAAACAATTGAATATAATATTATTTAAACGAGAAACGACATGTAACTTTTTTTCGATGTTAAAAAGCTTTTCCATTTCAGATTTGATTTCTATTGATTTCTAATATGACAAACAACTTTTACATGAATAATATTTAAATTATTTGTACCTTTTTCCTTTTGCATTGCCTTCTTCGATCGTAGACCTATTAATTAAGGCATCCCAAGCTAAGCATCCGTTATAGGGAAGGCTGGCACATTCCTCAAAACTATAATACTTCGGTCGTTTAACAACATAAGTTTCTGGGACAACTATGTATTCTGCCATTGTACCAGGAGCCCATGAAGGTACAGCTAATAATACTTCATCTCCAATATCAAAATTAATAACACTTTGTCCGATACCTATCACTTTCCCTGTGCAATCTCTGCCTAATATTACTGGGAGTTCCCTATGTCTCTAAGAATAAACAGATAAAGTTGATTAATAATGCACGTTAACGTGAATACTAAAATAAAACAAGTTTCGAAATATCATACTCCAGAATTAAGAAGTCTTCTATAAGTTTTGGAATAGCCATAACAAATTTTTGTGTCGACAATATTAATGGAGGCTGCTTTAACTTGTATCAATAGTTCATTAGATTTTTTAATCATAGGCATTTCTGCGTCATGTATCATGGACACTCCCTGTATCATGTGTGTGTGTATATATATACACGATATAAGTTATTGAGATACACTATATTGAACATATATTATTTAAGTAAAACATTAAAAAGTACTTATACAAGAATTTCACTCGTGATTGTCTATTTTAATATTGTAACAGTGAATTTTCATTTCTACAGACTGGAAGCCATTGATCTAGTATTGTCTTTTCAGATACAGGAGCTGGAAACTATTCTTAGAATTGAACAATGACTAAAACAAGCTGGTATTAAACTGTTAACAAATTCTAGCTATTTTAAATAAGTAAAAAACATGGTATGTAGGTACTTTCACGTTACTCGTGACTTTTCTTTGGCTTGCATGCATACAAGTATTATTAGTGATGAAGGTATTGAAGTAACAATTAATGTCTTAATATAAGTACTTTTTTGTCAATATAACTCAATCCTCGTATACAATACCTCAATACCAATATAGTGATGGCATATAATAGCTCTTATAGAATGCATATGATGAGAGCCATACCCCCAGTTAATTCTTATGTAATAACCAATGATAGTACCTATAGCTATACCTGCTAGACAAAATCCTAGTTCTCTTTTTGAGACTGAAAAAAAGAAATTATAGTTCATTGCTGATCTTTAATATTCATATAACAAATAACCTTGATACAGTGAGTCCTCAAGTTATGCAAATATGTGAAATACCTAATTGCACTCCATTTATGTTCTATGTATGTATTTATACATTAAATATAGTTTTCTTTTTTACAATTCGATTTGTACAGTAATTATTTTATAAAAAAAAAAAGCTCCAGATCGAATTAATTGCACAAGTTGAGAACTTACTATATTTTTTTTAGTTACAGCAATACCTTCATTATGAAATTCATTTCTCATTTGTCGATAAAATGTTTTGATATTGAAATATGAGTTATAATACTGACTCTGCAGTTGTTCCCAAACTATTTGAAACCAAGTAAATACACGTTGCATGACATCATCTGCATTTTGCATGAATTGGTAGTTTAATTCATGAAGAAATTGATGTGCATGTGTTAAAAATGTTGCGATCCATTGTTGCCCTTGTTGTACAACTACCGATGTTTGAACCTTTCCCAAAAAATTTATCACATACTATACTAATTCTTTTGACAAGTAGCTTCATTTGGTAGTGTTCACAAATTTGTATTACATATTTATGTTGTATCGCACGGGGGGTATTGCAATGTTTAATGTTTGTAATATAATTAAAAGTAATATAATATAGATTTAGATATATACAGACAAATATAATAATTATGTTATTTGTACTTTAGATTGTCCTTTTATATTTTGATGTAGATTAAATCTGTAAATTTTGTATAATATTATTAGAAAAAGTAATAATAGAAATAAAATATAGATACTATATTAGTCTAAAACTTATGTGCAAGTGATAAAAATTGTTAATTGTTTCTAAACAGTTTAAAGGATAGACAAAAATGAAATTACATTTTAATAATAATAATAACAATTATTGGAAGCATGTAAGTTATTTTGACAAAATAGAGTACAAATTTATTATTTTGATTTTACAGCATAACGACAGATTTATTATATAAAAAAAACGTGTATGCTTATTACATAAATCGTGTAAACATAAAAAAAAGAGACTGTTTTACAATTTTCGGAAACGTGGAATTACCTGAAGTGCTTCAAATTGACTTGATAGATGAAACCAGATTTCGTCCATGATTTTACAAACTTGTTTTTATTGACAGTTTAAATTTAATGTAACATTTTTTTTATATTTCGTGCTTGCGGTGATACAGCTTTGTACACAACGGCCAGTCAGCTGGAAATGCAGCACAGTAGTGATATAAATAAACGATTAACGCATTGCATATGACTCGAAATAGATTATAAAGTCTGATTTAAAGCATGACAGCTTCTTGGGCATCGAGGATTAGAATTCTTACTTCATTGTGATGTATGCCATATGTTTAACCGTCATCATCTGGTAACCTTTATGAATCCTACAACTTATTATTTATTTCAACGGTGCTTTGTTTAAATAGGTTATGTTCTCTATTTGATACAAATTTATTTGAATATGGACATGATGTAACGACGGTTGTGCAATTGTTATCACGTGGTCCTGCAGTGGTAATATCTCTCGAACGAACCGCCAGAGGACATGGTATCAGATCCTATTTGGGGACTGCGGTCTTCCCTCTCACTCTAGCTGCGAGAGTGGGGGAAGCGGCCATGTTGCGCTCAGTCTTTGTTCGACACTCGAACTGTTCGGACGTGTCTCCGTGTCCCACTTATTTCCAATAAACAGTTCCTTCGTTACCGTTACGCTCGACGCTCAAAAGATTAGTGGAGAACTTTTCGAAGAGACGATTCTGACGAATTTCACAACATTTTTTACCAGTTGTAATTGCGTTCCGTGGTGATTAACGATTACATATTATAATCTTTAATCGTTTATTAACAACTCGTGGAGAAAATTTTACAAAAATAAAAGAGACTTAAAAATAGTTCCGTTAATTTTTACGATACATTTAATTTGAAGAAAAATAGAAATTTTATTTTTACGAAAATGTGTAGCACTTGTAATCACCAGGCGTAAAGAGTAGATATTTCTAACGAGATTTATTTATCTTTAATCATATACGAAATTAAAACAAATAAGTACTAGTTTATTATACAAGGTCGAAGCAGGTTATTAAATTAATAATTTTAAGTGGACATTATGTTCGTATACGTATGTAATACATAATATCAACTGTATGTAATAAAAATTATTGGATCTTCTACATTTAAAGCAGTTCATCATGGGTCTGCAATACCGTGTAATAAGAAAAGGATGCTTTTAGCAGCTGAAAAGAAATTGGTTACTCGTACAAGAGTTTTAAAATGATTCTAGATATACTATGGGAACAGAGAGTTTACCTGTACAAAGGTATTCAAGTTCATCAGAAGCAATCCTCCAGCTTTTATTCCTGGAGGCATCAGACTTCTTCGCAATACCATTATGTACAATAATTGTGTCCTTGTTGAACCGTTATGCCAGTACGATTCGTATCTAGGAGAATATGGTGCATTTTATCATAATCACTTGAAAATAATGCATTGCGACAATTACATAATTTCGCAATGAAAACCAAGATGTATTATGGATGATTAAAAATGCTTACTAAAGCATCATGAGTAGGAAGACAGAAACATGACAATATCTATAAATAAGCTGCTAGGAGGATTGCACCACATTTCCCATCTCTCTAATAAGTAAGATTCAGAGCTCTACGTGGAAGGAAACGACGCTACGTATCGGAACACCGCTGCAAGAATGAACAAAAGAAGAAACAGTAGGAAAATTAACGAAGAGACTACGATAATTCGTATCTAAATTACTTGGAACTTGAAAGCTTCAGTTTCGTTTATTTTTAATTTGTATAACATGAGTTACAAAGGAGCGTCTAAGTTGGAAGATACATCGTAAAACAATATGGCGTCTGTTCCAACAGAATATGCATGGGCTATCGGTGTGCGTTAATGTTATATATAAATGTTTTCCTCACATCTTGTCATAGCTTTCTTCAGTCGCGTCGGTAATCCACTGTCCCATCAAGCAGAAAAAAAGAACATGAATTACTTGGGCTACCATGAACACACAAAACGTAAAGTACTGAAGAGTCATTTCCACGTCTGCTACCTTGAAGAATTAAATCGAAGATTAAATTACACGCGTTGCGATACAAATCGTTGAAGTACGTACTGTGGCGAGTATATAAATAGGGTGAAATTTTTTTTCAAGTATAATACATTGGTTTATTAATTAATTAATTGTTAATCAGAATTAGGAATTTTTTTATTTTTCTTGACCAAACGGAATTAATTATATTTGTCCAAAATATCTGCATAAAGATGCTGGTTCACAATACCTATAAAATTGTTACTGTATTTATATGCTTACCACTGTACGTTTAGATCGATCAAATACTTGCTTTTAGTAGTGTAACCGTCAAAGTCAGTATAATTAGTAGTACGATGATGACGAGAAGTACCTCGTGGCAAGCTGCAATTTTCTGTATATATCTGTTCCGATGTTATAATAAGCAACATGTAACATTTAGCATGTAATTATACAGGGTGTTCGAGCATCCCTGGGAAAAATTTTGAGGGGAGATTCCAGAGGACAAAATAAAACGAAAATCAAGAATACCAATTTGTTGATCGTGGCTTCGTTAAAAAGTTATTAACGTTTAAAGTTACGCATGTAGGACGGCAGTCTGCAAACAACTGCGCGTGCTACAGGGGGAACTTTAAACGTTAATAACTTTTCAACGAAGTCTCGATCAATAAATTGGTATTCTTGATTTTCGTCTTATTTTGGTCTCTAGAATTTGTCATCAAAATTTTTCCCAGGGATTTTTTATAAATTTGTATATTTTATATATAAATAAAGTAGTCAAGTAGACATAAGACATCGGGTACATAGACGGATGTTTACAAAGTTCTATCAGTTTAATAGACATTAATCATAGATATTGTAATAGAGAAATAATGGTTTTTAAGAACTTTATAAGCGTTCCGCCAAACTATTTTTTATCTAAAATCAAAGAGACGGATATTGTATGCGATGATACTCACTCGAATGCTTTTTGGTGATCTTTAATAGATTCGCATACATTCACGTAATCTTTAGCCTTCACTGCACGTCCGCTCTCCTCATAGTAAGTGCATTTCTCGCCCAATGCGTGTTGGAAACGATACCTGCAGTCATTTTCGTTTTTCGTTATTCAGTTTTAAAGTATTATTGAATCTCAAAGCTTGTTTCTCTCAGAAACATTAAAAATGGACATAGTTACTTACACTACGTGCATTGTAAGCCATTGACATGCACAATTCAACAATAAACACATAGTTTACATGTATCATTCCACTCATACATAGGGAACTATCTGTGAAACCTCTGACGATACTGCATTTGTTAAAACATGGATAGTCTTACACGGACAATTATCATGAAAGATAGAGTGTATCTTAAGGGTAGCTGGACTTAAGATGTAAGCGATACGATACCACGAAATTCTTGCTAGGAGGAGGAACGTGCAGGATGTTGACTATGAAAAGTTACTATATCTCGCTAATTGTTTCTATTAAAGTAAAAAAATGCAACGAACAAAAACTGTTTGATCTTTAATTTGCAAACTGTTTGCGTCGAATAGAAATTTTCTTCAACAAAACTTCAACTTTTGTGTTGAATAGTTTTACAAGAGCCAGGAACGGTAAAGTTCTTTTTATTTGTGCCTCAAAGAAATGAAACAAAGAGCGTTGTATAGCGGACGATACTAAAGTAATTAACGTCGTTTGATTTATTTGGTATAAAATATTACTCGCCAATTTATAGCCAATAAGGCGCAAGCATGCTGTACAAACCAAATCAAGTTCACATCGCAGCCGCTAAATATTAAAGCGATTGCCATCGCACCCATGATCTCGTGCGCGATTATAAAATAATAATATTTATCCTGGTCCACGTAATAGTACGCTGGAAATATGAGCACACGGTCTCGCGATTCGTTCAGAGGTAGAAAAATATCCAGGACGCGCGGCATAGCCGGCAAAATGGCGAACATCAACGCCGTGAAACATATAGTCACTGAAAAGCAATCAATTTGTACTTAGAGAGATTATAAATCGTGACAAAAAGGGGCTAAAAAAATAGCTGTCCCGCCTATTACTAACGCCATTAATGGAGTTGAGTACATTAGATCAATTAACGTAATTAACACTTTACCGACCGGTAGCGGTTGATTAATCGGCTATCGGTCGGTAAACGTCGACCGATAAAACAGTTGATTAATAGGCTATCGGTCGGTAAGCGTTGGCCGGTAAAACAGTCGATTAATAGGCTATCGGTCGGTAAAGTGTTAATATAGAATATTTATAAAAATGTTTCGTCACCTGCGTATATCAACGACAACGTTACTGCTTTTCGTGAATATAATTCCAAAATTACCACCTCCACTTGTGACCTTTCAACTTGCCAATCTTGTATAATACTATGCAGAAGATCCTTTAACTATGATTTTAAGGATGATTCGTAATATTGTTGGAATAATGTAAAAATTCTAATCGTTACCTGACCTTAGTCGAATTGATGACGTAGTTGGAATACTTTACACACATACTTACACCCAGAAGCACGTAAGGAAGTTGATCTGTTAAGTTTTTGAACGTGTAGTTGTTCGATACATTTGTTATCTACGGATTCAACGATAAATCTGGTAATTCAACCAATTGTATCCGACATTTTGTAAATTAACGAATAGTAGGGGTGTGCGAGATCCCGATCGGGACGGGAATTTTTCTCGAGAAAACATCTGTGATTCCCATTTTAAGTTTCTCCATACTTCCAACAATTATTAGAATCTGAAAGCCATTGTGTTCTCGAAGATTACATATCTTATTAATCGGGAATATTAATGTTAGTAATATCGTAGAAAATAATTGCAAATTTCGATAATTCTGACAATGTAGAATTTTAATATCGGTAGATATTTCTGAATGGATAGTCAATCACACAATTGCGTTCCAAGAATCCCAGATATTATTCTATGTAGCGTACATTAGTGGGAATCCCGGATATTTTTGGGAATCCCACGCACCCCTAACGAGTACCCTTTGTACCTGTACACCGACTGCTGTTATTATAACGGTATACATAGTGAATATTGCCACTTTTCTCGAAAGTTTACTCTGACCAGGCCATATCCCGATTATTTGTCCAAAGAATTTGTTAATACGGAAATGTTGGTATTCGAACGCCCTCACGTCCATACTGGCGTAAGCTATCGAGTGCAATATCAGACTAACACACCGAACGTGTAGTCTTGCGCGGGAGCGAAACTACTTTATTTCCAATGAATTTTCATTCCCCCCATTAGCGGTCGTACTTTGTAATAAGGTGTTCTTCCGATTACTGAATTATTTCGTACCTACTTAAGAGAGTCGACATCGAGGCTACCGTTCCGAAGATGTAAAAATCGCCGTGCATCATTTATTCACTGCGTGCTTGAGTAACTCTACATCGCTTCGTATTAAATTATTAACGAAATTAATGCTTATGAACGTTTTATCGTTTTATCGTTTTATTCCCATTAGTGCAATTGGTACTCTTTATCAGCTATAATTATATATAATTCGAACAGAGCACAGGATGAAATGCATACGTAACGTAAGAGTTAATGTCACCTGCCAAACAGCGTATTCGCACTTAAAGTGATATTTGAAGTATAGCTTTTAATTTTTGTTCTGCCGTTGCATCGAATCTTGCATAGGGGTGAAGCGCGGAAAAATATAGCTGTCGTGTTCGTCTATAGTTAGTCGACAAAAGTGTACGTTGCGTAAACATTATCCTTTTGTTCAGTTTATGTTTTTGGAAAAATACAATTGTGTGTTTGTATTGCAAATCTGTGGAGAATTGAAAGTGATAAAAGTAGTATCGACACGTATAGATGTATTCTAAAAAAATTATTTTTAGTTGCAGGGGTCAATTACAATCATTTTTGGTCAATAGATATACCCCCAAAATTGTACGCACTTTCGAGAAAAAAATTCCGTAAGTGCAGAAATTTTTCGACAAAAAAGATTTTCAAATCGTTCTAAAAAAATTATTTTCGGTTGCGGGGGTCAATTGTAATCATTTTCGGTGAATACATATACCCCCGAAATCCTACGCAGTTTCGAGAAAAAAATTCAATAAGCGGGCAAAATTTTCAGCGAAATTGAAAAGTGTCAAGTCACTCTGTAAAAATTATTTTCGATCGCAGGGGTTAATTACAATCATTTTTGGTTATTAGACATACTCTCGAAATCCTAACCATTTTCGAGAAAAAAATTCTTTACCGAAAATATAATTTTTGGCCAGAAATGTTTCTGTAATTTCATTTTCTGTGTCACGTCCTTTTGTGTTAATTTCTGTAACTTGTTTATAATGTTGCGAGTGACACGAAGATGGTATTGGGACTTTAGAGCTTCAGAAAAATGGGTAGAAAAAATATATTGGATGTAAGGTTTACTCGTATACCTTGTTTTTTTTTTTTTATTAATGACAGTTCAGCTTCAGCCTCTCTCAGGCCTATGTGTTCACTTTATTGTTACACAGTCTTATACAACAAATGTACATTATAATATTGCACAGTGTAAAAATATACGTAAATTTCTATTTTATCTAGTATGTAAATATAATTATATACATAAAAATGTAACTATAAATATAAAGTCTTGTGAAGTATAGCCTGTGTGAAGGTCTTCTGTTAACTTTGCAGTATTGTCAGGCTTAGAAGGAATGTGCTATAATCTAAACTTAGGGTTAGAGATACCAGTCATAATTGTTATTAGTTTTTTGGCTTATTCTTATTATTTATAAGTGTCATAGCTTTGACACTTAAGTTACGTTTTTAGATTGTTATTTTTAAGGATACTGAATGGTAAGTTCAGTCCATTCCTTAGTAGTCTAACAGCTTATTTCTGTTCTGCATTAGAGGGTAGTATACCTCGGCTCTGGGCGAACAATTGAACTACCATCTACGGCTGAACGTCCAAGTTTGTTGAGAAATAGTACGTTTTTTGCGATACTAGATGGTGCATCATTAATATATACTCATTGAATATTAGTCGCCATCTAGTATTGAAAAAAACTGATGCAGTACGTACTATATCTCGATAAACTTGGATGTTCTGCCGTAGATGGCGTTGCATTTTATTTCTTGAATAAATAAATCTATATTATCGACGGTGCAATAGTGCATAATAATGCATTTTTAAAGCATAAGCTTCGGACTAAGTTTATTAAATAAATAATAATCGTTGCAAGTAATAGCAAGTGATAGCTTTCGAGCAATCTTTCCTTACTAATCATACTTTTTTAAATTGGAATGCTACCATCACAAACGAGGTATCGTCATTATAAATTACCAATTCATATCTTTTGCAAATAATCTTACACGCTAATATTATTAATCTTGCGAAAACTTTTTATATGCATGTTACTGTTGGATGGTAATTGCGTTTCTCTGTCAATAAATTGGACACATCTATGCACGTGACTGTTGGATGGTAATTGCGTTCCTCTATCAGTAAATTGAACACATCTTCGATGCACCCGCAAACACGATCATATCGATCATTGACAATCGTTGCAACAAACAGAATGATTTGCAATTCATACACATTTTTTAAATCTATAACATCGTTTATCGATGATAAGCGACGACTACGAGTTGCGTATCAGCTGGAATCCATTTTAGTTCGTTCGTATTGCCGCTAGATGATAAATTTCTCTACAGATAAATTAAATAAATCTCCGACGTTAGGCGCCAATGCAACGATTCAAAAGTATTATTTTTCAAACCAAGTGCTCAATCATCTAATACAATAATGTAAAAATATAATTAATTAATAACTAAAATAACATTGCCATATGAATTTTCAGATTCCACACTCAAACTTGGCACACGACCCAAACTCTGTAGGATTAGAGTTAACAAGAGTTTTGGACGATCGTGTCTCCTGGACAAGCAAAAATGGTTCTCGGTGCTCGTTCGAATTATCAGCCAGCTAAATATTGATTATTATAAAATTGCGGGGGGAAAAAAATTCTTTTGACGTGTGCATGGGTGTACGTCACGCGGCACGCTCGGGGATCGTGGCACATTAGCAAGTTGGTAACCGTCCAGGCACGTTCTTCCGAATGAGCCCTGGCTTCTCTCCAGCGAGCAACCTATCCTTTTACGGGATATCACGGCGGCCGGTTGCTTGAAAGTTGTCGAAGCGTCCAAGTAGGACCGTCGTCGAGGCTTCTTGTCGCGGATTATCGGTGGCCATTGTGGGGTGTGCGTCGAATTCGCGAACAATCCTCCCCGAAATTGCGAAAGATCGCTAATGCCACTTAAAGAACCAACATGGCGCCTGTTTTCGCCGCACCGGAACGCGTCCCCCGCGTGCAGTCACTGCTAAGTTTCGCAACTTTGTCGATAGTCTCTTCCCAAGACCATTAGACGAGCCTATTTGCAAACGACGATTTATTTCTCACAGTAACAAATTTTACTTGAAACATTATATGCGCCTAGGGTCTCTAGTAATATTTTTCTTTAATATTTTCAGACGCAAAATGCCGATGGCGCCTCTCGAACTCGCCACTAGAGAGCCATCCAAACCGATCCTGTTCCCAGTCATCGATTCCTGCATACATGGTGTCCCGGAAGTGATCAAACTTTGGGAGCTAATTCTAATTACGAGGACAAAAGAATAGTACACATAGATTTGTCTCAATACTTACCAATACGAAGAAAACGGTAACAGTATTTGTACATGTTTTCCCACGCCAGGCATTGCAATGGTTTAAGGTAGGGTTTGCTATGGTGCAGTGGAGTTCCAACAACCGTTTCTTGGCACACCCAAGTTAGATTGGAGTTAGGCAAATAATAACTACCTAGTCACACTCGAATAACAATAATATTCCATCGTACGGATTAATACCTTCCATCGTGGAAGATATTAATCGCAAGTGTTGCGTTAAGACTTTGCAAATGCCTAACTCTCCACTGTAACCATACGAGTCCAAAATAGTGAACGCAAATTCAAATAAAATTTCCAAGTGGCGGTGCACTCGACCCTCTTATAACACAATATTCCGAAAACACGGTTCAAAAATCGACCATCCCCCCATGGAACAAAAATTTCTCCATCACGCTGTTTCGGTGTAAACAAACAAGGAATTCCTCGTGTATTTTTCAGCGTTACCAAAACATCGATCGTTTATTTTAATTTCGACTCTTGAAGTTATCAAAAATATTTACAATTTATTTTCCTTTCTCGTGTATGTAAATTTATAGAGAAACGCGTTAAACAATACATTCTTCAAGGTTTAAATCTTGGTTCTTGAGCAACCAACCTAACCCATCGGTTAGGGCAACCGTGGGAGGGGGCAAAACTTGCGACGGGGCTCCTTAACTGTTTTGAGCGGACAGGACGGAACACTTTCGTCCTTCCGTTCCTTTCTCGCTTCCACCCACTCATTTTTCAGACCCCCAGAGCGAGAAGAATCGATCCCGTCCCACCGGCGGCAAACCCAACCTCTTAAGTCATTCGACGTTTTCCATCAGTATTTTTTTCTTATCAGCAACGACGGAAGACGTACGACTTGGCCCAGTTTACGGAATCACCTGGGATGACCTGGTCGGTCGGTAAATTTCAGACATCGTTCGTAAGATACGATGTCAACAGGGGCGTGGCTTTTTTATCATTAGCGGGCCGGCGAGTAACAATCTTTGGGTCAACAAACGCGCGAAACGAACGTAACCGCCGTGCTTTCAGAATGGCCATCCTCCGTGTCGACATTGACACGCGCCGATTATTGGATCCCGGCAGAGGTGGGCCGCCTAGGCGACTCTAACTGCGGAAATTGCATCGTATCCGTGAAGCAGCTGCGCTTGGAACAGTCGCTCCCGGCTATAAACTTTACGTGGTGTAATTTTCTTCGGGGCGGATCGCAGCCACGTATCGGCGACTCGTAGGCCACTGTTTCACGGGAACAGTCTTCGGGGATCTCGAGGAAAACCGTCCCCCGGACACGGTCGTCGCGTGGGTCACGTTTTTCACTCGTGCTTCCTGGCGCCTTGGCCCCTTTCCAGGAACCGATTCCCTCTTTTACGGCTGCGTGTCACCGCGTCTGGACGATTAAAGTCCAACCCCCCCCACTCCTCGAGTCCATTTGATCTGGGGCTGTTGTCTGGAATATGTAGCAACGCTAGTAGACAGACGTCAGGCTCTCCAAA